AAATCGAGATACAAGGTTTTGTTCCGACAGCAGCGATATATCCACCTATTCAGCCTACAGCAGTTTCAGCCCCGCCCACTCGCACTGACGTTATAAGGAGTGTTTCAGCTCTGAGTGCTTTCTGAATGAGGCTCAGTAAAGAGCAATCAGAACAGAGGTCATTTACATCTATCAGTCTTAAGACCTATTCGGGCGGGACTAGTTTTACATGAAGAGGTGGGGTAATGTAATTATTCCCTGCATTTCTCAGTGATTTAGTCCTGTCCGAATGCGACATGTCGGTCATTTTTGCCGGTTTTTTTACCCTCTGTAAAACGAGCTGTAGAAATAACCTCAGGTTACGTTAATCCTGTGCGAATCAGCAGTAAAAACGCAACTATATCCTGTGGAAAAGGAGTTTCTTAAGCATGGAGGCTGAAAGAAGTGATTACTTCTGTTTTCTGACGAAGCTGAAGTCACATTCTTATTCGAATTTTCCCGTTCCACCTTAAATTGTGCGGCGGCAGTTATTATTATGAAGCCTGAGGCTTTATAACTGCTGGACCATTTAAGGTGGAACGGGAAGAAGCTGGCAGATAATAAGCTGACATCGGCCTCGTTCTCTGTGGCTAAAATCAAGCTGATATGTAACGCCACTGTCCCCTCACCTGTACAACTCAGAACATGTAAAAATTACAGAGAAAATGTTTGATTTTATGCGGTGAAGCTGATTGTTGTGAATTCCCGAGCTAATGGCGATGCTAACGATTCATGCATTCATTTAAGACAGCAAGGTAAATGGTTAGGTCAGGGGTTGGCAAGACGCAGCTCTTTTACTGTCCTGTTGTGGCTCCACAGCAGAATTAGATTAGTAGGTAAAAATAAAATAATCCTCCTTTACAGTAAAATAAAGCTCTGCTGATCGTTCAACACAGTTTAACAATAAATGGTCTTAAACTCTGGAGTTAATGTAGAACTGATAATTCACCCTTTAACCCTAAAGATCAGCACAGACTGCTGGTCACCATAGCAACGCAGACAAGAGTCTTGCCAAGCTAGTACATACTGAAAAGGCAAAGAGAGAGATTTAAGACGAACATCGATAATTTGGAGATGAATAGACTTACTTGCATTTATAATCACTCCAGCTGGTTTCCTGATACGTTTAATCTACAACGAGAAACTGACAAACACTAAAAAGTCACGAAGCTGAAGTCGATTCTCATTCGCCAGCGTCTTGTTCGAATTTTCATGTTCCACCTTAAATGGTGCAACAGTTAGCTACATAGTTAGCTACATTCTAGTGGCTCAGACAACATTTAAGGTGGAACGGGAAAATTCCAAATGAGAAGCTGACTGCAGCCTCATAAAAAGTCGAACATTAAGAGACATTTTACAAGAAAATATTCCTCTTTTGAGGAAAAGTTTCCTGCCAGAGATGCGAGAAAAGCGGCTACAGCTGAGCTAAAGCTTAAAGCAGAGCAAAGTATATTTTTCATTATACATTTTCATGGTTATAAATATTTTATAATATTTTATAACTGGTTCGTTCCCCAGAGGAACACAGGAACCAAGCCCATGTCAAAGGCTGTGTATTATATTATATTTTTTAGCCTATGTTAGTACATCAGCACATACTGAGACATATTTACAGCCAAGATGGTGAAATGTTACTTTAATTAAATGGACATGAAATGTTGTGGCTCCCAAGGTGGTTAGATTATTTGTTAAAACTTGACAAAACGGCTCTCCTTCACATTTGGGTTGCGACCCCTGGGTTAGGCTAAATGAAATAATGGCTAAATTAAACGTTCTAACATCTTTTCTTCTCTTTTCTGGAGTGAAGGTGGTGCGTAAATCGAGTAGCCACCCCATCTCTGTCATTTAGACCAAGATTTCGTATCCCGTGAGAATCACTCATAAACATTACAGACGTCCTGTGGTAATCTGGCAGAACCCCACCTCCCCATGGAAAACTAACCCTGTCCGAATGGGGCTTTAAAGGCACAGTAACGAAAACAGCCTGTTTAGTTCTAAGAGATAAAGAGAGGCTGGAAAATGGTTATGGAAAAAAATTTATATTTGATTTATAACCGTTTTCTTATATAAAACCACAGAAATGTTAACGGTGGACCTCGATACAAGAGCAATGTAGGGTATGGGCCCTTTAAGGCAATTCTTTATATTTCAGTTTTAGAAACACCCACTCAGTGATTTGGTCACCAACATGTAGGTGTATAAACTGCTGTTTATTCTGGTTCGTTCCCTGGAGGAACACAGGAACCAAGCCCATGTCAAATGGAACCCAAGCAGGTTTTTCTGAGGGGGCCACGCCTAAAAGGACAGGGGCGCCACGAAAGTCTTATATTAAAGAAAAGAAAAAAAAGATGGTTCCTCAACGGTTCTATATAGAACCATGAACACTCAAAGAACCCTTTGCATGATTAAAGGGTTCTCTGTATCATGAAAAGTTTCTTCAGATTGATGGAGAATGTGCTGTAGACGGTTCTATATAACACCAAAAAGGGTTCTTCCATTGTTACAAGCTTGACATCGTAACAATATAAGAACTTTTTCTGTGCTGTATTGAACCATTTTCAAAAAGGTGCTATAAAGAACCATCTAAGGCACATTCTCCATCAATCTGAAGAACCTTTTCATGATGCAAAGAACCCTTTAACCATGCAAAGTATTCTATGAGTGTTTATGGTTCTATATAGAACTATTGTCTTTACTATAGAACACTTAAAGAACCAACTTTTTTATGAGTGTACAGTTCAGCATCTAAACTGATTTTTGTCCTCAAAACAGTGTCTATAGTACTCTTTAAAAAAGATAGTTCTTCAAGGGTTCTTTAGTAAAGACACTGGTTCTATACAAAACCATGAACACTAGAAATGCTTAAATGGTTCTTCAGATTGATGGCGGATGTGTTGTACATGGTTCTATATAGAACATCTTTGAAAAGGGCTCTTCTACTGTAACAAGCTTGACATCGTAACAATATCAAATTTCTTTTTGGTGCTATATAGAACCGTGTTTTTAAGAAAGGTTCTATACAGAACCATATAGCTTCAACACATTCTCCATCATTCTGAAGAACCATTTCACCATGCAAAGAAGCATTTAAGCATGATTTTTTTCCCTCAAAACAGTGTCTATAGTACACACCTTAAATAAGAAGGTTCTTCAATGGTTCTTTAGTAAAGACAGCGGTTCTATACAGAACCATGAACACTAAAAATGCTTAAATGGTTCTTCAGATTGATGGTGGATGTGTTGTACATGGTTCTATATAGAACATCTTTGAAAAGGGCTCTTCTACTGTAACAAGCTTGACATCGTAACAATATCAAATCTCTTTTTGGTGCTTATATAGAACCATTTTTGTAGAAAGGTTCTATACAGAACCATATACAACACATTATCTATCAGTCTGAAGATTCATTCCACCATGCAAAGAACCATTTAAGCATGAAAAGGTTCAATATTGAACTCGTGGTTCTATATAGGACTATTCCCTTTACTAAAGAACCCTTAAAGAACCATCTTTTTTACCTGACTAGTGAAATGAATGTTATACAAAAGATGATAAGCTACCATTTATGAGCAAAAGCACTGTGGGTGACAGTTTTACTTTTAAACTGCTCGTTATTGAGACTGAAAATACTAACATGACCTAAATCACAATAATAATAGTTATTTCCAGTGTAAAACCGACAAACAGCCTAACTAAAGCAGCAGCTGGATTAGTTGTAAACACAAACAAATTTAGCCTGCCTGCTAACTCTACTGGCCAAGCCGATGAGTTAGCTTATGTTGGCTGGCGAAACATCTCACAAAAACGCCAAAAACTGATAAAACGTTACTGGCAACACCTCGAAGTTATCAGTTCAGGCCTTCCTACCTCATAAACCCGACTTCTTTAAATCTTCAGCTCGCTCAAAAGCCTTTTATGCAGCTCTGCTTTCGGCACAAACACACAGACAGCTATCAGGCCATTAGATTCGCGCATGCGCGCTGCTCGCCGCTTCAGCGTTCCATGGGATTTGTAGTTCTTTAAAGGAGAACTCCACCAATGTTTGTAAACCTCGGTGTAGTTCAATCGTCAAGGTGCCACCGGGCATTCAGAGTGGCTTGGTTTGTTTGTAGAACCAGGAGCTGTGATTTCAACACAGCAAATATGATGATTTTATTTACCAATTTTAAATATAATGTTTTATATCCAAAACCACCATTGAAACTGCAGCCTATTGAGTATTTAAATGCAACAACGATGATGGTAAAATAGAAGTAATTCTGGAAAAGAGAAGCATGACAGGACTATATTGCCACACAAAACACCTTGCATGTTTCTCTCTACCGAGCCCCGCTGGTGACATCCTGTATAAATAAAAATAATGCGTGGCCACGACTTAGTAAGGGGTGGGAATGAGATGATTAAGTCACGGCCACGACTTAGTAAAGCGTGGGAACGAGATCCTAATGCACGGCCGCGACTTAGTAAGCCGTGATCTCGTCCCCACGCCTTACTAAGTCATGGCCACGACTTAATCATCTCATTCCCACGCCTTACTAAGTCATGGCCACGCATGAGGATATCATTCCCATGTGTTAATAAGGCGTGGCCACGCATTATTTTTATTTACATAGGATGTCACCAACAGGGCTCCGTACATATCTAACCATTTTTGTAATAACTTTCTGAGAGGTAGCTTTCTGAGGCATTTCACTCTAAAGGGACGTCTGGTTCCTATCACCACCACTGTGAACGATTCTGACTCGCCACGTTTCTCTACAACAGAGCGTTTCACACCAAACCACTCTGGATGACTTTGTTTACATCTTAACCGTTTAATTATAGAGCAATTTTGAAAAATGGGCGGAGTTCCCCTTTAAGCCGCCCGCCTTGTAGTCCCCTGCAGTCCCAGAAGAGGCTGCGTTTCTAAGGAACGACACAAACGCGAAAATGTCATTCCCTTTTCGCCGGGACGCGGATGAGCCCTCGTGAGTGAGTGTGTTATGCTGTGTTTGGGCTCGTTTTCGTGTCTTCCCGGCGGTTGAACTCAGACTCGATGGTTGTTCTAAGCGTGAGGAGCTCTCACAGAAGACGCTATGTTGCCCTCTTCCTGAGTATCACCGGGTTCATCATTTACCGTCACTTCAGGTGAGAAGCTCCGGTACCTTTAGTGTTTCTGCCTTCTGTATCTGCACAGTTCATACCTGCAGCTGCTTTAGGTTTCCTGCGGTTAATCTGTGAGAGAAGTTCATGGTGGGTGTCAAATTTCCTTTCTGACAGCATGAAGAACTTTATAAGCGCATATAACTGATAACCATACAGCGCATAACACATAAATAGTCACATGAAGTATTTGGCAGAAGTCAGATCACTACGGTACGGAGCCCTGCTGCTGACATCAGCAGCCCTGCTGCTGACATCCCATATAAATAAGAAAATGGCCACGACGTATTAACACGTGGGAACGAGATCATGCCTTATTAAGTTGTGGTCAAGACTTAATTATTATGGAGCCCCACTGGTGACATCCTGTATAAATAAAAATAATGCGTGGCCACGACTTAGTAAGGCGTGGGAATGAGATGATTAAGTCATATTCCCGTGCCTTACTAAGTCATGCTCACGACTTAATCATCTCATTCCCACGCCTTACTAAGTCGTGACCACACCTTATTTTTTTATTTATACAGGATGTCACCAGCAAGGCCTCGTTGTCCAGAGAGGCCATCAGGTAGCTATAATTTTCTGGATTGTTATTTTGAGATAACAAGTTAATTATCTTGTGATAACAAGTTAACTGTCATGAGATCTCAAGATGACAAAGTTGTTATCTTGAGGCGACTAGTTAACTGTCATGTGATCTCAAGATGACAAAGTTGTTATCTCAAGATAACAAGTTAACTGTCTTGTGATTTCATGTTAACAAAGTTGTTATGTTGAGATAACAAGTTGTCTATCTTGTTATCTCAAGATAACAAAGTTGGTATCCCAAGATAACGAGTTAACTGTCTTGTGATCTCAAGAAAACAATCCAGAAAATTATTGCAACAGCTCATGGCCTCTCCGGACTTCTGTAGATCATCCTTCAGTGCTTTTTATTACTTTTTAGTATTACTGCCAATTTCAATATCATGTTCAGTATAGTTTTCTTTTACTTGCTTATTGTTTTTACTTATTTTTACTAAATTTATTTTACTTTATTGTTATTCTGTTCGGGATCTTATCTTAATTTCCAGGCTAAATAGACAGTCCTTCATTTTTTGGCCTCCAGAAAAAAAGCAGAAAACAGTTTTAGCAGAAAATTACGCAGAACACTCAGAAATAATATTACAGCTTTAGTATTTTTGCAGCTTCCAATGTTTTTAGGAGACTCACTTAGAAGTTGATTGATCATTTTTTTAAGTAATCAAACGCATTCAGTGATGTTGAAGTCTGGACCCTGGGGTGGTCAGTCCATTGTTCTGAGAATGCCAGCAGCTTCATTTGATTTGCAAATTTTCTTCAAAGAATGAATAACTTGTACTTAATGGCCATTTTGACTGGAAAATATATGAACACTGACTTTTGCACAGTACTGCAGTATAACATACAATAACTGTTATACATCATATGTGCTGAGCCTGAACACAAATCTGAAGACATTTTTCATTAAACCCTATAAATTTTCACCTCAGACTTTATTTGTGTTTGTTCACATGTAACTACGGGTTTAAAAAAATAGCGAATCTAATTTAAAGTGAATAAAACTATGAAAATGATGAATAAAAAGCAAATGTGGACTGTTAGATATTTATCCAAGGAACAATTATATACATTTTATCACTTTAGATCAATCAGAACATGTTAATACTATGGATTAAGGTTCCAAATAACTCTGTACATTACCACACAGCACATGTAATATAACATTTAAGAGGAGTGACCTTGTGTTTTGTTTATATGCATCTACGTTGGCCTATTATAGTGTCTCTTTTCATTCAGCGGGCAAACAGGGAGGATGAGGATAAGCAGGTCAGAAGGGTTGAGTGTCAACTCTTCCCAGTTCACCTTGGGAGGTGAGCCATTCCGCCTTCTGGGAGGCTCACTTCACTATTTCCGGGTGCCCAAGGCCTACTGGAAGGATCGGATGATGAAAATGAAGGCTTGCGGCATCAACACGCTCACAACGTACGTGTGAAATGTGTCGTCACATCCGGCTCCATTTAAAACACTCGGTTTGTTCTGTTGGGTAATAAACCATTAATGTCTTTCAGATCTGTGCCATGGAATCTACACCAGCCTGGAAGAGGAGAGTTCCAGTTCTATGGAGGCCTGGATCTGGAGTACGTTTGTTTATCTTAGTTCCTTTATATTGTTCCGTTACTAATATGAGTTGTTCAGTAACTAGTGTGAAACTAGGTTATCAGTTTGGGCCATAAATGTCAAAAATCTCGATAATAATGCTACAGTGCTAATTCCGCTAGCACCCTCTATGGGATTCTAGTAGTATGATAGCGCTAAGCTAATAGCACTTCATACGGCCACTTTTTACATCTTGCAAAAGACGTTCCATGTTTTTTTTAAGCTTGTAACAGACACACTAACATATTTTAACATATATATGTAGCAGTTTTACAGTCAGTCTTTCAGTAGAGTTCTGGCACAGAGCTGATATTTTCCAATAATAACAACTAACTGAAACCTGGCTAGATAACAGCTCGTTTTCACAGCCAGTGATGTATCTGGAGCTTCTAGAAGATGTTTTTTTCTCACAAAACTGGTCCCACCTATTGGGAATTAAAAGCAAGTGGCTGATTCCACTCTTAGCCCCTAATTATGTTGGCGGTTAATCTGATGCTTAAGGCCTTCTGCTCAGCTCCTGAAGTCCTAACCAATGGGAGAGCTCGCTTGGCTGTATCTGCCAGAGAGGAAAACAATCCAGATTGGATCATTTTCTTTTAAGCATTTCAAATATTTTAACCCCTTTGTTTCCAACTAAAACTCAACCATAAAATGAGAGTATTACTACAGTACATGCAGAGATTAATTACAACAAGCACAATGATTCTATTAAATAAAAAAACAACAAAAAATTACAGGTATGTTATTTCACAAAAAATATCAGGCCTTCCCTGATGGCCTAGAAGACCCTGAAGGTTCCCTTCTGGTAATTTCTGTAATAAAAGAAAAGAAAAGCTTAAAGAAAACCCAAATGTCCACACATTTCCAAGGTTCTCCATCTAGTCCTCGGGGACCTCCAGCCTGTAGACGTTTGTTTTCTTCCTGTTCCTCACACCTGATCCAGACGATTACGTGGCTCAGGTGTTGTTGGAGCTGGAACAGGATAAAAATGTGGAGTCCCAGTGGACTTGACTGAGAATCTCTGACATAATTCGCTCTCAGGGAGATCTTAAGTCTTACGTAGGTCCTACCACAGAGACTGTTTGGCAACAGTTCAAAGATCTAATTCACACAGTTTTTCCCTTCTGCCACAATTGTAGTCGATCAGCCAAGGCATGTTTGGTTTGCATCTTTTGTTTTGTACTGGAGCTACGAAGCTAATGTAGCTAACAGGTAGTGGAAGCTTAAAGCGCACCAATTAGCATTGTGCTAACCAGGTGTCTAAATGACCACACATTTGCCTGAAACCTCACTTGCTTATGTGGTTTCAGTGCTGTATGATGTACTCTTCTCTATAATCAGGACAGAAGTACATTGCATAGCTGAACAGTAGTGGCAGCCTTCTTGAATCCACACTTTTGTCTGTTTTTATCGACGTTATACAGCGTCAGACGTCACATAAACATGTCAGACAGTGTCTGAAACCATAAGCAGGCCTATTTGAGACTATTTAACAGCTTGATATGGCTTGAAACATTGCTAGAGTTGGCAATGCTTGCTAAAGTGGTGGTTGTTAGCGTCATTAGCCTCGTAGCTCCAGTGCAAAACTGAAGAAGCTAACTTCAGACACCAAACACGTCTTGGCTGATTGACTACATTTGGGATAAGGGTGGGGAAGCTGTGTACATTTCGATTTGAGGCTGAATCTGTGTCATGGTTTAATGTTGTGTTGAGCATTTCTTAATTTAGACGAATCTCAGGCAGCCTGTGTTGTCTGTCCCCTGACAGTGTTGTCAGTTCGCTTCAGTCAGGTGGGATTTTAACCTGCTTGTTTAGTGGTAGGCCCAGTCATTAACTCTGGGCTGTTAACACTTTAGGGATTATGTCATAGACAGTCTCACTGGACTACTACAGCTTCACCATAACAACAGCATCCTCTAACCGAAAGTATCAGCTACTAAAACAATGTCACGTATTGCACCTTTGAAATAGGGATGTTTTTGCACATCTGTCAAGCACTATATTTAGTTAGATTTGCTAATTATACTGTATAATGATGAACTGTTTTAGAAGGCCTGAACTAATATAGCGCTGCTGTCGGATGAAAACCTTCTATCTCCATTTTTGTCATTTTTCTGTTTTTTACATAATTTGAAAATGACTGTTGTTTTTTACGTTGTGTGTAAATTTCATGATGAATGGACCAAAACAAATGGCCGAGAATGACTTGGAAAAAAGTCTGGTTCCATTGACTTACATTAAAAGTAAAGCATGTTTTTTCCTTCTCCTGTAAAGTTGTCATTTTGGAGATACAAGGTTTGGTTCCGACAACAGCGATATATTATATTTATTGTAGTTTCAGTGGAAGGGGCATTCTGGCCTAAACTAGCATTTAATATGATCTACTTCATAAGATGTATCATTCTGTAATGCCTTCCCAGATAGCAAGCATATCGCTACTATCAGAAACAAAACTTCCTATCTCCATTTTTGTAGTTTTTCAGTTTTTGACATAGTTTGAAAGTGCCTGTTGCTCTTTACATTGTGTGTATGAATTCATGACGAATGGACAAAAACCAATGGCCTAAGATTACTTGGAAAAAATTCTGGTTCCATTGACTTAAAGTTACCATTTTGGAGATATGAGGTTTTGTTCCGAAAACAGTGATATATCGGTCCGCTGCCTTGATATGATTGGCACCCAGCTGGCTGTTTGCCACTAATGGTGCACCTTGGGACCACTCAGATTTCTGTCCTTCATACAAGCTCTACCTAGTTTTTAATCTCGTCAAACGGGTTTGAAATACACAAAGCCTTTTATTTCAGAAAATAATCTAAGTCAAATATTACAAACAACTCCGAATGACTAGGCCGAATATAAAATGATTTTACAGTTTGAGCTCAAATTTTAAAATGTTGTTGCTGACACTGGGCTAGATTAAAATAATTTACTAAACTAATTTACAAAGTATAACTAATAAAAGGAAGGAAGGAAAAATAAGTAAACTGGACTGTGAGTGAAAATGAGCGATGGTAAGTGGACTTTTGTCTAATACTCTGCTTAAACACCAGTGGAACGCCCAGAAAACACTGAGCAAAAACGCCAGTGGACCACCAGCTCTGCCATCAGTGGGCCGACAGTAGCCCACTATTTTCTTGCTATTAGGGATTGCATCCCTCAGCCTCATCGGTTTGGCAGAATTCATGATTTTGTATCCTTTTTTATATTATTCATGAATAATGTTCTCTCATTACACTTCCCAGCATGCATTATGCAACTACACCATACAACCATTGGCAATCCCCCCACAGCAAAATTTAGAGGCTAGTAAGTACAGGTGGGATATTCTGCTTCCTAGTAATAACGTTAGCTCTCCGGCTTCCTTCTGTATTCGCCTGCTATTGGGAAAAAAGTACTGACCCTAAAAGTGCTTGTAGTTTTCCAAAAATTCCTCCCGCCTTCAAGATACATCACTAGAAGGAGGTTTTCCAGGTCTTTAAACCCTGAAGTCTCATTTTAGACACTATTATGGCTCCACTGTAAAAGGCAAGAATGCATATTTACAACGGATGTAGCGATGGATCCACTTTGGCCGGACTGCTAATTATGGAATTTCATTGTTTAGCTAAGATCTCCAACCTAAACTAACATCTCCAGCTCACATGTGATCCCTTAGAACATTCCTCCACCAGGCCGTGGATGTGGGTCTCTGGGTTATCCTCCGTGTGGGACCTTATATAGGCTCAGAGCTGGATCTCGGAGGACTGCCTAGGTGAGTCTCTGGCTATGCTAAATAGCATTTACATCAGTGTAAATGCTAAAGCTGCACTGATCTTTATTGAAGGAACATTTAGCACCCAGCTTCTTGTGTGTTGAATAGAAAACTAGCAGTGCCACCTTGAATCCTGAAGTAAAGAACTGAAAAGAGTGTTCAGGGAACCACTTTTAAGGTCCTTTTAGAGAGATAAATTCCTTAGCAGATGTAATTGGAGTCAGCAGTGTGATCACTTGATCTAGCACCAGAACAGGCCAGATTTCACTAGAATAAGGCCCTTTAGGAATATAAGGACAAACCTGAATTGTCCTCGAGGAGACCGTCATGCACTGTTGATGCTTTTTGCTGTTTACATTGTTGTGAGCCTCAGGATAGGCCATGTATTCACAACGTCTGATTTATGCCAGTTTGTGTTACGGATGGTAGAGCAGGGCTGAACAGTATACTGTTTGTTAATCATTATCGCAATATTGGCCTTTATTGAGATCACAGAAGGCTGCATTATGCAAATGAGCACTTTATTCTACTGAATGCTATGAACATCCTGACCAATCACACTTCCAGTGTTCCTGCATATCGCTTTTCACGGAAAAAACCTCGTATCTCCATTTTTGATGTTTTCGGTTTTTGACATAATTTGAAAATACCTGTTGCTCTTTACATTGTATGTGGATTTCATGATGAATGGACTAAAAGAAAAGACCCAAAATGACTTGGAAAAAAGTCTGGTTCCATTGACTTACATTAAAAGTAAAGCAGGTTTTTTCCTTCTCCTGTAAAGTTACCATTTTGGAGATACGAGGTTTTCTTCCGACAACAGCGACATTTTAAATCAATGTATTTGTGTAATCCAGCAAAAGACAAATGAAAGTGGAGTTCAACTGATTATTCACAATTTCTGCATAAATCATTAATATGTAAACAAAGTCATTCAGAGTGGTTTAATGTGAAATAATTCATTGTATAGAGACTTACTGACACAAATATAAAGCCATTTTATTTAATATAAAAACCCAGCGGTGAACCTACACGAGTTTTTTTTGTTATATATGTAATGTTGAAGATAGTGAAATAGTGGGAAATCTGAAAACATTGGTTTTAGGGACTATTTTGGCTAATAACACCCTGAATATGTTGAAAAAAATACATTTTATGGCCAAGCTTTGTCTCAAAACTACTGTAAAACAATATCTCAGACACCAGATAATGCATTTATAACCATTTCATCTAATAACTTTCTGTGAGGGAGCTTTTAGAGGTGGATGTCTGGTTCCTATCACCACCATTGTGAACAATTCTGACTCTTAAGTTTCTCTAGAACAGAGCGTTTCACACCAAACCACTCTGAATGACTTTGTTTACATACTGACCGTTTAATTCTGCAGTAGTTTTGAAAAATCAGTGGAGTTCTGGTTTAATATACTGCATATGGGCATATCACAATAGCAAAACGCAATACCAAGTGTTTTCTCCCTATCGTGCAGCCCTGCTGTTGACCCCATGTTTTGTATGAACACACATTCATTTTTCTCCATTTTTCCACTTTAGTTGGCTCTTAAGAGACAGAAAGATGAAGCTGAGAAGCACCTACCCAGGTTTCACGGAGGCCGTCAATGCTTTTTTCGACAAGCTCATTCCAAAAGTGGTGCCTTTGCAGGTGATGGATTTGGCTCAGAAACAGTTAAGATGTTTTATGAGCAAAATATCTTCATTCTTACAGTGAATTATTACCTTGATTGTTTTCCAGTTTAAGAAAGGAGGCCCTATCATAGCTGTGCAGGTGGAAAGTGAATATGGATCGTTTGCAGTGGACAGTGATTATATACCGTTTCTTAAAGAGGTAAGGAATCATCTATTACACTCAGGTTTCATTTGTGTTAGCTGACTGACTCAGAGGCAGCAGAGTTCACACAGAAATCATTGCGACCGGACGCCTTTCTCTTTTTTAAACCCCTCCAAATAATGCATCCATAGCAGTAAACTACTTTAAAATGCTTAATATTTCAAATCCATAACATTCAGTTTGCTGGGCTTTAGGTTGCAAACTACTCCATCTGTTGACTCTTGATGCTTTGTTACTTTACTCAGCTCGCTGCTAGTTAGCATGCTAAAGGCTACATAGTTAGCAACAGCGAAAAAAAGGCTGAACACCAAGTTTATAACCAGACAAAACAATTATTCACGAGTTTTACGTAAGTTAAGTTCTTGGAGCAACGTTTTTGGAGCAAAGTTTGCATGGCTACCCAGTTAGCTCAGAGGCTAACCTAGCTAATAGGAGCGGCCCACATAAAACCAACAATATCCTAAACAAGCAGCGTTTTAGGAAAATAATCTCTTCATTTGACATGCATAAATAAAAGTTGGACATTGTGTTTTCAGTCAGTGGCCTTGTGCTACATTTTTTAAATATTTATTTATTTATTTATTTATTTATTTATTTATTCGGTGAGGTTCATATTTAATGTGTGTTTTATCATAATAAATTTGTACATGACAATTTTCTGTGTCTTTAAGACTGGTATATGTAAATGATCCCTGATCTGATTGGCTGTCCTGTACTGCACGTTATTCAAAAGGCAGTCCAGACTGAAACACTCCTTATAACTTCGGCGTGAAGGGGCGGGGCGAAACCACTGTAGGCTGAAAGGGTGGATATATGTAAATGAGTTTGTTTTTGACAAAAAAAGTTCAAAACTGACTATTTTCGCAGCTCAGTTTCCATATTAACTGGATAGTAAGTTGCGTAATTGAATAATATTTGCATACCACATCAAACTGTTCTATACAAACAACAGAAATTTTTGAATTTTCTTGAATTTTCCTGGGTTTTCCCAAATATGGGCCCTTTAATAAAAAAAATAAAGCAATAATATAGAAAATAAAGCCCCCTTTGCCTCTGCTCAGAGAAATGTTTGTAATTGTAAATTGACATTACTTTAAATTTGTCTCTTAAGCATTTAACTTAAGATAAGTGCATAAGATCTCTTATGCAAGCACCCACTGGCCAGTAGACGGTGCACTGCACACCTACCGTCCAAACTCTGCCTATACGTACTGGTTTATTTGGCCAGTATGTATTGTTTCCTGTACACTTACTACACACTGTATTTGCTATTTTCATGCTGTTTTCTTTGATAGGCTCTTCAGTCTAGAGGCATCAGTGAGCTCCTGCTGACAGCAGACAGCCACGAGGGTTTAAAGAGTGGTGGAGTGAGTGGAGGTGAAGGACCCATTTGAAAAAATCAGATATTCCTAAATTACATTTCATGCTGGCGTGAGTCAGAGCTCATAGCGTGTGTCTGTGTTTCAGCCCTCAGAACTCTAAATCTGAGGAAACTCAATTATGACGACATCAAGTATCTGGAGGCTGTGCAGGTAACTGCCGGATTATTTAACCACATTATGTGTCTAATGTATTTACTGTGTATTTACACTGATCAGGTTCAAAAACAAGCTTTTAAACACTGTGTCCACTCACTGTCCACTCTAGTAGACACTCCTACCTTGTCAGTCCACCTTGTAGACGTAAAGTGAGAGACGATAGCTCATCTGCTGCTGCACAGTTTGTGTTGGTCATCCTCTAGTCCTTCATCAGTGGTCACAGGACGCTGCCCACAGGACACTGTTGGCTGGATATTTTTGGTTGGTGGACTATTCTCAGTCCAGCAGCGACACTGAGGTGTTTAAAAACTCCAGCAGCACTGCTGTGTCTGATCCACTCAGACCAGCACAACACACACTAACACACCACCACCACATCAGTGTTACTGCAGTGCTGAGAATGATCCACCACTCAAATAGTACCTGCTCTGTGAGGGTCCATGGGGGTCCTGACCACTGAAGAACAGGGTAAAAGGGGGCTAACAAAGTATACATTGTGTATTCATTCTTTCATTCAACAGCCTAACAGTCCCATGCTGGTTATGGAGTACTGGACCGGATGGTTTGATGGCTGGGGCGACCTCCACCACACCTTTCCAGCTGAGGGTGAGATTATGAATGTTCCCTTATTTATCATTATTTGATATTTAGTAGTTAATGTAGATTGGCTCACAGTGCAGACAGCAAAGTTATGTTTGTACAGTGAAAGTGTTGCAATACGTCATGATTTTCTATGTTTTTAATACAGAATTAGACACCAATTCATATAAAAGAACATACAGTCTCGAAAACACACAAACAAAAAGCACATAAGAAACTGTAAATGTGGGAAATCATCTTTGTTTAATTAACAGTATTTTTACTTACAATGTTTATTTGGATTTACATAACAGAAAAGTGCTGATTCATATTTATATGACAGTTTTCCAAGCTCTCTTTATCCCACAGAATTAAACATGCTGATTTTGTTGCTGTGCATTTGAGACTGATATATGTGCTGTGAAAAAGTATTTGCCCCTCCCCAATTTCTTTTTTTGCATATTTGTCACACTTGAATGTTTCAGATCATCAAACTACCTTTGATGTTAGATAAAGGTAACCCAAGTAAGCACCAAATGCTGTTTTTAAATGATGATTTCATTGATTTAAGGAATAATGCTGTTCAGCCCTACCTGGCCCTATGTGAAAAAGTAATTGCCCCTTAGCTGCATAATCAACCAGTTAACGAAATTCAATTGGCTATTGGGTTAAGGTTCACTATCCACACCCAGGCATGATGACTGCCAGACCTGTTGAATCTAAACATCACTTACATAGAACCTGTCTGGCAATGTGAAGCAGGATAGAAGGTCTCAAAAAGCAGCACATCATGCCACAGTCTAAAGAGATTCAAATACATATGCAAATCAAAGCCATTGAAATCTACCAATCTACTTGCAAAGCTAGTGCTAAGGCTGTGGGACTCCAGCGAAGCACAGTGAGAGCCATTTTTCTCCGAATGTAGAAAACCTTGAAACAGTGGTGAACCTTCCCAGGAGTGACTGGCCTACCAAAATTTCACCAAGAGCGCATCAACAACTCATCCAGGAGGTCACAAAAGAACCCAGACAAACATCTAAAGAGCTGCAGGCCTTAGTTGCCTCAGTTATGGTCAATGTACATGATTCCACAATAAAAAAGACACAGGAAGAAAATGGCATCAATGAGAGTGTTGCAAGGCGTAAATCACTCCTGACCAAAAAGAACACAAAGGCTCATCTCAAGTTTGCTAAAAAAACATCTAGATGACCCCCAAGACTTTTGGGATAATATTCTTTGAACTGATGAGTCAGAAGTGGAGCTTTTTGGAAGACAGGGGCATGTTACATGTCTGGCATTCCACCATAAGAACATCATATCAGCAGTAAAACATGGTGGTGGTAGTATGATGATCTAGTTACTTTTTCACATGGGTGATATAGGTTTTGAATAAATCTTTAACTTCAATAAGTGGAATAATCATTTAAAAGCTGCATTTTGTGTTTTGTCTTTATCTTGTATTAAAATTAGTTGGATGATCTGAAACATTTAAATGAGACAAATTAGTAAAAATAGAAGAAATTGTAATAGGAATAGGAATTGGCATATAATTTTTTCACAGCACTGTAAATGAGTTCTGTGCTGTCCTGTATTGCGCCTTATTCAAAAAGCAGTCCAGACTCCTACAGTGTGAATGGGCAAGTCTAAACTGCTGTGCTCTGAATAGGTGGATCTATGTAAACTCCTTTATTGTTGTGACATCACAAAACCAGTGAATTCAAAACAGACTGTTTTTGCAGAGCAGTTTCCATATATGGACTTTTTTAGTGGTGGGTGAATGCTGTGTTTCGGAGCTTTAACAGTGCTTGCGTACAGATAATTACTATGTTTGAAAGTGCAAACTTTGCAAAACGATACATTAAGAGATTTTCACTATAAGTATATTAGCAGAAGTATAGTTCTGTACCAGCATGTTAGCTGACAGACTTTTTGCAGGATTTTTTACAGACTACTAATCAAAGCATTCATTAATTTAAGTGATATTCAATCAAGACACAATGTTTGCTGTACTTAATATGTTTCCTGATGTGAAGCAACATCTCAGTCCGTTTCTTAGCTCTTCTCTTTACTGGCAGACATGGTTGCCGTGGCGAGAAAGGTTCTGAGACGTGGAATGTCCATCAACCTGTACATGTTCCACGGAGGGACCAACTTTGGCTTCATGAGCGGCGCGTTAGCAAACCGCTCCTACAAGGCTCTGGTCACGAGCTATGGTTCGCATCATTCTTGATAAACTGACTTTCTTTGGTTTTGCTTACTGATCCAGAGTAAATAGAGTACAAGAGTAAATAATTCAGTGCGGTTGAGCTTTCAGTGGTCAAATGACCTCTGAGTGTGAGATTGCTGTGGTATTCTATTCCAAATAACCACAAGAGGACAGCATTAAGTCATTTTAGAGTTAGTGCACAGTCCTACATACAATAAGTCTCTAAGTCTCCACTCTTTTCACCTATTTCTAGTTCCGTAATGACATTTGTAAGCATAGAGTTGAGCTTATTTGAACTGTCTTTTTTATGTTACGTGTCATTTCTTCAGATTATGATGCTCCTTTGTCCGAGGCTGGGGATTACACACCGAAGTACCATCTCCTGAGAGATCTCTTCAGCCGATACAACAGTGCGTGACGACTTGTTCTTCTCATTTTATACCCACATAAAAGTAGACTTTCTATCTATATTGTTATATTGTTATATTGATTTTCTACCTATATTGCCATGTTGTTATCTAACTGCATTTATTCTGAAGTACTCTGCATTTCACAGCTGCCGTATCAAAACCTTTTAAATTTTCTTTTTTTACCTTTTGGAAACTCTGGCTACATGGTGTGAACATCTCATGATGAATTCAGCAATAGAAATAGGCCACACTTACTTGGATGTACATAACGTTCAGAACATTTTTTCTCCTCTTGCAAAATTTGCAATTTAAGGTTTAGTTAGAACAGCGAGCCTTATGCCATGTTCTGGTACTACAACCATAAACTCTTCGGAGCAGTGCTGTAGGATAAGCACTTTTGGTTCTCTAAAGAACCCTTGAATGGATGGTTCTTGAAATGAAAGTGAAGAACCCTTTTTAAAGTTTAAAGCACCTCCACATAATGTAAAGATTCTATACTAAGTTTTAACGTCAATGCCAGGAACTGTTTAGGAACCTTTTATTTGTGTCTTTTTTAAATATACATACATACATACATGCATACATCATCTAAACCGCTTATCCTTCTGGGTCGCGGTGGGGTGCTGGAGCCTATCCCAGCTGTCATTGGGCGGAAGGCAATATATATACAGTTGAATGCAATATCCTGGTCAAATGACATGTTTTGTTGATTTTCTAAGTGAAAATAAATGTTGAAATGTGGCATTTTATGTCAATTTTAGAGCCCAATTTCTATTTATTTGCTGAGTTTGACATATTGGAAAAAAAGTTCAAATATGAAATGTGGCATAACTTTTGCATAGGCCACATTTGATATTTTATTTATTTCTTTTTGAATATATTAAACTCAGCAAATAAACAGTAATTGTGCAATAAAATGTGCAGATGTGTAATTTTGATGAGGGGCGCCCAAACTTTTGCATGCGACTGTATTTGGCAAACCAGTAGTTCATCTGCACTGATGTAGCGTGTACCTGTTGCAGATGGCCAGCTCCCAGATATGCCAGCCCTGCGCTGGAAGGAAAGCTATGAGGCAGCGATCATGTACCAGCACCTCTTCTTATGGGACGCCCTGCCCTTCACACAGGAGGTGAGGCCTTTTTATAAAAACCTGCTTTTAAAGCAGAACCGTAGGCAGAAACAAATGTTTGGGTAGGTCTTTGAAAAAGTGGGTAGATACAAACTCAAATGAGCTAATGCACTGTCATTATATCAGGCTATAGGCTATTCGACACAGCCATGAACAGTCATCACCCTATCCATTTCAGCTCTTCCATCATATGGTGATACATAACAATAACAGTCAACCAACATAAACACAACGAACACTGCAGCACCCTTCACTGTAATGAATGCGTCCACTCAGTTAGACAACATAACTGAGTTAAAATAAGACAATTTACAAAGACGCGGAAAAAAACAAACTTATAAACCTAAACCTAATCATCCTAGGCTAAAGCTTACTGGCACGGCAGGTGGAGCCAAAGAAGATGACATGACTGAGATAAAATCAGACAGCCGAGATGTGCAAAGATGAGGAAGACTAACTAAACTAACATTAAACAAGCTTTTTTTTTTACATTTTTCCAAAGCCCATTTCAACCTTTGTAGAGCAGAAAACGGACAACAGTGAAGTTTTTTAAATTTGTTTTTGGCTTTGCATAAGTAGAAAATGACATACGCTATAAGAAGGAATCTCACTTTTAAATACCATCAGGCACATCTTTTAACCGCAACTGGAGCTTTATATTCAAACACTGCCACACTGATAACAAACCGAAGGCTTGAGGTAATGGCGGATATCAAGGGTTGGCAGTGATTGGAGGGCTGAGGGAAAAAAAGGGGACGGTATTATATCCATATTGTTGGATTAGCCATAATACAGTGATGGCACTCAGGAAACGGAAAACAAATCAGATTTCATTATCTTAAAAAATTTGGCTTAATAAATATTCTTTGATTGGACTGGCGTGTGATCAATCTGGGACGGCCCAACTATGCCCTTGTTTAAAATAACAATTTTTGTAAGAGTGACAAGCCCTTCATGTGATGTAAAGGGTCAATGCAGTCTTGAAAGTAAAGGTTCCTAAATGGTTCCTGGCTTGGACATACAGTCAGGTCCATAAATATTTGGACATCAACAAAGTTATTATTATTTTGGATGCCTATCACAGCATATTGGAGTTGAAATAAAATAATAAATAATGAAATAATATGAAAGTGCAGACATACAGCTTTAATTTGAGTCTATATTTTTATACCTCTCCCCACTCCAAAGCATACCACCTCATCAGTGAAGCATGGTGGAGGTAGTCTTATGGTGTAGGCATAAATTGCTGCCAGTGGAACTGGTTCCCTTGTATTTATTGATAATGTAACTGCAGACAAAAGCAGCAGGACGAATTCTGAAATGTATAGGGCTATTTTATCTGCTCGGATTCAGCCAAATGCCTCAAATGTCATCGGACGGTACTCCACAGTGCAGAAGGACAATGACCCGAAGCATGTTTCTTTCACAGTATGCGTCATTGTCCCATGCAGTTTTCATTATTAGATTCATCCACTCGGGGGAGAGGTCAGAAGCATTACAAAATACAAAATTCCATCATTACAAAATATTTTTCTGCATGTTGCGTTTCCACCAAATCCCCAAAACTTACAAACTGTAGCTAAAAGCAGAACATGACTTCATTTAATTATTCATGTAATTTCCAAACATGTATGTCCAAAATGTAGCATTTTTGAGAGTCACTTTTCTATGTTTGGAGTGGGTCGAATGAGATCAAAGTGAATTACAGTAGTGTAATGTAGCACTGGTATGTCCCTTGTATGCAGTCCATATATGGGTATTGTAGCATTTTAATCTAATCCAAGTCAAAATCCCATCAGATTATCTTTAAACAGTCTACTGAAGCCAGTTGATTGCAAAAAAAATTCAGTTATTTGTTTGTTCAATCTTGAAGCCATTTAAATCCCGGACCCCTGTCAACATGGAAAATCTTCCTGTAAACAACAACAATGGACAAGCGTATGGCTACACTCTCTACGAGACAACCATCACCACCGGAGGCTTCTTAAAATCGGGAAACAACATCCGAGACAGAGCCCTGGTGAGTGCTATGTTTAATTCTATTATAAAAATGTGTGGTTGTTCTTTATGTACCATATCAAAGCCTTATTGACTCTGGCACTTTACTCTGTGTGAACATTTACTGAAATAATACAAATGATCATAAATAAGAAATAAAATTGTATGTCATTACATAAAGTACATTAAAGAGCATTAAAGAACATTTTTCCTTGTCCTATAATGTCAAATGTATAATGTCAAGGTGATTTCAGAGATAGAAGATTATGTTATAAAGTTATGATCATATGTTCAAGGTCCTTTCTAATAACATTTCATTGCTGATAATCATAATTTCCCCCTCAGGTGTTTGTGGACAGAAGTTTCATTGGTTTATTCAATTACAAGACAGTGGAATTAGCCGTTCCTGATGGGAAGGTATTGCAATTTTCTTTATTGTCTCTGAGTTTAATATGAAATCTGTATATGAAATCTATATATTGCTCCCTTGAAAAATCTGTTCCTCACCCCAAATGAGGCATATGAAATATACCGTATACAGAGGATAACAGAATCTAGTGTAGAAGCTGGTGTTGGTCAGGTAGTTATTTTCTGAGCCACTTGATTTGGATCAACACTCATTGTCCATTTTATCAGCTCCACTGACCATATAGGAGCACTTTGTAGTTCTACAGTTACAGACTGTAGTCCATCTGTTTCTCTGCATACTTTGTTACCCTGTTCTTCAATGGTCAGGACCCCTACAGGACCACCAAAAAGCAGGTACTATTTGGGTGGTGGATCATTCTCAGCACTGCAGTAACACTGACGTGGTGGTAGTGTGTTAGTGTGTGTTGTGCTGGTCTGAGTGGATCAGACACAGCAGTGCTGCTGGAGTTTTTAAACACCTCAGTGTCACTGCTGGACTGAGAATAGTCCACCAACCAAAAATATCCAGCCAACAGCGTCCTGTGGGCAGCGTCCTGTGACCACTGATGAAGGACTAGAGGATGACCAACACAAACCGTGCAGCAGCAGATGAGCTTAATTCTGTGGCCTAGTGATTAATTAATGTTCTAGATGTTCTGGAAAACTGATGTTAACTTATGCAAGTCTACTACTGAGTGTATAACTCACATTGAATATGATGCAGGATGAATAACGGCAGTAAGTGAAGCCTATCAAGTGGCTATTAAAACTTTTCTACACTTGAAATTTCCATGAAAATTGACCTAAAAGTGTTGCAATCTCTGACTTGGAGATTACAGATTCTATAGCATATTTTCTTTTTGACCAATAAATTATTCTAGAAGGAAAAAATCACATTATCATTAATATTAAAGCACATCAGCACATCCAAAACTACAGAGTTTCACATCTAAATCTGTGTATTTTTGTAGGAGGAGCGCACTTTGAGCTTACTTGTGGAAAACTGTGGGAGAGTGCATTATGGCCGCACCTTAGACCACCAGCGCAAAGGTACTGGAACACATTCATGGTTAGAAAGAAACAAAATGTTTTGGAAGTAAGAAAGAAATAAATTGGTTGTTGGAAAGAACAAAAAAAGAACTGTGTAAAAGTCAGAGAGCATCCTTCATTTACTTAATATCCATTCAAACAGCCATTAAGAAGAAGTTATTCATTTGTCATTAGATATTAGATATAAGATCATGCATTTGTGTAAGGAAGCAGAAAATCAAAAGAAATTAAGTGAAAAAAGAAGGAGTTTCCAAAACTGGAGTTCAAAAAATGATTAAAAGCTACAGAGAAAGTGGGGCTCCTAACAACCACCTGGAAGACCTGGTAGACACCAAAACTGCCCCATCAGATAAACAGCACTTAAAGCTTTCATCTCTGAGAGAGAGGAGAAAATCAAGCTGCTCCAGATCTGAAAACATCCACAGGTGTTTCTGTCCATCCTTCCACTGTGAGAAGACGACTCAGCGCTGTGGGTCTGAAAGGATGTGTAGCTGTTCAAGAAGAACCTCACTGAGAAAAGGAGACGGACACATCAAACAAAGAAGCTGAACGATGGACTGACCACCCCAGAGTCCAGACCTCAACATCACTGAATGTGTTTGATTACTTCAGAAAATGATCAACCAGCTTCTAAGACTGAACTTTGGAGGTGTGTCTGTAGATTCTTTGTGAAACTGAAAGTGAGTCTCCTGAAAAGAATGGAAGCTGTAATAAAGGTAAAGAGTGACACACTGAATACTGAAAGAACTGATATTATGTACAGTAAGTTTCTGTGTAATTTCCTGTTAAATATGTTTTCTGATTTATTTCCTGAAGCAGAAAATTGAATAACTTGTACTTAATGGCCATTTTGACTGTAAAGTAAATGAAGGAAGGGTGCTCTCTGATCTTTTCACAGTAATGCAGTTTACAGTTTAGTATATCATTGCTGTCCAAAGAAAACATGCATCTCCATTTTTGTCAATTTTTATTTTTTCCGTGTCATTTGGATGCATCCTTTCTCCTTTATATTGTGTGAAAATTTGATGATGATTGGACCAATAGAAATGCCTCAGAATCAATTAGAATAAAATCTCTTTACATTGACTTACATTGAAAGTTAAGGGCGTTTTTGTGCTCTCCTGTAAAGTTAGCATTTTGGACATACTTGTTTTTCATTGGACGGTGGCAATATTTTTTGTGATGCCCTTAATGAGGACAGATGTAAGTAAGTTTGATTTGTACTAACTGCAAACTGCTACTTACTGATATTTACCACATGTATCTCTGAATCATTTGGCTTTATGTGAAACTCATTTTGAGAGGCTTCAGAAATATAACAGTCCAGTTTTTTCCAGGTATTGTAGGGGACATTTTATTGAACAATGTGCCGCTGAGAGACTTCACCATTTACAGCCTGGACATAACACAGAGTTTCATTGACAGGTCAGTGAGAGCTTTATGTCATATGTTTTCTGAGAGAGAGTTCTGAATAGGGCTGGGGATCCACGTTTCAGTACTTAAACAGAAACAACCAAATTACTTCCGAAACACTACCAAGTCTCAAAACATTCCATATTATTCAATACCAAATTTCAGTATTAAGTAGTCAGACTTATCAACATCTGTGAACCAATAAGCATGCTTGTTTCAAAATCCAGGCTGCTGATTGGTCGTCTAAATTATATTCCACATGCATGTCATTAGTGTCAGCATGTCTTAATTAGTCTGTGATCTGTTGTGGTCAGTAAATGTACCCACCCACAGCTCCTCACATTGGGCCAGATTCATAAAACGCAGCTCCAGATTTACTGTGACACAGAGAGCAAATAAAAAAAAATATTTTTTATTTATTTATTTATTTATTTCAATTTACAATGGATTTTACAAATAATTCAATTTCCACATGTGAAATGCATTTCTTACTAGTAAGAACTGAATTTTTGCTGGTTGATATTTAATATTTAATTTCCTGATATCAATAATAAATATATACTGTTTATAATTAATTATCAGATGTGCAAATTGAATTCTTGATATCAATAATATTTATTATTTAAAATTTAATTTTCACATGTGTAAATTGAATTCCTAAGATAAAACATAGGATATAAAAACTAAAATGGCTTAATATAGTTATTAGAATTCCAGCATGTCAATTTAAATTTTAATTGTAATAAAAATACCAAATATTAAACTTTCATTTATGGTAGTATAATTATTACCATAATTATAATCAATTGGAAAAAACTTAAATTATTTTTATTATTATTATTATTATTATTATTATTATTATTATTGAATTATTTGATAGACAAATCAATTTTACGTGCTAAAATATAATTCCTGCAATAAAAAAATTAAAATGTTATAATTAGATTTTTAAATAATTTTTTATAGTAAAACATTTTCTGAAGTTAAAAGCATTTTTACTGAGGAACTTACTATTACTTTCTAATATTACTATTAGAACTTTTTCCCTTAAAATTCGTAGCTCTGTGTCCGAGAATTTTGGGGTTTTTTGTTTCCTTGTTTTCGTTTCTTTCACCGTCTTGTAATCAGTGAAAATACCACAGCGTTAAAAAGACAACAGTGCGCAGATCACCACTACTGCGGCTTTATGTATAGATGTGAAATACTATGGCGCAAAGTTTATGAATCTGGCATAGTGTTTCGGGTTTAGGCCACACCCACTTTCGGTTTGTAATTTAGAAAGTTTCAGAAAAAGGATCATCCAAAAACCAATATCAGACTCAAAGTAGCGAACTGAAAAATCTGACCAATACCCAGCCGTAAATTCTGCATAATTTACTGAAGTTTACTTAAGTAATTTTGATTTAATTATCATTTCCAGACTCATGAATATTAACTCATTTTGCATATTTTTTCATGTATATGTGCTTTAGGATGTGAATGTTAAATGTTATTTTTCAAAGCTGCTGCATAATTTAACCATTAAAATGCACAAAGTCATTCAGAGTGGTTTGAAGTGAAATGGTTCATTGTAGAAAAACTTACTCAGATTTATTTACAGTGGTGGTGAGAGGAACCAGGGGGTCGCAAATATAGCCTCTTTTTTACTGTCCAAAACCACCCTGCATAGCAAACCCTCCACTATGAATTTAGTTCAAAAATATGTTTTAGGTCAAAAGCTTATCCCAAAGCAATATCTCAGGCACCCAGCTGGTTATTTGTAAACGTTTTGTGCAACTTTTAAACTAAGTTTTTCAAGATATTAAAAGCTTTGGACGTCTGGTTCCTATCACCACCACTGTGAACAGTTCTGACTTTGTACGTTTCTCCAGAACAGAGCGTTTCACACCAAACCACTCTGAATGACTCTGTTTACATCTTAATTCTTTAATTATGCAAAATGGATATGGAATTCCCCTTTAAGGGTTTAATGGGGGAGTTTGATGAAACTGGACTTTTATTTAGTTTGTACAGAGCGCCATGGAAGTCTCTTCCCAACAAGCCAAGCTTTCCAGCATTTTTCCTTGGAAGGCTGTTCGTGGACGGCTATCCGGGCGACACGTTTGTGAAGCTGCCAGTGAGTAACATGATTTGACGCTTCTGTGCCCCGTTTTAATTTTGATGTAACTTCTCTGGAGTGTAAAACTGCTTCAGATGACTTGTTATGAATTGAGTGAAGGTGGAGATTCAGCTGCACTGATTTTGGAATGTTTGAGTGGATTATGATCAGTTATAAAAATATTTAATGAAGTATGCATTTATATTTTTCTCATAAATAAAATTCTCAGAAGAGTTGGCCATATCAGTGGGAGAGCTGGCCAGCGAGTGGAATTGGCCATGACTAAACTGGGGAGAAAAACTGGTCACAAATTCAAAATAATTAAATAAATAAATAAACATAATATACAACATTGGCTATTTTCAAACATAAAACCCAAAAAATAGTGATCACTTTTGCACATTCTGAAGATTCTGAATTGTACTGAAGTAATACAATCAAATAATGGTGAAATTAGACATTTCATGATGTGCTGATTCATTTTAAAGAATCATAACCAGTCCAGCGATCTGTGATTACCAGGGCTGGAGCAAAGGCGTGATCTTCATCAACGGTCAGAACCTTGGACGCTACTGGGACGTCGGTCCACAGCAAGCACTCTACGTACCAGGCCCTTTCCTCAACAGTGGAATCAACCAAGTCAGTTGATTTAAAGCATTATTTTGCCTAAAAAGGTCTAATTTATGCAGTTTCCGCAGCAAAATGTAGTCAAACAGCCAAGGTTGGTTTGGTATCTGAAGTTTGCTTCTTTCATTTTAAACTAGAAAAGTGCATTTCCTGCAGAAACTGCTGAGTGATTGCACAGCTTAAGCTTGCTAAGATGTTGCTATGTGGTTGCTATGGCATCCCAGGTGGTTGTTAGGAAAAAATGTACATATATTTGAAATATATGCCTGACCATTTAGGACATAAGTGCATATATGGCCATATATCAGGTTTCTATATGGGATTGTTCCAGACAGTATTTTTATTGCAAGCCAATATGCTCTTAAAGTCAGAATTCATTATCTGTCGATTTTTTAAATAATAAAAACTGAAAAATGCTGCTTGCAAGAGTCTTCATCCCTTCCATCTGGTACATTGGTAGAACCTATTGCTGCAAAAACAGCTTTAAGTCTGTTGTGGAAGGTTTTTCCCAGCTTTGCATACTGCTTGGGAGAGATTTTGACCAGGCAGATTTGCTCCAGGTTGTTCAGGTTGGTTGGGTGACACTTTTGGACTGCAGCTTTCAAATACAGTCACAGATTCTCGATTGGATTAAGATCTGGACTTTGACGTGGCCACTGTACAACATTCACCTTTTTGTCGTTCAACCACTCCTGTTGCTTTGGCTGAAAGGAAACGTTTCTCCCAAGCTTTAGCTTTTTTAGCGGACTGAAGCAGATCATCTCCCTGTATTTCGCACCATCCATCTATCCTTTAACAACATCTTTGGTCCCTGCGGAGTAAAAAGCATCCCCACAGCATAATGCTGCCACCACCATACTTCACTGTTGGGATAGTGTTTATGGAGTGTTAGGTTCGTGCCACATAAAGCTCCATTTTTGTCTCATCTGACCAAAAATCCTTATCCCATGTTGTAGCTGGGTCACTCCACTGCTTTCTAGCAAACTCCAGATGTGCTTTAATGTGTCTTTATTTCAATAGTGTTTTTTTTATGATATGGGGTCTTTAAAATGTGCAGCAGCACATTTTCTGTAAAGGATGTGTTCACTTATTTTCAGTGACCAGGAGTGCCCAAACTTTTGCACAGGACTGTATTGATTTAATGTTGTGGCATTCCTCTTCTCCCTTATCTGCTTCTTCAGTGTCTCGCATTCACATTTCAGGTCATCGCGTTCGAGGAAGCAGAGGCTGATTTCAAAATCCAGTTTGAGGACGCTCCTGATCTGGGAATGACCGTCGACATTTAGTGACCACAGTTCCAAATGGATTCCTGACAGTTTGATCATGGCACAGGACTCTAATCCTGATGATATTTTATACAGCCGTTACCATTCAGGACTGAGTTTCCCAAAAGGACTTTAATTTTAAGAGTACCTGAAAGGGGAATTCCACTGACTCAGAACCGGGGGTCAAAATATCCACAATATAAATTATATTATATTATAAATAATATAAATTATAATTATATTATAATCAGTTTATTTACTGTCCAAAACCACCAGTGAACCTACAAGAGTCTTCTGGGTTTTTCGATGTAATGTTGATGATAGTAAAATAGTGATAAATCTGACATACTTTTCTTTGGGGACTATTTTGCCTCATGAAGCCCTGCATGCACCCCTTCCACCTAAAAGCTCATCTTAAAACTATCATAACACAATGTCTCAGTCATCAGGCAACATATTCACAAGCAATTTCATCTAATATTTTTTTTCTGACATCTGGTTCCTATCACCACCACTGTGAACAGTTCTGACTATGTAAGTTTCTATAGAACAGAGCATTTCTACAGAAGTCCAGAGAGACCATGAGCTGTTGCTTTAATTTTCTGGATTGTTATCTTGAGATCACAAGATAGTTAACTCATAATCTCAAGATAACAACTTTGTTGTCTTGAGATCACAATATAATTAACTCTTTATCTCATGTTGACAACTTTGTTGTTTTGAGATCACAAGATAATTAACTTGTTATCTCAAGATAAGAAGACAATTAACTCTATCTCATTATATCAAGATAACTTTGTTGTCTCGAGACCACAAGACAATTAACTCCTTAAGATAACTGTTGTCTTGAGATCACAAGATAATTAACTCTTTATCTCAAGATAACTTTGTTGTCTTGAGATCACAAGATAATTAACTCTTTATCTTAAGATAACTGTTGCCTTGAGATCACAAGATAATTAACTCTTTATCTCAAGATAACTTTGTTGTCTTGAGATCACAAGATAAATTGTTATCTCAAGATAACAACTTTGTTGTCTCGAGATCACAAGATAATTAACTCTTTATCTCAAGATAACTTTGTTATCTTGAGATCACAAGGTAGTGGCTATCTCAAGATAACACTCCAGAAAATGAACCCTACCTCATGGCCTCTCTGGACTTCCGTACATTTCACACCAAACCACTCTGAATGACTTTGTTTATATCGTAATGATTTAATTATGAATGAATATTTAAAAAGTGGTGGAATTCCCCTTTGACTGTTATAGAGGATAAGCTTTGTGTTCAGTGTATGTAAATGAACATTTCTTAACCAGTTTTATACAGGAGTGACGTCTGTGTCTGAATGACAGTGTGCTGAGTATGATTTACTGAACTTTGTTCATTGTTTGCTTATTTATTAAGTTACGGATGTTAAGTTTTTTGATAAATCTCAGAACCAGGTGTGGCAGTGCTGTGTTTATTGGCTGTTTTCTGTTGTCTCTATGTGCCTCTTTGAACTACCATGAACTAAGCCAATGAACAAAATCCTGAACTAAGACATCGTCCATAAACAAGAAATATGATAATCTATTATGAATCAAGTTACTGACATTTTTCAATACTTTCAACCAAAGTTGTTCCATTAGCATAGCAAACCTAGACCTACTTACAAATGAACATTCATGAAAGTCATTCACAGGAACTGACTGCTGAGTGCTGGTAAAACAGGGTGTACAGTGAGGGGAAACGGGTATTCAGACACACATGTTTTTGTTATTTAATATACCTCCAGCAAATTTATGTACATAATGTCTTTTGACTTTGTACTTATAAATATGAATGAAAAGGGCTGGGCAATATGACAGTATATATCATTATCCTGATAAATTATGTCATAATACAATACAATATCGCTGCTGTCGGAACAAAACCTTGTATCTCCATTTTTCAGTTTTTGACACAAGTTGAAAATGCCTGTTGCCATTTACATTCTATGTAAATTTCATGATGAATGAAACAAAAGAAACCCCAAAAATAAAAAAAATAAAAAGAAAGCCCAAAATTATGTGGAAAAAAGTCTGGTTCCATTGACTTACATTAAAAGTAAAGTATCTTTTTTCCTTCTCCTGTAAAGTTACCATTTTGGAGATATGAGGTTTTGTTCCAACATCAGCGATATGCTTTTCTGAACATATCCTGTATATCATCAGTACTTGTAGAACACTGACCAACTGTTGGAGGCCTGTTTCATTATAAAGAGAGCAAAATTAGTCCTGTTTAACTGGATTTAGTGCAGCACCGTGTGCCAAATATTCAATAGAAATCATGTACACCGTTTTTGATAGTCATTTTTAAAATGTAGGTTCTATTTTTTCTGTTCTGCATCTGAAGAAATAAATATTGTGACATGTATTGTGTAAATTTCTTAAAGTATCACAATATTATTTATTTGCCATATCGCCCATATCTACTAAAAATATGTATTCACAAGCATAAATAGTGGTAGTTTTAGATATTAAAGATATTCAGACACCACACATTGAAAACATTCAAAGCCATTGTTGGCAGTTACAGCTTTGAGATGTCTACGGTAAGAAGTCATTAGCTTTTTGCAATTTTTGGCACATTCCTCTTGCCAAGCCATCTTCAGTTCTCCAAGGTTATGAGTGTCCCGCTGATGAAATTTCAAAATCCTCTTTAAATTTTCCATGAGATTCAAGTCAGGAGATTGGCTTGGCCGTGCATATACCTTCACTTCACTTCTTGTTTCTTTCAGAAACCAGGATTGGCTTTATTTTGGTATATTTAACATCATTGTCATGTTGAAATGTCCATCTTCTACGCAGATTCAGCTTCTTGGCTCATGAGATTAAATTCTCCTCTAATATCTACAGGTACATCATTCCATTCATGCTTCCTTCAATGACATGTAAATGCCCTAGTACCGTTTTCAAAGAAGCAGCCCCATATCACGATACTGCCACCATCATGCTTCACTGTGAGTGTTCTTGGGATCAACCCTTCTTTCTCCAAACATGATGAGCTAAATTATTGCCAAGGAGTTCCATTTTTGTTTGGTCTGACCAGAGTACATCATTCCAAGAGTTCTGATTTGTCTAAACGCTGGATTTTCCTCTGTGCTTCTTTTTTAGCAGAGGAGGTTTGCCTGGGCTGTAGGGACGGAGATTAATGTAGTGCAGTTCGTCGCTTATTGCTCTGTGTATAACTGTCGAACCAGTAATACTGACGGGGATGTTTAAGGTGTTTGCTAGGATTCTGTAGCTTTTTCCATTCGAGTGTTGTTGAACAATGTTGTTCCTGAGAACTTTAGGAAGCTCCTTCACCGATTGCTACTTGTTGTCAATGGCAACGTCTTTTATAATGACACCAAGTGCAATATGCACTAGAGCGTTTTTATTTGTGCAGCATTAATTTGTAGAATCTAATGTTTTTATTTGTGCAGCATTAATTTGTAGAATCTAATGTGCATGTGTACTTTTTTAATGTTTACATACATGTTTATTCTATATAGTGTCTGAATACTTTTCCCCCCTTTCCATATTTATGCTTGTGTATAAGTATTACATACTTTTTGTTTATATTTATAAGTACAAAGTCAAAAATATAGTGGATTTATGCAGTGGAACTATATTAAATAACAAAAACAAAAGTTTCTCAATACTTCTATCTAGTTCATAATAACTTATGTAATCTAAAAGTAATATGCAAGTAAAATGCACTTGTTTCTATGAATCGGTACATGCTAAGGCTGAACAATATAATGCTTGGTAACTGATATCGCAATATCAGTCTTCACAATACTGAAATCAAAGAAATCTCCAATATGCAAATGAGTCTCTAAAGGAAAATGTCCAGGAATGTTTTAGTGGCCGTTATTCATCAAAGCTGTGTAAAAAAAAGTCTTTAATTATACGCGAACTACTCTGCGTCTGATTTTGTGCGGCGTGGAAATGAGTGGAGATTTGAACACAAATGATGAATCAGCCTCGGCGCGTGAAATCAAGCGCAAGCCTACCAGCTCCTCATTTAACAGATTATTTACAGGAAGCACGCCCTTATTGGTGCAGATGTTTTGGTAGGGAGCTTGTGAGTGATGGCTGTGCTCGTAGGTGGAGTTTGAGGCAGAACAGTGAGTGCACTGCTCCCCCTACTGGCCAAATTGTATAGTGTTAAAATTAAAACGACTGGAGAAAATAATGTGAAATAAACAAAACATCTCTGTGTTTTTAAGATGGTAGATGAAGTGACTGTGTAGTGTAAATAATATTTAATGATGTATTATTGCATTGCATGAGATGCTTCAAGCGGAGTCAATAGTATAAAACAAAAGCAGGATAATATGTCTTTAAATAGAGCATGGAATAATTGTTTGTTTATACCAATGTGCATGTAAAATAAGTACATTTGTACTGCATAAATCATTAGTACTATTATTTTCTGTTTGTATTCTTATTATTGGTATTATAGATGACATTGATGATAGTTTTGATTAACCCCAAATCAACTACGCAGCTTTGAAGAATAAAGGCCACTGTGTTCTACGAACATCATGACCAGTCATAGACGTTCTTAGATGTTTAGAGACGGGTGTGTGTATAAATTGAGGCCAATCACTTTGGTCAAAGTAATGCTGGCCAATCTTCAACCAGTATATTTCATTATATTACCAGGCATATCACAATGGCAACATGTGGCAATATAATCTCAATATGCTGTTTTGACCATATCGTCCAGCCCTGGTGCATACAGTCTCTAACCAGCTCCAAACAGTTTTCGCACTGACCTTTTGTTTCAATGGGCTACTGTCCCCGTCTTAACTCGGCGAACATACAAAGTCAAAGTAGACGTAAGAAAAAGAGTGTCGTTCTCCAAACACGAAACAAAAGTGCTCCTCATTAGAGCCGGAGTACGGCTGGCCATCTGAATGGCCCAGTGTGAGGACAGGGTTCATGTCCACTATGATAATTAAACTATTGCTCAGCGCTGACTCATGCCGGACAAGAGTCTCTTTCTTCTGTGGCTGATCAAATGGCTATCGAGTGCGAGAAAACAGAGAAGTAGACTCTCCATAACTAAAGGGCAGATGGAAAATGTCCATTCACCTGCTGTCTGGAGATGCTGGTTACTTTTGAAAGTCTTTTAGGGTCACATTTGCTGGAAATAGAGTGCAGCTGTATCTGTGTATTACATGGCTCTAGAAGGTCCTATCAGTGCATTTCTTCTTTTACATTAGAAACAATATTGCAACGTCCCATATGTGCTTTGAGGCTCTATTATTATTAACATATTAATTCAGTATTGAACTGAAAGCAGTGAGGGCTTCGTGATGCCATTAGAAGAGTATATCAGGCACACTGTGGTACCAGTTCATGACTGGTAGGAGCTTCGCCTTGAGCTTTTTGTGCAAGGCTGCCAGAACCCTTCATATCTCCACACTGAAATCAGTAAATCCCTTTTTCCCTTCGTTGACCAAAACGGGTCTTTCAGTCCGAGTGTGCCACACCAGTACCTGCGAAAAGAGAAAAAACAAAATATCTAATGAATACATCTTGATTGTAGGTAAAATATATACACACACACACTGCTGTTGTCAAAACAAAACGTTGCAAAAACAACGTCTATGGCTACGTTCACATTACCAGGTTGAAGTGGCACAAATCCGATTTTTTGTGACTCAGATCTGATGTTTTCAGGGCTGTGTGGACACAAATCTGATCTTTTCAAATCCGTCCCGAGCCACTCTGGCTACATTCACATTACAAGCCTCGTGGCTCAAATCCGATCTCTCTGACACGATGGTTCACACTCGTTTAGGTAAGTGACTCAAATCTGTCATTAATGTGACAAACCGGCGTCCTGAAATGAGCCGCATGAGCTCATCCTACTCAGTAACGTCACGTGAGCAGAACGAGCTTCGCTGAGAAGATAATTAACTCTGATCAGCTCTCAGCTTCATTATTAGAGCGAGACGAAGGAGAAAAAGGTGAGATGCGCTGCTTTTCCACCGTTTACAGGCTTTACCTTCTGTTCAGCGCTGCTGCCATGGTAACGCTGAATGACGGTACACGCGCAGTGGGAAAAAAAGCACATGAATTCCAATCTGTGGTCGCATGGCCACAAATCGGATATGTATCAGATCTAGGACCACATATGAAAGTGGCTTAGGATTTGAAAACATCAGATCTGAGTCACATTAGGGCAAAAAATCGGATTTGTGCCACTTCAGCCTGGTAATGTGAACGTAGCCTTTCATATTCATGCGGCTCATTTCAGGACGCCGGTTCGTCACATTAATGACAGATTTGAATCACTTACCTAAACGAGTGTGAACCATTGTGTCAGAGAGATCGGATTTGAGCAAGAAATCGGATTTGAGCAATGAGGCTTGTAATGTGAACGTAGCCTAAGACTGAACTTTGCAAGCTATAATAAAGGTACACAGTGGACAAACTAACAAAAAAAAATAGTTGTTGAAGGTTTTTTGTTATTTTCTGATAAATATACGTTTATGCTTTTTCCCTAATGCTGAAGTGAAGATAAGTTAACTCTTTTCCAGATGTTAAACTCAAATAAATAGTAATTGTGCACTAAACAAATCATTTGACCTGTGGGGTGTTCAACATTTGCATACATATAATTTCAACCCCGTCATCCGAAAAGTGTTCTACTCTTTTTAGGTTTAGGTCTCAATGCAAAATTAACAATTTACTGGTGAAGATATGATAACAATACTAGATAAATCAATATTCAAACACAGCCTTCACCACGTTTTGACTGACCTACTGCGAATAACTCTCAAATAAATCTCAGGAGTTGTACAAAGTCCTCCTGTGCCATTACTGCTGTAACAATGGCCACTTTATAATGCACTGCTAGAACCTTTTTTTTGGAGGAAGAAATTTTGAGAACATATTGTTGCTGTCAAAAAAAAAAATCTCAATTTTTTTTCTATATCATTTTTTTTCTAAATCATATCAGAGCACAGAAAAATGGTCCTGTAAAGAACCATGAACACTTAAAGAACTCTTTGCATGATTAAAATGTTCCTTGCATCATAAAAAGAGTTCTTTGGAATTTGCTGTAGATGATTCTATATAGAACCTTTTTGAAAAGGGTTCTATATAGCACCCAAAAGGGTTCTTCTATTGTTATATGGTTAAACTTGTAACAATAGAACAAACCCTTTTCAAAAAGGTTTTATATAAAACCATCTACAGCACATTCTGCATCAATCTGAAGAACCATTTCACGATGCACAGAACCCTTTAATCATGCAAAGGGTTCTTTGAGTGTTGATGGCTCTTTACAGAACCATTTTTCTTTACTAAAGAACCTTGAAGAACCATCTTTTTGTAAGAGTGTTTGATTGAAAAAAAAATGACAAAAATATTGATAAAATGTGACAAAATACCAACAAACACTTATTTATAAACACCACATGTATTTAGATATTCTGTATATCTAGGACAGTTTCCATTTGCAGCGAGGGGGCAAAAGCTATAAAGCCTTTTCATACCCAGAACCTTTTTTTTGGAGGAAGAAACTGCCAATATTGAAAACATATTGTTGCTGTCGAAAAAAAAAGTGTGCAAGTCTGCAATTTTTTCTATATCATTATTTTCCTAGATCATATCAGAGCACAGCAGCTGCTGTTTATACTGTGTGAAGGTTTCGTGACGGATGAACCAACATAAAAGCTCCAAAATTGCTTGGAATACATTGACTTACATGAAAAGTACAGAGAGTTTTGCCTTTCCTGTTAAGTTGCCATTTTGGAGACACTTGTTTTTCTTTGGACAGTGACGATTTATTCAAAACGCTGTTCAGGATTTATTTACTCTTCTAATTTACTAACTACTAAAGTGTTGTTTAAAAGCAATAAGACACTTTAAACAGTGTCAGCAGTCGCGGAACGACTCGAAGGAACTGAGGGTCACCTTTGTGCAGTTGTCGGCCTTGGGCTCCAAGTCACCGAGAGTGACCAGCTCCCTCAGCAGGCTGCTCTCCTGGTATCCCCCTTTAACTCCCTTCAGCTTAAAATAGGCCTGAGGTTTGCTGAGGACGAGCTGGAGGTTGATGGCGAAGCCGGCCATGTCGATGGCGAAAGGGCGGTGAGGGTCGAACACGGTCCTCCAGCCGTACACTTTACCCATGGTGTTGATCTTAGGCGACTCGTAACGGAGTCCGCCCACGAATGCAACCGGCCAGACGGAGACCTTCTGCGTGGAGCGCATCTGAAAGAAAGGTCAGGGTGAGTGGGCGGCTAAGTGTTAGTGGCTTTTTCCTCAGAGCTGAGCAGCTAAGGACGCTGCCCGTCAAAAGTTTGGGGACAGCTTGCCTTCTTTTGATATTGTTTTCATGTAATGGTTCAATTTTAATGTCACTTTTTAATTCAAAAAATAATTAATTAATTTTAATTTTTACTAATGTCCACATGAACACATTTGTGTGGTTTATCTACAGCCTTAATACATTTTTAGGTCAATTTCACTTAGAAAAACACTTTTTTTTTATTTTTCTTTTTTACTATTTTTTTACTATTTTTTACTAAGACTGATATAAATGACCTGTGTTCTGATAGGCTGCTATGTGTGACATCACAACCATGAGGAAGTCAAAGCATATATCGACTGTGTGGACTGGGGAGTGACTTGTACTACAAAATGGGATTGGGTACACTGTTAAAAAAAGATCATCTATAAAGAACCATGAACACTTAAAGAACCCTTTGCATGATTAAAGGGTTCTCTGCATCATAAAAAGAGTTCTTCGTGTGTGATGTAGAACCTGTCTGAAAGGGTTCTATATAGCACCCAAAAGGGTTCTTCTATTGTTACGATGTTAAACCTGTAACAACAGAAGAACCCTTTTCAAAAAGGTTCTACATAAAACCATCCACAGCACATTCTGCATTAATCTGAAGAACATCATGCAAAGGGCTCTTCAGTGTTCATGGCTCTTTATGGAACCATTTTTCTTTACTAAAACCCTTGAAGAACCATCTTTTTTAAGAGTGTTTGATTGAAAAAATGACAAAAATGTTGATAAAATGTGACAAAATACCAACAAACACTTATTTTTAGCATAATTTAAAACCATCAAGTCATCAAGTTATGAAACTGTACACATTGACGCTAATCTTGCATATAAGACCACTTTCATTTATATTAAAAGAGAGCATTAAGTATTTTAAGTATGCATAAATGAGTATATTAAATAAGTATAAAATAAGTACATTAAATTTGACATTTTTTTCAGAATTTCTGCATAATTAAATGATTAAGATGTAAACAGAGTCATTCAGAGTGGTTTGGTGTGAAACGCTCTGTTCTAGAGAAACTCCAGTCTGAACTGTTCACAGTGGTGGTGATAGGAACCAGACATCCACCTCTAAAAGCTCCCTTACAGAAAGTTACTACATGAAGTAGTTATGAATTCACTGCCTGATGTCTGAGACACTGTTTCATGATATTTCTGAGGTCATTTTTGGCCTAAACAATTTTTTTTAAATCCATTCATGGTGGAGGGGTACCTTTAGGGTATTGTGAGGCAAATTAGTCCCCAACGAAAACATATTTTTTCAGATTTATTACGATTTTATCATCATTAACATTTATATATAAACACTCAGAAGACTTGTGTAGGTTCACTGGTGGTTTTGAATAATAAATAAAATGGCTATATTTGTGTTGTAGATGTCAAGACTCCTGGTTCCCATCACCACCACTGTAAAGAAATCTCAGTGCGAGTCTCTACAAAGTTTCTCTACAATTAGCATTTTAATCAAACCACTCTGGAAGACTGTTTACATCTCAACCAGTGAATTATGCAGAAATTTTGAAAAATCTGTGGAATTTCAGTTTAAGGCTTGGAAATAGTGAGTCCTGTGAGTTGGTGGAACACTTTAATCTGTTTGTTGAACTTTTTTGCCGGCTGTGTCTGCATCTTTGAGTTGCACTGGCTAAAAGGAGAAAGCTAACTTTGTCGTCGTTACTAATCAGAGGATCAGTTTCTCTGTCTTCTTAGCCTTCTTTCTGAGTTCTCAGTGTTAAATAAAAAAGCGCTTTGGACTTGATGTGAAGGTTTCAGTGCGTTAAATCCATAAAAACCAACACAGTGAAAAGACCTCACAATTCAATTTTACACTACAGTGCAGTTTCTGATGGTGTTTTTTGTGAGCCAGCACTCCATTACGACATTCACCCGTATCATGGCAACTCACTCCTGTGTGTAAATGAAGTTTATACAACAGTTAGTTCCGGCCACACAAGCTGATTGGTTGAGAAGCGTTTTTTCACAATCACTGTATCACTCCGCTGAGACGTTGTTGCTAAGCAACGACTTTGACAGCTGTAGGAGACGCTCAAGCCATTTGAATGTTTTTACTTCTTACTTTGCCACAAACAGAAAACGGACACTTAAGATCACATTTGACCAACAGACGATTTGGTCAGACTCTGAAAGTGAGACGACACTAAATTCCCAAACTGTCATCACCACTGAGCAGCTTTTCAGTCGGCAGCTGTGACAGAAGAACAGCTGAACAACCCGGAATCAGCCAGAAATGAACCCAATACCATTCGCCAAACGTGTAGTCTGATCTTCAGAGTCTGATCAAATCAGACTGAGCCATAAAACTGACGCAATAAAATACAAAAAAGCTGCTCAGTGGTGATGACAGTTTGGGAATTTAGTGTAAGGACCTGGAGAACGAACTGCTGGCTGTGAGCGCTAGAACACTCGAGGTCGTGTGTTATCGCCAATAACATCACGGCTGTGATGATCTACAGCGACCAAATCACAGCCGTGATGTTATTTCGCGATAACACACTCCCTCTGGTTTTATACTGCCAACATAAACAGGATTAGAGTTTCAGATTATGGATCGGAGCACAGAATGCTCATGCATGCAAAATGGAAAAAAAAAAACATGGTCAATTCTTCTTATTGACTTGGCTGTGATCAGTAATAGATGTGCAGATACTGAGCTTCTGCAAATACCTCTCGTAAAATAGAGAAAATGTGGAGAGGCATCTTTCAGTTATTCTGGTTCTAAACACTGGAACTCAATTCCATTTACATAACATTTGAAAACGTATCTCTCTAACTTAGCACTCACTCATTAATTTGATCTCTCATTGTCTTATATGATTTTAAATTAATACTCGCAGGTTCTTCAATTACTGTTAAATGTTGTCACCTGTCTGTAAAGCACTTTGAGCTGCTACCGGTATGAAAAGTGCTCTATAAATTGAAGATATTATTATTTTTACATAATAAACGAAAGATCAATCAGCATCCCAGCCCTATTCAAAATAGCAGAGAAGGTTCGTTTTCCCCTTTAAACTGTTTCAAACAGACATGCGAAACATGCTCATTGATTAAAAACAGGTTAAAATGTCAGGTGTCCCCAAACTTTCGACAGGTCAGCATGTGTAGTGAATTTCTGTTCACCTCACCTCCTCAAACAGCTCCAGACTATATGTGTTGTCATCGTCAGCAAAGTACACGACCCCGCGGTGGTCAGCGCCACGTCCGAGGGCTTCCCGGAGCCAGCGCAGACCCAGGTTCCTCTGGGCGGTCCCGCGGGGCACGCGTGCAGCCCGGGGCTCTCTATGCAGCCTGTAGGCCCGGGGGGTCTCCACATTCAGGTGGGTGTGGTTCAGGCCTGTGCTCCGCAGCAGCCTGGACACCAGCGGCGTCCTGCGGGGGGCGTCTTCCACCACGATCCAGTGCAGGTTGGGCACGTGCAGCAGGGTGTTGGCAAGACGGGTCAGTTCTGCCTTCTGGACGGGCCGAGTGTAAGTGGGCGTTATGACGTGAATGGTGGGCAGCAGGTCAGACCAGGGTGGCGGTCGGCCGTAAGCATATTCCGTCCGAACGACCCCCGGGGAGATGCTGTTATATATAACACAGGACTCTTTGGGTCGGAGGCCGTTACCGTGAGTTTTGCTGACCAGACGTCTGTTATCTGTGACAAGAAGAGAGATAATATACTATTATTCAAAAGTTTGGAATCACTATTTTCAGTAACATGAAACTCACTTGATAAGATCACGAACAGTAAATAAAAATGGATAAAAATGTAGAATATTGTTGTTGTAGTAGAACAATATATATGAGAACATGTAGTTATCATTCTGTAGACCACTGGGAGGATGTTAAACCACAAATGCCTGAAATGTCTATGCCTCAAGCTCTCCACAAGGGGGTGCTATTGGCATTAATTTGGTGTGTGCATTATTGAAAGGGAGGAAACTGGCTCCTTAAGTAAAGCTAGGCTATAAGCTACAATATGTATTGAAGGATTGGCTGTAAAGCTGCAACATACAAAGAATATGCAACTTGAATGTCTCAGAAGCTTCAAATGTTTGTATTTAAGCCACATCTTCCATAAGAGGTATTAAACCCAGGGTGGGAAAGCTAGCATAACATTGCAAACCCTTAGCAGTAATGTGGCCCATTGCTGATGGTAATATTAGACGCACTACTGAACTGATTTCGTCATGGTTGTGATGTCATATATGACAGACCTGACCAGACTATATAAGACCAGAGGTCATTTATATCAGTCTTAAAGTCACAGTAGCAAAACAGCTTGTTTCATTCATTAGATGATTTATTTAGTAATGTTTTATTAAATGCTTGTTTTCAATCAAAACCAATTTGGTTGATGATAAATATATAAAATGACTCTACATATGTATGGGCATATATATATATATATATATATATATATATATATATATATATATATATATATATACATACATGGGCATACATTGGACATGCAATTGGAGATATATATATATTTACTCAATTATCCAGTTATCCAATGTTTTTCTTGAGCCCAATAAACAAAATGTGGAAAAATCTATATAACAAGTGACTCTAAACTTTTGAAGTACAAATCAAGTTGTAGTTATCAATTAGAAAGTCATTTCATGCAGGAATGAACAGCAGTGGCCACAGTCATGGACACTAACAGGGAGACGAAATACAAGGCAAAGGTGAGAGGTCAAATGCAGGACAGTACATAAACCAAAGAAAGTACAACTACCACAAAACTGGACACCACACAGTCCAACACTCCCAAAACACGTCTCAGAAAGGTAAATATGCAGGCTGTCCTGGTCCATCTGAAGAGACGGCTAACTCTTTACCCTTTCGAGCGACAGGCTGAGGTGTGACCGGGCTTTGATGCCAGACTGTGATGAGCAAAGTCCATGGCAACACGATCAGCACCAGCGCAAGAACGTCTCTTCTCCTCGGCATCTCCGCTTCCTCATCTACAGCATGGCATCAGCTGCTGAGGACGAACAAAAGGGCAATGACATCATTTAAGTGTCTCAGCGAGTGACTCTTTCTACAATCTGAATCCAATATTATTCCAATGAATATATGGCCACCGGCCAATATGGAATTTATAGTTCTACATAGAACCATTCCTTTAAGTAAAGAACCCTTAAAGAACCATCTTTTTAAGAGTGTACGCTGGGAAGATTTAACGCTTATATAAGAAATACTGATATAATAAGAAGAATTACTTTAATGATAAAAATGAAACAGCCGATTTCAGCATTGTTGCATGGATGATTTGCTGCAACTTGGTAGCAAATCATCCATGACCCGCTACCAACCCACCGCCCGGTGGTGGACAACCTCTGCTCTGAGGTGCATCAAGGTGAAACCTATGCTAAGAACAATGACATCAGGAAACAGAACAAGATCATTTTCAAGTACATGTAGCTCAGCTGACCTGCATGTAGGATGTTCTCGTAACCAAAGCCAGGGTGAACAATATGGCAGGTCCATTTTATCAAGGATCTGTAACGGAGACAGCAGTTATTAGGGCCTGAATATGAAGAACGGCAAAGGAATTGAGAAATTCCTATTGTTTGCTTCACAATTAAACCTGGGAATAAGTAAAATTGTCAGTAGAAAACATTAAAGGGAACCCTGACTGTTAAGATATATAGGCCCCAATATGGTATACATGTCCAATTGCATTCAAATGTATTGTAAAAACCAAGCAAAATGCTCTATTTAGCATTAATATAGACAAAATCCTTTCCCAGGCTGCCATTTTGGTTGCCGCATCAAATCGTTGCTCTCTCTCTTGTCCACTGAGCGAGGAACAGCGAAGAAATTTCTCATTTGCCCTTTTGCTCTGGTTGCCTGTGTTTTTGTATTTTCTGGTTTTTGACTTTTTACCTGTTTTTTGGATACTGTTTTTGGATTTGCCCTGACTCGGTTCTCTCATTAAACCAACTTTTGTTTTTAAGATCCGCGAGCGTCTTTCTGTGCTTGTTCAGCGTTACATGAATACACTGCCTGATGTCTGAGACATTCTTTCATGATAGTTCTAATCCGCTCATGATGTAGGGATACATACAGGGTGATGTGAGGCAAAATAGTCCTCAACGTAAATAGTAAATAAAATTGTCAGTAGAAAAAATTTAAAAATACTCTATTTAATATAGACAAAATCCTTTTACTGGCTGCCATTTTGGTTGCCGCATCAAATGGTTGCTCTCTCTCTCTCGTCCACTGAGCGAGGAACAGCGAGGAAATTTCTCATTTAACTCTAATACATCATTCAGCATTTTCAGCTTTAGCTACAGCGTGACACTGACTCATTGACTTTATTGTCTTATTTTCCACAGGAGGGACTCTGCAACCACATGACATCATCACAGTGATGGTGATGATACTAATGGTAGCCTACTAGCAGAGGAATTTTGCCTATTAATCTTTTTTTATATATTTTATATTTTTTAAACAAAGCATTCCTATTTGGTTTGTGTGCTGGACCAGCAAGCAGCAGCTGAAAGAGGGAAATAGGCAGCTTATTCGTCCCATTAGCAGTTCGTACAGGCTTCAGTGCATTTCGGACACAAATTGCATGAAACGGAGTGGCACAATGAGGCCTCAGTGACTACAGGGCCAATAAGGGGGGAAATAATGCACATGCACCACTCTGGGACCTGAACCAGTGTTCAGACCAGTGAGAGGAAGGAGGCAAATGTGTCTGTGATGATGCAGACTTACTGCCAATGAGTCACTCTTCTGGATTTGGGTTACTGAGTCATCTAAGCATGAAGGGCTTTTTGAGTATTTGGTTAGAAACACTGTTATAAAATGCTGCAGTAAGAACATTACTGTAAGAACTGTGATATGACCATACATGAAAAAAAACAACATAAATTAGTTTTGCACCTTTTCTTTGAGTTAAAGGGGGATCCCACTGATTTTTAAAATTTCTGCATAAGTCAATGGGGGCAGTCATGGGCTGGAGGTTAGGGAACCGGCCCTGTGACCGGAAGGTCGCCGGCTCGATCCCCAGAGCCGACAGTACGTGACTGAAGTGCCCTTGAGCAAGACACCTAACCCCCAACTGCTCCCCGGGCGCTGCAGATAGGGCTGCCCACTGCTCCGGGCAAGTGTGCTCACTGCCCCCTAGTGTGTGTGTGCTCACTAGTGTGTATGTGGTGTTTCACTTCACGAATGGGTTAAACGCAAAGGTGAAATTTCCCCGTTGTGGGACTAATAAGGGTCACTTAATCTAATCTAATCTAATCTAATCATTAAAGCTACACTATGTACGTTTTGGTGACCCCTCTGGTGGAAATGTGTAATTGCACTCATTATGCTGAAGAACACTTTGTAACATGGGTTGTGTTTAAGACCCGTTTCCTGTGTAGCTGAATCTGATGATTGAAAGAGACGAGGACGAGGGTGTGAGTGATTTATCTACTTTTATCATCATATCTTCATCAGCATAATGCTGATTTTGTATTCGACACCCCTTTTCATTTTCTTCAGTGACTCAAAAGTTTAACAAAAATCTTACATAGTGCAGCTTTGAGATGTCAACAAAATTGCAGCAAAAAGTTGTTGTGAAATACCACAGTTTCATTCTAAAGATACTTACTGAGTCAGACCAGTTCACAAGGGTGGTGACAGGAACCAGACATCTGTGGTAGAACTGATCTCAGAATTTTTAGAAGGTTTTGGCCTAAAACCTATTTTTAAAAGCCATTCATGATGGAGGGATACATGCAAGGTAACGTGAGGCAAATAGTCCCCCACAGAAAACATACTTAAGTGGTGTTGATAGGAACCAGACGTCCACCTCTAAAAGCTCCCTCACAGAAAGTTACTACATTAATTGGTTATGAATTCACTGCCTGATGTCTGAGACATTCTTTCATGATAGTTCTAATCCATTCATGATGTAGGGATACATACACAGTGACGTGAGGCAAAATAGTCCCCAAAGAAAACATATTATCTCAGATTATTCACTATTTTACCATCAGCGTTACAAATAATAACTCCACGTTTAGGTTCACTGGTGGTTTTGGATAGTAAATAAAATGGCTATATTTGTGTTGTAGACATGGTGACCATGTCTATCACCTCCTGTCACCACCACTGTAAAGGAATCAGAGTCTCTACAATGAACGTTTCTCCATTAAACCACTCTGAATGACTTTGTTTACATCTCAATTGCAGAAATCAGTGAAATAAGGTGCACAGTTTTTGCCACAGTGAGGCACCACTTAAAAACTTTTTAAAAACTTGATTCCAATTCAGAAAATCTGAAAAATAATAGCAAAAAACTTTTAACATGAAATACAACTGTGATACTCTCAAAACTTTGCAATGTTATTAAAAATAATATCAAAAAAGGTAAATCACACTCTTTTTACACAATTCCTGTAAAAAGGTTTGCATAATACCTTCTCACAATTTCATAAACAGTGCCAAAGCAGATGAGAACTACAACCTAACAAGCTCCAAATTTGGCTAAATTTGTTCTGATAAATTTTTTAACTGTGAATTTTGTACTTCTCAATCGATCCCACAATCAGTAACATTAGTGTGCATTCTGACATTCATCATTAAAGAGGTGCTGTGGCCTAAAACTGGCATTTAATATGTTATTTGTCATGTTATGTAACATTGTGTAGCGCTGCACTGCATCCTTTAGCCTCTCTGTTTTGACACAATTCGCAATCCTTTTTTTCACCCATTAATGTTTTTTTCACTACAATACCCAAGATGCACTACACAAATGCATGATATAATCATTGGAAATCCCCCACTACAGCAAAAATCCTGCCAGCATGAAGGCTAATAATTGCAGATGTGATATTTGGCTTCCTAGCAGTAACATTAGCAATCTGGCTTCCACTGGGGGAAACACTTACAACAGCCCACCCTAAGTACCCACCCAAAAGCACTTATAGTTTTTCAAAAGTTCCACTTTCAAGATGCAGAAGGGGTTTTCATAGACTTTCAGCTGGAAAATTCTCACTCTAGAGACTCTACAGCACCAGTGTAGGATGTGAGTCGGCATGTTTACAACAGATACATTGATGGGTACATTTTTAAATTTGGCTGGAGTGCCCCTTTAAGACAAGGAGGTGCTGAAGATGCTGCTAAATGTGCTCTGACTGACCCACTTGTGCAACGAAGGAAACTATTAAAGAATTACAGAACTTTTCGGGAGCATGTACTGTATGTTATTGTCTTAACAGTATAGTAGGTTGATACAATTAACAGCGCTAACGCATTGAAAATGTTATGCACTGAACTGACTTGATTCAAATGTTACATAATTTCCACATGAATAAAGGAGGTACATCAAAAAGAGAAGGCTGGTTCATGTATATAGCACTTTATATAGCACACAGCATATACAACTGCAACTGAAAGTGCTCTACATAGACAATAACATCAGAGGTAACATGACTTTGTCTTTTAATTTACTTACATCTGGCAACTGTTTTGACGTATTTGATTCACGTGGAAATGGTGTAAACATTTAAATCAAGTGGTCTATTAATTTAATCAGTGCACAAATATCATGATATCATCATATTATATCATTAACTTTACAGTATATATACTATATCATGGCATATAAGCTACAGTACGTGGTGTTTTGAAAGAATAACAAAGACTGGAGGTTACAAAAAAGAGCAATTATACTCACAAACTGTGTGCACTTTGCGTCCCTCTGCCATGTCCACTGTGGTGCTGTCGTCTCTGCCCATCGGGACGGACAGGCTGGTACTGGGCAGGCGTCTGAGGGCCGCAGAGCCTGCGGAGACAGGAGAGGTCATCCTGCTGGAAGAATGCCCCCACTCATCCGAACAACAAAGGCAGCAATTGTGGCCGCTGATGGGGGGCGGCAAAGCGAGACAAAGGAGAGCTATCGAAAACAAGTCTCTGGCCCAGGAGGCTGGGAAATCTCTCCAGTGGAGTGTTTGAAAATATCAGAGCGTGTTTTCTTCTCTGCTCTGGTCATGTGACCATGAGAGCGGGGGCCTTTCTGGGCAAACACTGCAACCCAAACATTCACCAGTTGGTCAACAGACAAGCCTTGGAAGTAAACCCCATGGTGCAGTATAATCAAGACACTTGAGCCATTAATTTTGTTGTGATTGGTTTTAAAGCTTTGTGATATGCTGAGTGTTGTGATGTGACATATTTATTACATTTGAATGCAACGTAAGCCTCATACATTCATTAAAGGGGGGCAGTCGTGGACTGGAGGTTAGGGAAACAGCCTTGTGACCGGTAGGTTGCTGGCTTGATCCCCTAAGCCGACTGAAGTGCCTTTGAGCAAGGCACCTAACCCCCAACTGCTCCCCGGGCGCCGTGGATAGGGCTGCCCACCGCTCCAGGCAGGTGTGCTCACTGCCCCCTAGTGTGTGTGTTCACTAGTGTGCATGTATGGGGGTGTTTCACTGCACGGATGGGTTAAATGCGGAGGTCTAATTCCTCTGTGTGCAAACACAGTTGGCCAATGGTTGGCCAAGGCTCCTAACAACCACCTGGAAGACCTGGTCGACACCAAAACTGCCCCCATCAGATAAACAGCACTTAAAGCTTTCATCTCTGAGAGAGAGGAGAAAATCAAGCTGCTTCAGATCTGAAAACATCCACAGGTGTTTCTGTCCATCCTTCCACTGTGAGAAGACGACTCAGCGCTGTGGGTCTGAAAGGATGTGTAGCTGTCAAAAAGAACCTCACTGAGAAAAGGAGACGGACACATCAAACAAAGAAGCTGAACAATGGACTGACCACCCCAGAGTCCAGACCTCAACACCACTGAATGTGTTTGATTACTTCAGAAAATGATCAACCAGCTTCTAAGACGGTTCTGCGCATTGTGAAAGCGTTCCTCAGACAGACGGAGAATCTGCTGTAGATGGTTCTAAATAGAACCTTGTTGAAAATTGTTCTATATGGCACCAAAAAGCGTTCTTCTAATGTTATGAGGTCAAGCTTGTAACAATAGAGGAACCCTTTTGGGCGCTATTTAGAACCCTTTTCAAAAAGGTTCTATATAGAATCATCTGTAGCACATTCATGCACATTTCCATCAATCTAAAAAAACCCTTTAATCATGCCAAGGGTTCTTTGAGTATTCATGGTTCTATATGGAACAACTTTCTTTACTAAAGAACCCTTGAAGCACCATCATTTTTAAGAGTGTGGGACTAGTGGTGAAACTAGTGGTGTCTAATGCTAACCATAGAGCCAATTCTCATTAGGAAGCAAAATAGCCCTTTTGGGTGCTACTTAGAACCCTTTTCAAAAAGGTTCTATATAGAACCTTCTCTAGCACATCATGCACATTTTCCATCAATCTGAAGAGACCCTCCATGTGGCAAACAACCCTTTAACCATGCAAGGTTCTTTGAGTGTTCATGGTTCTATATAGAACCATTTTCTTTATAAAGAACCCTTCAAGAACCATCTTTTTAAGACTGTAGAATTACATTTAGCAACTGTTGTTAGACTGATAATCAAATTACTCAGTGCAGAATTGAAATTTGTGCTCATTTACTGTTCGCTCATTTATCTGAATAGCAAATTATACTCAAAAAAGTTTTTTGGCTGTTTATTAGATTCAAAATTAGCACCAACACCACTCTTGTTTACTGTTGAGGCTGTTGGATTTTAAATGATGCCGATGTATGGACACCGAAAAATGCAGACATAATTAAAATTTATATTCCTCTTTTTTTGTAAACACTGATGCCACAAAAACCAACACATTTACGTATCGCCGTCTATTCAGCCTACAGCAGTTTAGCCCCGCCCATTCATGCTGAAGTCATAAGGAGTGTTTCAGCCCTGCTTTTGGAGTGAGGTACAGTACAGGACAGCCAGTCACAACAGAGCTCATTAACATATGTCTTAAAGGCACAGTAACAAACACAGCCTGTTTAATTCTAAGGGATAAGCAGAGGTTGGAAACCGGCACTGTATAAAGGAATTAGGACTTCGGGAAATACTAGAAAAATGTAGGATATGGGCTCTTTAATTTTTTAGTAACACCCCCATCCCACCAGCATCTTCCCTAACAAATAGTTTTCAGTAGTTTCGTGTTTCTCCTTTAAGCCTGGAAACCGTCCCTTAACGGCTTCACCTTTATTAAAAATGCGTAAAGCAGTAATAGCTTTAATAAAAACCCTCCTGTGTGTCCAGTATTTAGAGCTTATTCTGAGAGGCACTTAGCCATGAAATATGCAGCGCTGAGGCTAAAAACAGCCCCGCTGGAGAGACGCTAAACAGACTCGTTCATTTTTACTGGAAGTGCGGCTAATGGCTGTTGCTATGACAACAGAGGGGACAAATCGGGCGGCAGACGGCAGGTATGAGTGACAGACGGCACCGTTCCTCATTTCTGTCCTCCCCTCAGAACCACCCTCTCTCTCTCTCTCTCCCTCTCTTTCATGCTTACTCTCTCCCTCCCTCTCTCTTTCTCTCCCCCCTCTCTTTCTTACTTTCTGTCTCTCTCTCCTCCTCCTCTTCCTCTCCCTCTTTCTCGCTCTCTGCCTCTTTTTCTGTCTCTCTCCCTCTCTCTCTCTCTCCTTTTTGCTATTTCTTTCTCTTTCTCTCCCTCTTTTTATTTTCTCCCTCTTTATTGCTTACTTTCTCTCTCTCTCTCTCCTTTTCTTTCTTGCTTACTCTCTCTCTTTCTCTATATCTCCTTGACTCTCCCTGTCTTTTTCTTAATTACTCTCATTCTCTCCCTCTCTTTTTTCTCTCCTTCTCTTTCTTGCTTGCTCTCTCTCTTTCTCTCTCTATATCTCCTTGACTCTCCCTCTCTTTCGCTCTATCCTCTCCCTCTTTCTCCTTCTCGCTCTCTCTCCCTCTTTTTTGCTTACTCCCTCTCTATCTCCCTTTGTCTCTCTCTCCCTCTCTTTCTTAATTACTCCTTTGTCTCTCTCCTAAATCCCTTTCTCTATCTATATTCTCCCTCTCTCCCTCTTTCTCTCTCTCTCTCCCTCTCTTTCTTAATTACTCAAATACTCCTTTGTCTCTCTCCTAAATCCCTTTGTCTCTCTCTCTCTCTCTCTCTCTCTCTCAGTCTGTCCATGTCACTGTGGGCACCTAATGAGATAAAAACAAATGAGCTAAAAACATCAGTAACTGTCCTGATTTTCTTCATTTTCTGTTGGTTTTTATAGACATTATTCGTCAGAACCCACATAATCAAGTCTATTAGAGAAAGAATAGTTCCAGATCTACACGTTTCCTCCCTTCCTCCAAATGTCACTCAAAGACATGTCAGTTTTCTGAAGCTGCTTCTTTAGTTTTGCGCTGGAGCTACGAGGCTAATGTGGCTATTAAGAAGGAGCTTATGTGCACCAGTTAACACTGAGCTAACTGCAGACCTAAATCATCACTCTTCCCTCAAACCGTGCTGAAATAACCTCAAACAGACCTGCTTACAGTGCTGTGCAAAAGTCAGAGACCCTTCTTGTCTTACATTTCCAGTCAAAACAGACATTAAACACAAGTTACTCAGGAAAGAAGGCAGTAAACATAACTTTACACGGAGTCACTCAGAAGATCAACCGCTACACATTTCAGCGTTTAGCATGTCTACTCTGCACCTTTATCACGGCTCCTGTGCTTTTCTGCTGATCTGCTTTCAGGCTTTTTCAAAGGCATCTTCAGGGACACTTCACCACTCCTCCAAAGTTCAGTCTTAGCCGGTTTTTTTAAGTAACAGTTAATCCCAAACACATTCAGTTCACGGGCCGTATTACAGAAACTTCTTAAGTCTGAAATCTTATCCTATCAGCTTAGTCTCCATGACAACTTTAGATAGGACTGAATTTAGGACATTAGATATTACAGCACAACAGTTATCAAGTTTATAATCTTATCCATTAACTCCAGATAGAAAAACAGTTTTACAGAAACATCCTAACCAGAATAAATTTCCTATATTCTGTCCTAACTAAGACCCCCAGAGGGTCTTAACTTCTGTTTTAACCATCCGTATATCTATTTACAAGAAACTGTTTAATTTTTGAGGAAAAAGTTTTCTGCCAGAGATGCGAGAAAAGTGTTTATATCTGAGCTAACGCTCAAAGCAGAGCAAAATAAGTCTGCATTTTCATTCGTGTTAGATATTTTTTGGCTTAACTAGTACATTAGCACATACTGAGACATATTTACAGCCAAGATGGTCAAACGTTACTTCAATAAAATTGACATAAAATGTTGTGGCTCCCAAAGTGGTTTAATTTTTATTGAAAGGATAAAATGGCTCTTCTTAATATTTGGGTTGACGACCCCTGGTCTATACTAGTGTCCATTTTCAAAGATACAGTGCCAGAAAACACACACTGTGCAAAAACACTGCTGTGGAGCTGCGACAGGGCAGTAAAAGAGCCATGTTGCCGACCCCTGGTATAAACTAAATACAGGCTTCAAGATGGCTACAACTGTTTTCAGCTATGAGGCGTACTTTTGTCCATTTTTCTAGACAGAAGTATGTCGTACAGTGTGAGACTTCACAAAAAACATGTTTTGTTCAGATAATAAACCCGATGCTGATATGTGGCGGTAAGCTTCCATTACGTGTTAGCAACATTAGCCTTGTAGCTCCAGTGCAAAACGATGCTTCGGACACCAAACATGACTTGGCTGATTTAATACAGTTGGAATCTTTTGGGAAAACTGTGTTAAATAGAGTTTTTGACAAATTATTCTTTAAAAAAAAGGAATATGTTTCCCAGCTGTCTGCTAGCAACCTGTAACAGCAGTTAAACGTAGCCCAGATAGCAAGAGGGGAGCAGGGTCACTGGCTTTTTGCGCAGCGTTTTCCAGGCAGCCCCCTGGTGGTTAAACAGAGTTTTAGACAAAATGCCAAATTTTAGCGCTCATTTTCACTCACAGGTCAATTTACTCACATTTCTGTCTTTTGTTATCCTTTGTAAAGTAGTTTAGTAAATAATTTGAACATTAATATCATAAATGAAGCCTGTTATACAGCTGTATTTAGCACAGTGTTAGCAACAATATTTTCAACAAAATTATTTTAGATTAAGTCTAGTGATTACATTTTTTTCTCTCAGTAGTTTTTAACATTGTCCCAGTTTATTTTTCAAAATAAAAGACTATGAAAATTTGTTTGAGGAGATTAAAAACTAGTTAGTACAGAAGTCTATAATTTTCTGGATTGTTGTCTTGAGATGACAAGTTAATTATCTTGTTTATTATCTCAAATTATCAAATTATCTCAAAATAACAATTTTGTTTTCTTGAGATCGCAAGATAATTAACTTGTACAATTAACGAGTTAATTGTCGTGATCTCAAGATAACACAGTTGTTATCTTGAGATCACGACAAAATTACAAAATTATAACTACCTCATGGCCTCTCCGAGCTGCTGTAAGTTAGACCTTATATGCAGCACAGTAATCTGGGTGGTCCGAGGATGGACCAGTAATGGCATACAGACAGCAGGGTGCTGTACCGATCAAGCCAGTGGACCGATATATGTTTGCTATCTGGGTAATGGTTCATTTTCACCATGTCGTCCAATATTGAGGTTCATTAGGAGTGTAGCTCTTATGTAACGGCACTACCAGCGCAGGCAGGGAGAGTGATGGGGGCTTGAGTTTGGCACGCAAAGCTCAGCCCAGGGCTCATACATTGACCGCTGGAGCGTACAGCCACGTGGACAGGTCCTGACCCTGTTCAATGAGCGCTGGGTACTCACTAACCCTCCGAGTCAATTCTCTATGCCTGGAGATAGGTTTCCATGCTCATGTTCACAGGAGATATCAAATGTGGCCCTTTGTAGTGTTTCATAGACAGACTATTAGATCCAGAGCTTTCATAGCTGCACTGGAAAAAAGCATTAAAACTGAACACAATAGATTTTGTTCTTATGAAATCAGAAATACAAGTTTGAATTGAGCAAATTAAACTATTCACCTTTTCACAGTGTTAAAATCTAAACTCCACTGTTTATACTGTGCCTTAAAGGGCCCATATCATGGAAAATCGTGTTTTGGTAATAAAAGAGTTTGATGTAAACACTGTTACATTTTCCTCAATCCATACAGTCTATTTATGGAAACTACACTGTAAAAACAGCCTGTTTTTGAATTCACTGTTTTTGTGATGTCACAAAAACACAGTGCATTTGCATATATCCACCTATTCAACCTACAGCAGTTTGGCCTCGCCCATTCAAGTTGAAGTTATAAGGAGTATCTCAACCCCGACTGCTTTTGTGTGAGGCACAGGACAGGGCAGCCAATTAGAAAAGAGCTCATTTACATATATCAGGCTTAAAGGCCAGTCACAAAAAGCCTGTTTAAATCAGAAGGATGAAGAGAATGTTGGTCATTCAAAATGGTCATGTATAAATGGATTTTGACTGCTTCTGTCTTAAGTTGACCTCAAGGAGAGACAATAATAACATGAAAATTGTAGGATATGGGCCCTTTTATATAGGTTTAAAGGGGAATTCCACCATTTTTCAAAATTTGTTAGGAATTTGTTCATTAGGATGTAAATTCACAATTCAGTCCATATGATCTCATTCAGAGTGGTTTGATGTAAAATCATCTGTTCTAAGCAAACTTACCAAGGTAGAATTGTTATTGTTCACAGTGGTGGTGATAGGAACCAGACGTCTGAAGAGTTAAATGCCTCTAAAAGCTCCCTCACAGAAGGTTATTACATATCTTCACATATTGCCTGAGATGATGTTTTACAATATACTGCCTGAGATGTTGTATTACAACACTTCTGAGATAAAGTTTTGGCCTATATTGTGTGCAAAGTGTATGCAGAGTGTTCTAAAGCAAAATAGACCCCAAAGTAAACCTATTTTTTCTGATTTACCTCTATTTTACCTTCATTAACATTAGATATAAACACTCAGAAGACACCTGTAGGTTCACTGGTGGTTTGGATAGTAAATTAAATATCTATATTTGTGTTGTAGTTATGGTGACACTTGGTTTCTATCACCACCACTGTAAAGATGTCTGAGTCTGTTTCTCTACAATGGAGCATTTCACAACAAACCACTCTTTGACTTTGTTTACATCTTAACCAAACTCTAAACAGTAATAACAAAAACAATAAACAGCAGGTTTATTGACTTATATCATTATATCATATCGTCAGTTTCATTAACTGAATTCTTTCCAATTTTTATTTTTTAAATTTTAATTTCATTGAAAAACTCTGCAGCCCTTTACATGGTGTACACATTTTCTGATGTTTGGACCAACAGAAATGATCCAGAATAACTGGGGAATGAAATCTGACTGCAGTGATGAAATAACTGACTGTATAAAAAGGTAAAGGCTGATGACGTACCTGTGCGCTCCTTACAGCCCTTCAGTCTCGGACTCTCCCATCGTCCTCCTTTAGAGCTTCACACGCACTCGCCGCTTTTTCTAGGACGCAAAAACAGAGCGACTTTTAATCCAGAGCTACAGTGATTAACATTTCATCATTTGGCAGACGGAACAAAGAGAGTCAGCATGAGGAGCTTCAACACGCCTGACAGACCCTCCACAGCAGACACTCAAACAGCTCTACAAACAGCACTGCACTCGCTCTCTCTCTCTCTCTCTCTCTTTCTCTCTCTATTTTCTCTCTCTCTCTCTTTCTCTCTCACTCTCGCTCTCTCTCTCTCTATTCTCTCACTCTCGCTCTCTCTCTCTCTCTATTCTCTCTCCCCTCTCTATTTTGTCTCTCTTCCTCTACTCTTTCTTCTACTCTCTCTATTCTCTCTTCCTCTACTTTCTCCCTGTTTCTCTCAGTCTCTCTTTTCCTCTCTCATTCTGTTTCTCTTTCCCCTTTCACTGTTTTCTCCTCTTTCTTGCTCCCACTGTCTCTCTCTCACTATTCTTTCCTGCTCTCGTTCTCTCTCTGTTTCTCTCTCTCTACTCCACTTTCTGTCAACCTCTCTGTTTGTCTGTCTGTCTGCTTCTTTCACTTACATCTGTCTTACATCTTCCTCTCTGTCAGTCTGTTTTGTATGTCTTTCTGTCTACCTGTCTGTCTGTCTGTCTGTCTGTTTACCTGTCTGTGTACCTGTCAGTCTTGCTGTGTGTCTGTCTATCTGTCTACCTGCCTGCCCCTCCGATTGTCTGTCTGTCGGCCTGTCTGTCTCTGTATACCTGTCTGACTGTCTGTTTGTCTGTCTACCTTTCTGTTTGTTTGTCTATGTGCTTACCTGTGTGTTTGTTTCTATCCCTGTCTGTCTGTCTACCTGTCTGTGTACCTGTCTATCTTCCTGTCTGTCTGTCTACCTGTCTTTCTTTGTCTACCTGTCTGACTGTCTACCTGTCTGCCTCTGTCTACCTGTCTCCATCTCCGATGTCTTTCTGTTTGCCTGTCTGTCTACCTGTCTGTCCCTGTCTACCTGTCTGCCTCTCCATTTGTCCTTGCTTACCTGTTTGTTTGTCTATCTGCCTACCTGTCTGTTTGTCTGTCTGTCTACTTCTCTGTTTGTCTGTCTATCTGCTTACCTGTCTGTCTGTATCCCTGTCTGCCTGTCTATCTGTCTCTGTCTACCTGCCTGACCCTCTGATTGTCTGCCTGTCGGCCTGTCTGTCTCTGTCTACCTGTCTGCCTCTCCGTTTGTCTGTCTGTCTACTTCTCCGTTTGTCTGTCTATCTGCTTACCTGTCTGTTTGCCTGCTATCTCTGTCTGTCTGTCTACCTTTCTATGTACCTGTCTGTCTATTTGTATGTCTGTCTGTCTACCTGTCTCTGTCTACTTGTTTCTCTATCCAATGGTCTTTCTGTTTGTTTGTCTGTCTAACTGTCTGTCCCTGTCTACCTGTCTGCCTCTCCGTTTATGTCTGCCTACCTGTCTGTTTGCCTGTCTATTCGCCCACCTGTCTGTTTGTATCCCTGTCTATCTATCTATCTATCTATCTATCTGTCTGTCTGTCTGTCTGTCTGACTGTCTGTCAGTGCAAAACTAAAACAGAAAGCATGTCTTGGCCGATGGTCTATACTTGGGGTGTATCTATCACTTTAAACCTGCTCCTATGGGCAGTTTAGTGTGGACAGTGCAGTCCAGTTCATTACACCTCAAATGTGTCTCAGTCTGAGGCAGCTCTGTGTATCTTTAGGCTGTGAAGGCTGATCTGAATTATGCTCACTCAGCATGCAATTAAACTGGCTCCTAAAAAAGCAGCTCACCCACACACTCAGTTCCTGCCTCCACACAGATCTTCATTACTCTGCACAAAACAGCGCTTTCGCTTTACTCCCCCAACCTCCCAAAACCACCAGAGGCAATTAATCAAAACACACACAACAACCACGTATCAACCAGCAGACGGACGTACTGTATAACACTGATAGATTTAAACCTGTACACAACATCTCGCCACTGATGATGGAACAGAGAGAGGGGAAATGCTTGTTTAATGGTCTGCTAGTGTATAATATGCATATTAACATAGAGTTATATGCAAATGTTTTGAACAGCCCTGCCCAAATTACATGTTTTCTTAATTTTCTACATGAAAATAATGAACACATCCTCTACAGAGACAATTTAAAGCACAATTACTGTTTTTTTTTGCTGGTTTTTAAATGTACTGGAAAGAAAATACAACATAAAATGTGGCCCAAGAATGTTGAACTTTGCACTAAAATATGCTGGAAAATGGTTTAAGGTTGTCACATAATAGCAGCCCGGGTTGAAATACTCTTTATAGCTTCATGTTGAAGCTTTTGTGTGGTTTGTGTGGTCTGTAACAAAAGCAGTCAAAATCCATTTTTACATGACCATTTTGAATGACCAACCTCTCTTCATCTTGTGAATCAGACAGGCTTTTTTGTGACTGGCCTCATATGTAATGATATATGTAAATGAGCTCTTTTCTGATTGGCTGCCCTGTCCTGTGCCTCACACAATAGCAGCCCGGGTTGAAATACTCTTTATAGCTTCATGTTGACAGGGCAGCCAACCCGAATCTAATAATCTTATATCTAATCTCCTCAGAAATATCCAATGAAAAATGAATAATGTGTAATTAACGTCTGCTTTGACTGGATATTAAATAAAGGGTGGTCTCTCACTTTTGCACTGTACTAAAACAACATACACTGGAACGGCCTCCACTTTTGTAAACAGCCCATTTTGCTTTCACCAAGGCTGATTTTAAAGGCCCATATTATCCTTTTTTATCGTTTTGATTCAAACAGATTTACATCACAGCGCGTGCAGAGTGATAATGTTCCTTCCTCACATCTAGATTTACTTCCTGATTGGCTGATGTTCGTTGTGGCCTGGTTCCAAGAACCGCATCTTCATAAGAGATACTTAAGAGATACGTGTTAAAAGGGAATTCTACCTATATTTTAAAATATCTGCATATTTTCGTGTTTTTCTTTATTTCTTTATTTTGAGTTTTTCTTTATCCTTGATTCTTTACAGTGGTGGTGATAGGAACCAGGGGGTTTATATGTGATGTTGATGATGGTAAAATAGTAGTAAATCTGAAAAAATATGTTTTCTTTGGGGACTATTTTGCCTTACAACACCCTGCCTGTACCTTCAAGGCATGAATGTGTTTAAAAATGTGTTTTAGGCTAAAACTTTATGTCAAAACTATGAGGCATCAGGCAGCATATTTATAGCCATTTCCTGTAATAACTTTCCGTGGGGGACTTTTAGAGATGGATTCTTAGGTCTGAGATCATATCTTATCTGCTTTGTTGTCATGGTAACTTCAGTTAAGACCTCAGTTAAGACTGAAGTTAGGACAGAAGCTATTTAAGCAATAGAACATGAGAGGGAGTGTGTTATCGTGAAATAACTCACCTTCGGCTCGTGCCTGCGACCAGATCACAGCCATGATAACACACAACCTCGAGTGTTCTATTGCTTTTATACAACAGTTAAATAAATAAAGTAATAAATTAATAAACTGGGCTGTGAACGCGGCGTTTCATATGTTTTAATGTTCACAGTTCCTTCACCAAATTATAGTTCCTTAACAAACTGCTTGTTGCTACGTCACAGTCACAAACTCCGCTCACTCGCTGCACAGCCAGCAGTTCATTCTCCAGCTCCTTACACTAAATTCCCAAACTGTCATCACCACTGAGCAGCTAAACAACCTGGAATCAGCCAGAAATGAACCCAATACTATTCACCAAACGTGTAGTCTGATCTTCAGAGTCTGATCAAATCGGACTGACCCATAAAACTGCGGCAATATCAAGTTTAGCTCAGTTCTGTCATTTTCTTCCAGATCAGTATTAATGTTGTTTTGTTCCAGCCAGTCTGTAAAGCATCTTACAGCCCATTTAGTTTGGCGAATGGTGTTGGGTTCATTTCTGGCTGATTCCAGGGTGTTTAGCTGTTCTTCTGTCACAGCTGCCGACTGAAAAGCTGCTCAGTGGTGATGACAGTTTGGGAATTTAGTGTCGTCTCATCTTCAGAGTCTGACCAAATCGGCTGTCGGTCAAATGTGATCTTAAAAGTGTCCATTTTCTGTTTGTGGCAAAGTAAGAAGTGAAAATGTTCAAATGGCTTGAGCGTCTCCTACAGCTGTCAAAGTCGTTGCTTAGCAACGGCGTCTCCATGAGTGATTCAGTGATTGTGAAAAAAACACTGCAACGCTTCTCAACCAATCAGTTTGCGTAGCTGGAACTAACTGTTTTATAATACAGAACAACAGTTCTTAAGTCTATAATCTTCTCTTATTTCCAGATAAGAAAACGGTTTTACAGAAACGTCCTAAGTTGCCGAAATATCCTAAATATTTTCTTAACTTTAAGATAAACACCAGAGCGTCTTAACTTCTGTTTTAATCATCTGTTTCTATTGTTTTATGCAGTGACAACACAGTTCGCTCTAACTAGCATAGTGACGCTGCATCTACACTGAAAATGGTGCTTTGACTTTTGAGGGTTTTTTTTAAACAGCGGTTTTTTAATAACTCAGACACTGCAGACTCGATCTCCACCGCCCCTCTTATCACCTTCGGGTGTTAATGTTTGATAAAAACTCGTCAGATACAATATTACAGAGATGGTAGTGAATAATGAGGAGACAGAGCTAAACGTGTGTCTGTTTATTAGGAGGAGTAATGTTAGCGCGCTCGGCTAAAGTGTTTGGGAAATGGAGACTGAAACTGTGGAGCGGCGACTCTGATAAACAGCAGGAGGCGCTGCCACAACATTCTTAACTCTCAGTTTATCACACTTTAGTTTTATTTGACTTCCTTTACCTCAGTAACGGTAGCTAACGTTAGCTGTCTGGCTAACTAACTTGATTACGTGTTTACGTTTCAGAGTTGTAATGTGGTTCCCAATCACCACATTACAACTCTGACATGGGACGTTTCTCCAGAATTACTATGAATGAATTTGTTTACATCTTAACCATTTAATTATGCAACAATTTTGGAATTCCCCTTTAAAGAGCTCCACAAAAACTGAGCTCTTATAAAGAAACTGACTGATTTAATTAAAACTGAAACTCATTTTTGAAGTAAAATGAACAAACACTTGTTAAACATAATGGGTGACCTGTTTAATATCTACAAACCAATGGCGGGGCTGCCCAATGGCTATCGTGATATTGGCCTTTGGCAATATGCAAATGAACCCTCTAACCAATCACATAATTGTTTATCTAGTGTTCTGTAGGCGTTTCAGCAAATCAAGGTCAATCACTTTGGTCAAAACAATTCAGGGCCAGTTTTTAACTGTGCACATCAAAAGTTCACAACTGTTTTTTAATGTATCGCATGATATATCACAAACACAATGCACCAATATGGGAACTGTGGGCCGATATCCAGTTTTTCAGGGTCTGAAAGTCCGAGAGCACTAATGAAAACACTGCTATTTCGCATTATTTTTCCATTACAAATTACACCAGCCATAGCATTAAAACCACCTCCCTGTTTCTATGCTCATTGTCCATTTTATCAGCTCCACTGACCACATAGGAGCACTTTGTAGTTCTACAGTTACAGACTGTAGTCCATCTGTTTCTCTGCATACCCTGTTCTTCAGTGGTCAGGACCCCCACAGGACCACCACAGAGCAGGTACTATTTGGGTGGTGGATCATTCTCAGCACTGCAGTAACACTGATGTGGTGGCGGTGTGTTAGTGTGTGTTGCGCTGGTCTGAGTGGATCAGACACAGCAGAGCTGCTGGAGTTTTTAAACACCTCAGTGTCACTGCTGGACTGAAAATAGTCCACCAACCAAAAATATCCAGACAACAGCGTCCTGTGGGCAGCGTCCTGTGGGCAGCATAATGAGTTAACTATCCTGTGATCTCAAGATAACAATGTTGCTATCTTGAGATAACAAGTTAATTATCTTGTGATCTCAAGATAACAATCCAGAAAATTCTAGCAATAGCTCATGACCTCTTTGGACCTCTGTAGGTTTTAATCCTAATGGTTCTAACAGTCTTTTTTCAGCAGGAGTAACAACAGAAGAACCCGTTTTGGTGCTATAGAGAACCCTTTTCTGAAAGGCTCTATACAGAACCATCCCCAGCACATTCTCCATCAATCTGAAGAACTCTTTCACGATGCAAAGAACCCTTAAATCATGGATCATGGTTCTTTACTATGCAAAACACTGCAAATCATAAACTACCTACCTTTCCCAAGCAAAGCCTCCTCTAAGTGCTGGTCAGCAGGTTTGCCTTGAACCCAAGAGGTCATGGGTTCGAATCCAGCTGCTGCGTTACGTATCCATGCACCTGCTGTTTAACGCAGGGCTTGATATAAGAGCAAAAGCATCATCCACCTGTCAAAGAGGACCAGACTTCAAACCATCTCTCAACCCTATTTGCAGATCCTATCAGCAGCATGAATGTAAGCGTGCAGGCATGCAATGAAAGCCAATATACGTCAATAAAAAAGGTCTAATATCACCAAAACAGCACGAATAACGCTACATCACTGCTTTTCTCAGCCGCAAGGGTCATCCTACCTCGCTCCAGTGGTCCAGACATGATGCATCAAGCCCCTCTGTTCAACTAGCACAGCGATGCGCCTCCAGCGCGCTGACGGACAGGCGCGGCAGCCAATCAGCGACGAGGAGGGGGCGGGAGTTCCTGCAAGCGCCAGCAAATCTGCTCCAGCGCTCGGACGGATGGAGGTACCGCTTATTTCCTAATCCTTGCAGCTGAATTATGAATTCGAAGCACTTTTGAGTTGGTTTATTCGTGTAATGTGTGTTTTGAAAGAGATAGATGGATATTATGATCAATCTGACGCGTTTATACGAAGCTGGAGTTGGCTTCTTAGTGGAATTTCCCGTTCCACCTTAAATGTGCAGCAGTTCCATTCTGGCGGCCGAGCCGCCAGAATGGAACTGCTGCACATTTAAGGTGGAACGGGAAATTCCACCAAGAAGCTGGCGAATAAGCGCTTGTTTTCAGGGAATTTTCGATGCTGAAGTGCTAAAAGCTTCAAATCGGACGCTCTGAAGGTCAAATTTTCAGATTATATCGTCAAACTGTGCCCTGGTGCTGCACTGCTTTTTAAGGGTGCATGGTCCCAACCCAATGCCATCGCATGCTCAAGCTCAAGGGCATACAATCAAACAACATTAAGGCATACAGCTGGGTCCTTTTGGCTCAAATGCATTAAGGATAAATGTGTTTGACAACACTGTGAAACCTGAGTGCACTGTTCTTTATGGCACGTAGCCACGTGACACGTAGCCTGCATTGTTTTCATTCATCATCACACTTCATATTCCTTGCTTTAAGGGCTTTACAGGCTCCTGCCCAATGTCACGTAGCTGGACACAGCTTATTTAGCTGGCTGCAGGCACTTTGATAAGATCTAGATAACAGTGAGCCCATTGTGTGGTCTGTGGACTTTGCTTTTGGTGCTCCTGAAGTCCATCTTGCCCCATTTTTATACACACATAGAGACATAAACTACACTTTTTTCAATATTTTTCAGGTTCTTCAGAGGGAATCAGGCCATTCAGAATGAACACAAGCTGTGCGCGCCGGTTTAAAAGCTTAAAAGAACCACGGGAACCCTGGACGCCGTCTGATAAGTCCGATAAGCTGCGTGTCCACCTCAAAGTTGTGATTGAATCATCCAGGCTTGCTCAGTTTCTCCCCTGAGGCTCAGCTGTGATGGGTCTTGGCAGAGGAGCGCCGGCTGTCCGCACTCACTGAAAGTTCTTTGATTTCTGTTCCCGTTGCAGAAGCTCAGCTCGCTGGACAGAAGAGAAGTTTTGCGCCAGGCTGGGCAGCTGATTGTGTTTTGGCAGCTTTCCTGGATTCTTTTTTCCCCTTTTTTCTCAACTGTTTCATCAACTCATAACTCAAAGCAATGGGGGCCACAGGTTATGGATACTACCGCACTGTGATTTTAATCTCAATGTTTTTGGGATACCTGCTGTATTACTTCAACAGGAAGACGTTCTCCTTTCTGATGCCGTCAGTCATGGAGGAGATCGAGCTGGATAAAGAGGAGCTTGGTGAGTGTCACTCAAATGTTAGGGGGTATTTCAGAAAACAGGGTTTCTCAGTTTAGCCAGATAACTTAAACCCGAAGTCAGGCTTGTCCAATACACTCTCAGAATTAAAGGTACAAAACTGTCACTGGGGCAGTCCCCCTCTTGTCACTGGGGTGGTACCCTCAAGGGTCCATCTCAGTACCTTTAGTCAGGGAACATAACTGAACCATAATCCACTGAAATGATATGTTCTAAGCTGTACTGACTCCACACACCCCGTCTCGCCTCCAGGCTTTTATGTCTATTGGACAGTCCTCATCTTTGGGCTTAAGTTATCTGGCTAACTGAGAAATTGGTCTGCGATAATGGCCAAAATGTTGAAATTTATATAATTATTTAGGCAATTTAGAAAAAATGCCATTTTAAACAATTAGAAAACAGCCCTTTAATTTCAAATAATGCATTCTAGTGCACATATATTTATTCCCATTTATTCAAATTATTGAATCAAACAAGATGGGTCCTTAGTAACGTTGATAAACTTATTTTTGAGCTTGATATATGTATGTCGTATGTAAGCATTGTTAAACCCCAGTTCATACAGTCCACATACCGAACTAAGCTGCAAAAACAACTCATTGTTTTTGTGATGTCACAAAAACTGATGCATTTACATACATCTGCCTATTTAGCCTATAACAGTTTAGCCCCACCCATTCACGCTGAAGTTATACCACCCAGACTGCTTTTTGAGTAAACTACAATACACTTCAGCCAATCAGAAAACAGGTAATTTGCATGTATCTGTCTTAATGGCACAATAACAGAAGGAGCCTGTTTAGCTCTAAGGACATGGGAAAATTAATCATGGCTGCTTTTGATACATAAAAATGACACAAATGTCAAACGTGGACCTCAAATACAAGAAAAGTGGAGGATATGGTCCCGTTAAGACTCACGCTGCCAAACATAAAGGATTCAGGCCTATGAAGAAAAGGCTGTTACATTATATTTACAGGGTTTTTTTACCAATAACAAGCCTGTCAACATGAAACGATTTAATGCACGAGAATCAATAAAGCTGATATCTAACTTTAGCTAGTATTACATCTGATACCACAGTCAGGTATGTTTAATTAACTGGGGAAGCCAAAAATCCTGGTAATGACTAGAAGTCATTTTTAAACATATGCAGTGTGACTGTAGCAGCATTCCACGTCTTTCGAGTTTGGCCAGGTGTTCGTATTCGCATACGGGTCCCTCAAGGACTTGCCCTTTGTGCCAGTTGTTTAAAAAGGCCTGGGCTGCCCCGGGGCAAACAGGAAAGCACACTGTATATTGTGTGTGGTTGAGGTGTGTTCTTATGCAAAAGCTACTGTTGTTCCAGCACTAAAAGCTTGCCAGGTAGTTGTAGTGATTGCTGTTTGTAATTTAAAGGGGTCAGTCAGTGGTGGACGATGTGGCAGAAATATAATATCGTGATACTTCAAGAAACATTCAAGATACGTGATATGTCACGACATGTATTTTTTCAGACGTGATCAATTGAAATCTATTGAACAGTAGGGCTGCATTTAAAAAAAAAATACTGTGAAAAACTGTGGAAAAACAATGATTTCTTCGATATTTGGTAAATTGTATGGCACTAAAACAAGTTAAGTGGGACTAATTTTGCTCTCTTTATAATGAAACATGCAGTTGGTCAGTGTTTTACAAGTACTGACGATACACGCTACATGTTCACGAAAGCATATTGTGCTCTATTGTATGTTGTTTGTACATTATTTATCACAATAAAGATATATATTGTCATATTGCCCAGCCCAAGGGGCCATATCACAGAAAACTGAATTTTCATGCTTTTGTGAAATAAAAAGTTGGATGTAGTGTGTAAAATTTGTTTCAGAATGCTCTGGTCATTCCCCATTGCACACCATCCATATATGCAAACTAAGCTTCAAAACAGCCCATTATTTAGTTCATCATGGTTTTGGTGTCACACCCATTACCCTATTTTCAGTGAGGTCCAAAATACCTGAGACCACTACTGAAAATGCTTCTAATTTTACATTACAAATTATATTATCAGCATAACAATTTGAGTGAAATGTAGAATCTTCTAAACATTTATATGAATTTTGGGATTTTTCTCTCATTAACAGCATTAATATGTACCTTTTTTGCTTTAATAACAGCTTTTAACAATGCCTGCAGGTTTGATCTACTCATTAGAGGCTTACTTAGAGAAGTACGAAGGCCTCAACACAGTGTCTCCAGTTTGCTTACATTTAAAGATTTCTTCTTTTTATTTGTCTTTTTACTTTTCAATGTATCAAAAATTCAAAACTTTTGTTTATCTCCAGGGTTTAATGAAAAAAATTGCAAATCTTTTCAGACTTTTGGAACTAATTGTACATATGACAACCCAGGTCATATGCATACAGCAGTTTAGCCCCTCCCATTCCAGTTGAAGCGATGAGGAGTGTTGTTCCTGCGGACAGTCTGTAGCAGAGTTATTGGAGTGATAGATGCTGAAAAAACGGTTTAACGTTGTGCTGTTCCTGGCTGCCAGGAGGTGCAAGTGGATCGTTGCAGCCTTGAAAGAATCCACACATCCAAAATTAGCGTCTGAGGGTTTTTTCCCCCCTGCATGCCTGAAGAATTCAGTCCGAACAGTTTGTACTGCACATTGCAGCATCAACTGAGTTTTGAACAGGCCACAACACAGAGCAGCCAATCAGAGCAGAGGTCATTTAGATATATTTGTCTAAAAGACACAGCCTGTTTAATTCTAAAGCATAAAAAGAAAAATATAGAATATGGCCCCTTTAACATATTACGTAGCTGGTTTATATTAACAGATCTTTTGTAGATGTTTTCCTTGCATAATTGAAAATTAAATATTAATTTCAAAAGAAAGCAAGGTGTGCCCAAACTTTTGACTGGCAGTGCAGCTGCTCAGCTCAGAGTGAAAAAAGAAACGAAGGAAGCTTTTTTCAGAGATCAGTGAGATAAAGTAATGCAGAACAGCGTCGCTCAGTGAACAGTTGTGAGTCATTTACTATCAAAGGTGGTCACCTAGATCTTCCTGGATCATGTGGTCAGTTTCTCAGCCCCGTGTTCTCCTTCTTTGTTTCAGGCCTGATCACCAGCAGTCAGACGCTGGCTTATGCCATCAGTAAGTTCGCCAGCGGAGTGCTGTCTGACCAGCTCAGCGCCCGCTGGCTCTTCTCCGTTGGCCTCTTCATCATCGGAGGCATAAACATAATCTTCTCCTGGTCGTCCTCGGTGATGGTCTTCACCGGACTCTGGTTCCTGAACGGTCTCGGTCAGGGGTTTGGCTGGCCGCCGTGCGCCAAGGTGCTACGGAAGGTACGGCTTTCTTGTTTTCGAAGAATATTGCATTGGCAAATGTCAGCTAAAAGGGCTGTCAATGTTAATATTGATATAAATATTAGTAATCGACGATTAACTTCAAAAAGGCATCATTAAAATACAGATACAGTTCTATGCAAAGGTTTGATCACCACTGTTTAAATTATGCATTTTTAGATTTTATAAACTTGAACTTTTCATATTCTCCAAGTTTTAATAGACAATTAATATTTATTTGCATAATGTCACATATTGGAGAAAAAATGAAACATAAAATGTGGCGTGTGCATAAGTTTGTGCACCCTTACAGTTGCTCCACTAGTGTTATTTATGTTGTTTAAAGGCATCAGATCTTATTTGACTAATTAGGGCCTTAATCCAAGTCAGGTGTAGACAATTCCAGATCAATTCTGTGACCCTTTAAAACTTCTCAGGGTGTTGTGCGCTTACACTCCACAGCCATGGGCTCATCTAAGTGGCTGACTGAGGATCTGAAACTAATGATAACGATAAGAGAAGATTATAAAAGAATGTCTAAATACATTCTGCTTGTAACTTTCACTGTATTAAATGCCATTAAGAAATGGAAGTTGACATGCGACCAAGACTTAGAAGACCCTGATAATTCTCAGATAGAACTGCTCATAGTCTGGTCAGGTGTGCAAAGCAAAACCCCCACATCACTGCTAAAGATGTACAGGAAGATTTTGCTGGCACAGGGAATGGTAATGCTGTGCATTGTAATTGGATAAACATCATCTACATGGAAGGATCATTAGAAGGTAACCATAGCTTTGATCTAATCACAAGCGTCAATGTCCGAAATATGCAAAAAAACATCTACATAAACCAGAGGCATTAGAGAAACAAGTGCATTCTGGTGAAACAAATGATTGAACTTTTGACTACAGTCACCAAAGGAGTGTTTGGAGAAAACAGAAGCAGCATTTGATGAAAAGAACACCTTGCTGACTGTTAATAATGTATGTTAAGGATGAAAATGTGTAATTTGACCAGGGGTCAGTGTATACAGCTGTATATATAAATCTTATATTGGCGAAAAATACATAGAAATGTGTCCATCGGGCTCTGTTTCGGAGCATTGGGTGACTCTTTAATATGTATTATAATCATGCCAACTAATTGTTGCAGAGGTAGTCAATTTTATTTGATTATTTTTTAATCTAGTAACATTGGCAGCCCTGAAAGGAGGTGGACATTTTCAAAGTCACATGGCCCACAGTGCAGCCCACAGCTCCCTGAGAAAGACCTTTTTACATACTTCAGCCCTGTCCTTGATCCTTTGCCATTAAAGCGAGTTGGTGGTGCACCTGTCATTCACACTTTGGCACAGTGCCATTTCCTCTGTGGTCGTCTGGCCCTGAACTAAAGATATACATTACACACGTGATGTAGAGCACATACTCTAAACTCCATTATCACTGTTATAATATGCTTTACATTCCAATGAAGAAGCAGGTTTTTATGTGTTTTTATTTCCTTTAATGTTTAAGGCAGAAAGTGAAAAAAGGCAAAATAAAAGTACTTTAATATCCCACAATACCAAATAATCCTGTAAGACTAAATAACTCCTGTACAATGCAATAACCTGCAGTTAGACAGCGGACTGTCTTAGTCAGTGAGGGAGAATAAATAGGCTCTGTACTGAGAGGTGTTGTGTTACAGAGAATGGTATTCAAAGGGAATAACATTCAGAGGGTCTCTCAAAACAGAAATGTGGGCACTGATAGCAGGATATCTCTTCTTACAATAGAGGACCAGGTGCCAAAAGTGACTTGTGAGTAGTCAGCATCTCTGCTAGGGATGTCCCAGTCCAGTCTATCAGAGCCAGTCAAAGCATATTTAATGGTTTGCTATCTGTTATATTAATCTGAACCCAGTGCTGATTCTTTCATACAGTGATTTTACCTCATTGTGCTCTGTTTACAACACTATAGATGTACCATTATCCACAACCACTTGTAATACATGCAGCGTTGTTGTTTCTGTGGTTAAGCCACCTTTCATATTTGAATGCCGTGCTGGTACTTGCACTTAAATATAGTAACTGTTTAGGCAGTAGATAATACAGATACCATAAGGCAGTTTCTGACAGGCACATGTGCTGCTGAGTGACAAGCATAGCAGCCCCCTGGCCGCTTCTGTGCCTTTTAGCACTGCCTGCAGCGTGGCGTCCGTCGGTCAGCAGCATCAGACAGCGGTGTGGTTTATGGGCTGTGGTCTCCACAACTGCAGTGAATGAGACTCCAGCTGAATAATAAGCTTATAAAACACCTAAATATGTGTGTATATTTAAAAAGTACAAAACGACAAAAAAGTATATACATATGTAGATAGGCATAACTCCTTGTTTCTACGCTCATTGTCCATTTTATCAGCTCCACTTACCATATAGGGGCACTTTGTAGTTCTACAGTTACAGACTGTAGTCCATCTGTTTCTCTGATACTTTGTTAGCCCCCTTTTACCCTGTTCTTCAGTGGTCAGGACCCCCATGGACCCTCACAGAGCAGGTACTATTTGTGTGGTGGATCATTCTCAGCACTGCAGTAACACTGACGTGGTGGTGGTGTGTTAGTGTGTGTTGTGCTGGTCTGAGTGGATCAGACACAGCAGTGCTGCTGGAGTTTTTAAACACCGTGTCCACTCACTGTCCACTCTATTAGACACTCCTACCTTGTCAGTCCACCTTGCAGATGTAAAGTCAGAGACGATAGCTCATCTGCTGCTGCACAGTTTGTGTTGGTCATCCTCTAGTCCTTCATCAGTGGTCACAGGACGCTGCCCACAGGACGCTGCTGGCTGGATATTTTTGGTTGGTGGACTATTCTCAGTCCAGCAGCGACACTGAGGTGTTTAAAAACTCCAGCAGCACTGCTGTGTCTGATCCACTCAGACCAGCACAACACACACTAACACACCACCACCACGTCAGTGTTACTGCAGTGCTGAGAATGATCCACCACACAAATAGTACCTGCTCTGTGAGGGTCCATGGGGGTCCTGACCACTGAAGAACAGGGTAAAAGGGGCTAACAAAGTATGTAGAACTACAAATTGTAGAACTACAAAGTGCACCTATATAGTAATTGGAGCTGATAAACTGGACAATGAGTTTAGATGTTACAAAAAGGGAAAATGTATAAATATCCATATTTATTGGCAGAGATTTAAGGATCAGGAACTGGTATCGGAATTACAGGTATTGGTGCATCCCTATTTTAATTTTTTTTAAACAAAACTCTGTGTCAAATATTTGCACCCATAGAAATTCTTAAGAACAGAATGTAAAGGAAGTATGTTTCCATTATTATTGTGCTTTTTTCACTTTTAGTGCTCTGGAGCTCTTAAGCCACTCTTGTTCCAGTTTCACTGGGGTATAAATATGAGATGAGACAGAGGCTAAATTCACTGGGGAAGACCAGAGAAGACACAAATCAAATGAGAAAAATGTGTGTTGACCTTCATTAATCAAGCAATGGCTATAAAATAAAATAGCTACACACCTAGAAATGCCCACATCCAGTGTTGGTGCAACAATTAAGAAGTTTAAAACAACCAGAGCTGCAGTGAACCTGACCAGAAGAGGACGCAAGTGTGTTTCACCCCCATGCATGATGAAGAGGATGGTTAGAGGGGCAAAGATTTGCGATATCACAAACTTAATGAATCAAATCCCCATTATCCCTTTTCTCTTCTCAGTGGTTTGAGCCGTCCCAGTTCGGAACCTGGTGGGCTGTTCTATCCTGCAGTATGAACCTGGCGGGCAGTCTGGGTCCCATTGTTACCACCGTACTGGCCGAGTACTACAGCTGGAGGACCATCATCTCCGTGTCCGGTGGGGTCTGTATGGGCTTCGCTTTTGTCTGCGTGCTGCTGGTCAAGAACGAGCCCAGCGATGTCGGCCTGCCCAGCATACAGCCTGCAAGCAGGAAGGGCAAAGGCAACAAAAACAGTAAGGCTTGGATATAATGGGATTATAGTGTTTGGCTTCTTTACGTTAACAGAGCTATTAAAGATGAAATAGTCACAAATGAATTGCATATGATAATAAACTAATTGAACGCAAACACTCACCATCCACTTTATTAGAACTGCCACCCTCGCCACAGCAGGTCACTGAGCATTTTAGCATTACTGCATTAAATTACTCCCAGAACCAAACCACAAAAAACCATAGTAGAAAGCTTTAATATCCAACAGTATATATGAATGTTAAATAAAAATGAACTTGAGCTTGTTGTTAATGTAGTATCGCTGCACTTTGTACTTTATCTGCTATGCAGTGTGTCTGGTATGCAGTGGCCTTTACAGGCTGTATCTGTTTATCACTGGTCAGTTTCTGACCGTCAAGCTGCTGTTGACTGGATGTTATTTGGGTGGTGGATGATTCTCGGCAATGCAGTGTGACGCTGAAGTGCTGGTACACATGGTTTTTGCACACGTCATTATCACCCCCCCCAGTGGTCCACCCCCACACCTAATATCCAGCCAAGAGCGGCTCTGTGGTCAGAAACTGACCATTGTTGATGGGCTAGAAAATGGCTAACACAAACTGTGTTACAGTTTATAACAGTAATAATGGAAATTAAAGGGCCATCATAAAGAGTTTCTCATAAAGTGGCCAGTAAGTATACAGTTGTATGCAAAAGTTTGCACACCCTCAGTCAGATTGCATTTTGTTGATTTTTAAGTTAAGCTAGCACATCCTCTAAATCGTAAATGTGGTGCTTTTTCTGCAAATTTTAGTTTAAATTTTATATTTATTTGTTTAATATGTTGGAAAAAAAACACAAAATAAAACTTTTTCACAGGTGAAATTTTAAGTCTTTTTCCTGTTGTATTAAATGAAGCAAATAAACAGTAATTGTGCATTAAAATGAGCTGGAGTTTGTTCTCTGTAGAAGAAATGTTCATTTATTTTCACAACAAAAACATGTTATTTATCCAGGGTGCCCAAACTTTTGCATACGGCTGTATTACAGCATTCTCAGCTCTTTGTCTGAACTTTGTGCTGTGTTAATCCACGCTGTTCAATCTCTCTCAAGCCCCGAATGATGAGAGCACTCTTAAAGAGTTCCTGCTGTCTCCGTACCTGTGGGTGCTGTCCATGGGTTATCTGGTGGTGTTTGGGGTGAAGATAGCCTGCACTGACTGGGGTCAGCTGTTCCTCATGCAAGAGAAAGGCCAGTCTGCTATGATGGGTAGGTCTGTCACTGAGAGAAACTACCCAACCTGATGGCTTCGGGGGGGGTTGGGGTCTGTTTCTAGCTTGGTACCAGCAGCCTTTGATGCATGTTTATATGAGTTTTTGCCTATTTTTCCATTGTAATTTGATTTTCACTGATTTGAATTCACATTGTAGGGGTGGAAATCACTGCAGGCCACAAGATACTATCACAGAACTTAATCCACAATACGATTCTATTGATATATATAAAGACTTCTGACATACTAAGTGTTGCGATATGACATAAAGCAATATGACAGAATTGTGAAGGAGACGAATCTACGTTGTCCTTTCAGGTTTAGCAGATGTTTTTGTTTGTTAGTGACACAAACGACATTCAAAGCAGGCTTTCTCCTTGGATTTTTAACAGGTGCATTTATCTACAGCAATTTACAAAAACAGGTACTATTCTCCAGGGTATATTTTGGTTTTTCCATCTGAATTTACGTGACCAAATCATAAGACAAATTATTCAGTAACTGCATGAAATAAATGTACATTTTTATTTATTTATTTATTTTTGTAAAAGCTCCCCTCAAATTAACAGAACGTGTGTTTTATGATCACACATATTGCTATATTCTTACAATTTACTGCAGAAAGCCAAAAATCTTAGATGGTCTTAGATTATTTTATAAAAATGATTTTTACAGAGCAGATCGCTGAAGAGACGCCATCTGTTTATAGTTTATAGCCCAGATTTGTGGAAAAATGGGTCGACTTTCAGCAGACAAAAACAATTTGTTCAGCTTCTTTTATTATAAGGGTTTAAAATTACATCACCCATCTGTTTGACTGGAAAGAAGACAGTTACAGCTCTCATATGACCCCCACCTTCTGAATGTAGCTTATGAAATATGAAAGTTATGAAGAATATGACGAAGTGTGTTTTGGAACCACCGGTGGTCTCAAGGAGTTGAAGAGGTTAATATAATATAATAATACAGTAATTCTGTCTGAATCTGAGCGAACCCTGTCTCGTAGCCCCACTGACTGAAACCTGCTTCTCACCAGAAAGAAACAGCGCCATCTTATGGCTTAAGACAGACGTGCATTTTGGGCTCAATATACAATAAAAGCATCTGCTGTATTTATTAGTAAATAGTAGAATATCTGTGGCCTCCTTGTATTGTTACTCATTTTAAACCCAAAGAACTGTGATATTGTGCTGTATTGATTTATTCTTTCACCCTTATCATATTTTATTTTGATTTACATAGACATTATAAGTTAGATTGTAAGTTGTAATCTGATTCTAAACAGAAATTTTCAGCATAATGTGATGAAATATTATGAATACCTGATGAAAAGGCTGTCCATCCCCCTGTAGGCAGTTCGTACATGAGTGCCCTGGAGGTTGGTGGTTTTGCTGGCAGCATTGCAGCAGGCCTTCTCTCGGACAGAGCAGTTGCACGAGTGGGTATAAACCTACCTGTCATCAATTTCTACATAAATATGCTTTATCTTCAAAGCAGAGCATCATGCTGACCAATGCTGACCAAAGCCTCCTATTGCTTTCAAACAGCACGGGCTGGGTACCCACGGAAACCCCCGGCACGGCCTCCTCTTAACCATGATGGCAGGCATGACTGTGTCTATGTACCTCTTCCGGGTCACCATCACAGCAGAGATCCCAAAGGTGAGCGGAATAATTATTTTTAGTTGTATTTTTAATTCTGTAGGAATGTGAAATACTTTAAAGCAACATATGATCACATTGGCTAACTCTGGTACTTAAAGGGGCATTCAGGCCCAAAACTAGCATTTAATATGTTGCTGTTATGTAACATTCTGTAGGGCAGCATTGCACCACTCGGCCTCAACGGTCTGAGAGAATTCACCGGTGTTCTCCCACTACAATACCCAGCATGCTAGTCACTGATATAGACTCTGGATTAGGGGTCGGCAACCCAAATGTTAAGAAGAGCCATTTTGTCCTTTGAACAAAAATCTAACCCCCTTGGGAGCCACGTTTTATGTTCGTTTTACCATCTTGGCTGTAAATATGTCTCAGTATGTGCTGATGTACTAGTATAAGCTAAAAAATATCAATGAAAACACAGACTTACTTTGTTTGCTTTAAGCTTTAGCTCAGCTGTAGCTGCTTTTCTCGCATCTCAGGCAGGAAACTTTTTGGCAAAAGTAGAATAGTTTGTTGTAAAATGTCTCTCAACTTTAGATTTTTTACGAGGCTGAAGTCGCTTCTCATTCGCCAGCTTCTCATTTTCCCGTTCTACCTCAAATGGTGCCTGAGGAGACAGAATGTGACAGAATGTGAGGTGGAATGGGACAATTTGAATGAGAAGCTGGCGAATGAGAAACTGACTTCATCTTCGCAACTAGTGTTTGACGGTTTCTTGATGCAGATTAAACGTATCAGGAAACCAGCTGGAGTGATTATGAATTCAGATAAGTCCATTCATCTCCAATTTATCAATGTTCGTCCTAAATCTCTCTCTGTTAGCTACTAGCTAGGCGAGACTGTTGTCTGTGTTGCTATGGTGACCAGCAGTCTGTACTGATCTTCAGGGTTAAAGGGTGAATTAGCAGTTCTACATTAACTCCAGAGTTTAAGACCATTTATTGTTAAACTGTGTTGAACGATCAGCAGAGCTTTATTTTACTGTAAAGGAGTAATATGGAATAAAGTCCATATTGATACTGCATAAGAAATATGGTTGTTGCATGTTTAAGTTTTCTTCATGAGCATCTTACTCCATACAGTTTCTGACATCATCATGATGTGTTTCTTTAGGACGAGCCTCTCTGGGTCACTGCTCTCCATCCAGTCTCTGTCCTGACCGGTCTGTCTGAGAAAGAGGTACAGATGTCCCAGATACACATTTGAGCTGTGTAGACTGAAGACTGTGATGCATAACGATGTAAAAGCTCTTTAGACCTCACAATTATGGAACGTTCCCTTCTTTCTTTCTACCTAGATCTGGATCTTAACTCTAGGTGCTGCGTTTGGGTTCTCGTCGTATGGCCCGATCGCGTTGTTTGGGGTTATCGCTAACGAGAGCGCTCCCTCGAACTACTGTGGGATGTCACATGCCATCGTAGCCCTCATGGCAAACGGTAAGTCTGCAGAAAATGTGTTTTAAAGCAACGTTTTGGCAAATTTAACTGGCAAAGCATGTTAGAAGGTGTTATAAGTTTTTGCACTGCAGCTATGAGGCTAATGTAGCTAACAAGTAATGAAAACATATACCCCACCAGTTAGCACTCCTCAAGATGCGTTGAGTTAATAGCATCAAATGGACTTAGTTGTGTGGTTTCTGACACTGTATGAGACACTGTTGATGTTCCAATAGTGTTGCATTTAAGCCGATATAGCAAAAATATAATATCCTGATAATTTGAGAATTTTTCAGGTTACACGATATTGTGATATAGTGGCAGTTTGAGAAGATGTGGTTGAGCTTCATGTGTCCTGGAGGAAGCTAGCCTTCATCTTCCCAGCTTGGTAGCCTCGTGTGGGAGACCTAGCTAGCAGGTGGGAATTGTCTGCAACCAAAAATTGGAGAGAGATTAAAAATGGGTATATATATATATATATATATATATATATATATATATATAAATACAGACATATATTATGTGTTAGCTACATTAGCCTTGTAGCTCTGGTGCAAAACTTGATGCAAAGAACCCTTTAATCATGCAAAGAGTTCTTTAAGTATTCATGGTTCTATATAGAAAAGGGTTCCAGCACCAAAAAAGGTTCATCTGTTGTTACGATGTCAAGCTTTAATAATAGAAGAACCCTTTTTGATGCTATATAGAACCCTTTTCAGAAGGGTTCTACAGCACATTCTCCATCAGTCTGAAGAACTCTTTCGAACCCTTTCATCATGCAAATGTTCTTTAAGTGTTCATGGTTGTATATAAAGAACCCTTGAAGAACCATCATTTTAACTGTGTACGTATTGTGTCATTTTTTGTTGTGTTTAAATTATTTAAATGTGCCTAAATGTTCTAATGTGTGTGTGACCCAGTTGGCGCGTTCCTCGCTGGCCTGCCGTTCAGCGCCGTCGCTAAGCGCTACAGTTGGGACACGGCCTTCTGGGTGGCCGAGGTGATCTGCGCGCTGACCACGGTTTGCTTCTTCCTGCTTCGCAACATGCGGACGAAAATGGGACGAGTGCACAAAAAGACAGACTGATCTCTTCGCGCTGGAGGATCTCGTGGACCCTGACAATGTGACGCAGCTCAGCCGTGATGGTGGCTTTTAACATAAACACTGTCCAGAAAAACTGTACACTTCACATTTACATCATCAGTTACATTAACACTGCTTCATAGGATCACTGTTACTTACTGAAACACACTGCGAGCACTTTCAGCATGCCTTTCATTAACAAAACAAAGAAGTCATTTATTCAATTATTCAGTCAGTTATTAACAATTTAAATGTGAGGGAATGATTTGGCAGAAAATCTAATTTGCACAATTCGTCACTTTTCCCAATTGTACTCGATCAGCCACGACGTTTGGTGTCCAAACTCTTCTTTAGATTAGGGCTGGAGCTACAAGTCTAATGTTACTAACAAACACTAGCAGTCAATAGTCACCTAAATCTTTTCTGTACATACAATGAGTGTGTTTGCATGCACTCAATAATCCGATCATAATCAGATTTCTGCAGTTATCCAATTATTCAAATGGTCATGTAAACACCATACTCATCTATAAATCTGATAAAGAGAGCTGGACTGATCAGTAATCAGATTTCTCAGTGCTTGTGAACTCTTACTCTGATTTCTTTCGGATTTCTCAGTCTGCACAAGAACAGACGGCGGTACGAGCAGTGTTGCCGTGAGATGGCAACAAAAGCACTTTTGGAGCGATGCTGAACCCAAACACGAAATAAAGGACTTAAATATTCCTCGTCTTCTAGATAATGTGCGTTTATATTTTCAGGTAAAGTGGCGCAATGATTAAAAAAAGCTGCAGCTTTTACGTTATGTTTACGTCTTCTTCTGTGAGTTTATTGGCTGGTTCCAAAGCAGAAATCTGATTACTGTCTGACTCATGTAGACCTGGAGTTTCCCCTTTATCTGATTACTCAAGGGCATGTAAACACGTTGATCGGATTACTGACAAAATCTGATTTTCTGCAGTTATCAGATTATTAAGTATATGTAAAAACACTCACTGTCTCTCAATCCACTCCAACCACATCCAGCTGATTATTAACGTTGTGCAGGCTTGTCGATGTGGTTTAGGACACAGTACGACTTACACCTTGTAGCTGAATACTGGGGCAGCCACTTTACAGGTGCTGTGTTAAATTCGGACTCCCTTTTGTGTGCATGACGTCACGCAGGCATGTGGAAGCTACAGATTAGATTCACTGTTGCTGTTGTTTCTGTTTATAATTAACTGTTAATCTTCCATTTTTATACTGAACATATATGTTTATACATAGAAGCAACAGGAATCACAAACATAGCCTTCATATGCCTGTATGAGGTTCGTGCACTTGAAGGGGAGTCGGATACTGCAGGGGAGACCGAATGGCTGACCGCAGCATTTAACTACACTGTGAAGTTTTATTTATTTAGATAGTTAATAGTAAGTCATACTGTGTCCCAAACCACATCAACAAGCCTACACAGCCTTACTGAAGAGCTGGATGTGGTTTGAGCAAGTTGAGAGACGTGCATTTACAGAAGAGATTTGGGTGACTATTGACTTCTAGTGTTTGTTAGCCGTTAGCCGTTAGCCTTGCAGCTCCAGTGCTAAAGTAAGGAAGCAAAATCTGGAAACCAAACATGTGTTAGCTGAGCGACTATATCCGGTGTAAGTGGAAAGTTATGTAAATTACAATTTTTTGCCAAACCATTCGTTTAAAGGCTCAGTTAGGATACACAGTGTATATGAAATATTAGTATTACTAAATATGGCAATATTTAAATATATTGAGCCAATAATGTGCCATAGTTCAAAAATTAGCCTGCATTACTTCAACCCAAAATAGCATTGCATTTGGTTGGATAACTTGAATACCGTGATTCATCACAGCAGCCATATGAACTAAACTGGAGCTGTGATTGGTCAGGATGCTCACAGCACATTGTGATTGGTTAGAGGGCTCGTTTCCAGCATTGCAGTCAGTATTGCAAAGGCCAGTATCGCAATAGTGATTATTAAATGATGTATTGAGCAGCCTTTGTTAGGATTATTCATGAAGTAGAAATATAATGTGTTTCTGGATGGTGAATGTACACATTACAGTTGTGTGCAAAAGTTTACACACCCCTGGTCAAGTTACGTGTTTTGATTTTCTAAGTGAAAATAAGTTACAGGCTGTGCCCCAATTCAGGGGCTGCATCCTTCGAAGGCCACGGTCTATAAAGGCGTGTCCTGAACTGAAGGCTGAACCGAAATGAGACGGTCTGCTCTACCGCGGATTTCCTGTTTGCGGCCTTTTTGTCCCGCCCTTACCGCTGCGTCATGAAACGCCGCTCTTGTCAAGTTCTTTTAAAGTTCTGTAAAGACAAAGCCAGAAACTTTGATTTTATTATTTTTATTTTTTCATTTATTAGAGCTGGAGATGCTTCACCGCCACCTGCAGGTTAGTGTAAGTTTTGCCTCAGACCACATTGGCTTTTTTAACATCTGTATCGTTCGCTATTCGACTCAGTTTAAACCCAATACATACATTGAAAAGTGTCTTATCAGCTGCCATTCACTCCTCTGCTGACGCTGCCATGTTCTCGAATCCTCGCCGGCACACAATTGACCTCGGGATATGTTGGCTGGCGAGGGATCCACCCGTTGGATCCTTCGTTGCCATGGAAAAGAAGGACACATTTCTCTGCCGCATATGAAGGAGACTTCGAAATGGTACAGCCTAGTGCTGTGACGCAGTCGGCCTTCAAATGCAGCCTCAGAAGGATGCAGCCCCTGAATTGGGACACAGCTACAGAGAAGCACAGTCCACATTACAAAATGTTCCACCGCACACTGTGTGCAATCACACCTTTCCACCAGAGAGGTCTCCAAATCCCCAAAACTGACATAGTGTAGCTTTAATCTCATGAAATGTGCACATAAATGAGCAGAAAATGTCATTTAATGTGTTCTCTGCAGAGAATGTGTTAACTTATTTTCATAAAATCAACAAAAGCTGTAATTTGACTCAAACTTTCACCCACATCTGCATATCCAGACCAAAGTATTATGCTTAGAAATGAATGTTGACCCTCATCTGTCCTTCACTGTCACCAGCAATCAAACAGCAGTGTTCTCCATTATAGCTACTGCATTAATTGCCTTCTGTGTAGGCCAGAATGCTACGAGTTCTCTTTGAGGAGTCCATTAACTACACTACTTCATTTGCACATTCCTTCATGCAAAATACAATACGTTTATAAAAACTGAAGATGTGGCTCTGTGTCCTTCACAAGAACTGTATTTATTGTTTGGACACACAATGTACAGCTTTTTATGTGTAGGTCTACATATCATGGTTTAAAAGCTAAAATGAAACGTTGACTTGAATCATGAAAACATGACAATGAAATCTTTTTTCTTCTTTCTGTTATATTTACTATAATCTGTTCACCATTAACAGCAGAACTGGAATACAAGTTTGGGTTTCAGCCTGGAGTCACATGACTAACATCTCCATCACTAAGATAAACTGTAATTAATATCTATGACCTAAAATTATTTTAACTATGAAATTTCACAAGCTTCTAAAATGGGAAATAACAGATTTTACCATTTGTAGTGATGCACAAATGTTGTATATGTAAAATTATTGTTTTTATTTCCTATTGAAGTTGATTCTGATATTAAAATGCTGTTGAATCTCTTTGTCTTTCTCATCTTTGGGAGCAAAGTGAGCTAAAAAGCATTAATAATGTGTAGCAGATGCTTATAATTGACTAATTCATGCATTACACAGAGACTTTATGAGGTACATTAAACTAGGTTTGTCATTTCGCTGGTTTCTTAATGTGTATTAAAGCTAATCAAAGAGATTTAATAGTTTCCTACTATCAAAAATCCTATTTGGCCTTAATCCTATTAGTTTAGGCCTAATCTGAGTCTGGAAAACTGACATATTATTATTATAGGTTATCTTGTTTCTTTTGATTTTGCCCTCTGGTCTTGAATAGGATCTGCCTTTATTGTAGTGGGTCCTGTGATATGAGGCTACAGACAATGAAAATGCTTAAAAAGAAATTTCCACTGATTTTTTTTATTATTTCTACATGATTTTGTCGTTGAGACGTAAACAGTCATTCAGAGTGGTTTTATGTGAAACAGATCATTATGAAGAAATTCACCTCTGATTTCTTTACAGTGGTGGTGATAGGAATCATGGGTTGCCATGACTACAACACAAATATAGCCATTTAATTTACTATCCAAAACCACCAATGAACTTTTGAGTTTTTATATGGAATGTTAATGATGGTAAAATAGTCATAAATCTGAAGAAAATAAGTCTTTCTGGGGGCTATTTTGCCTCACAACACCATGAAAAATACACTTTAGTCCAAAACCTTCTCAAATGGCTGCAAAACATCTCGGACACCAGACAGCATATTCATAACTATTACATGTAATAACTTTCGGTGAGGGAGCTTTGAGAGGTGGACGTCTCTAAATAGGAATAGTGCTTTATATGGAACTCATTGTTATAAATAGAACCATTTCTTTTACCAAGAACCCTTGAAGAACCATCTTTTTAAAGAGTGTATATATGTAATTGAGCTCTTTTGTGATAGGCTGAAACACTCCTTATAACTTCAGGGTGAGTGGGTGGAGTTAAACAGCTGTAGGCTGAATAGGCAGTTATATATAATTATGTCACAAACAATACATTCAAAACGTACATTATACTGTATATATATATATATATAAAACAGTAACCACTAAACAATTTCCCATTAGAAAGCAAAACCATCTGGTTTTAATCCAAATGGTGGTAACAGTCTTTCAGCAAGGATCTTAGCCCTTTTTAAACAGAACTATTGCCTTTACTAAAGAACGCTTGAAGAACCATCCTTTTTAAGTCTGTAGTACGCTTTTTGGACACAGCTAATGGCTTCTACACCCAAATGGTGCTCCAAATGTTAATTGAGTCATGTAGCTAATGGCAGAATAATAATAGCTTTCTATTTAACACATGAAGCACTGTTTAGGTATAAAAGCCATTTTTTCATGACCTACATAGTGCACTACACAGGGAGCAGGGACCCAGTTAGCAAAATTTGCCTGGCTCACTTGTGGGCCACATCCTTGGTTTGTTCTGGCCTAGTATACGGCTGGGTCCTCTGCCCGGTTCTGGCCCACACACTGTATTAAAGTGAGTAGAACTAAAGGATATGGCCCAAATCTGGTCCCAGTGTGGCCCAACTACATTGTTGGTCCACAATATTCACGCCACGTGTTTCACTGCACGGATGGGTTTAATGCGGAGGTCTAATTCCACAGTGTGCAAACACAGTTCGCTGATGGTTCTGAATGAATAACATCTACCTGGTAGTCAACAAACACTCACATAGGAAAGCCAGAATCGGCCCAAAACTGTCTTGGGAGACGTGTACTTACAGAAGAGATTTGGGTGACTATGGATTTCTAGTGTTTGTTAGCCGTTACGCTCTTAACTCCAGCGCTAAACTAAGGAAGCAAAATCTGGAAACCAAACATGTCTTAGCTGAGCCACTATAATCTGGTGTAAGTGGAAAATTTGGATTTTTTGCCAAACCATTTTTTAATTTTGGATTAGCGCTGCACAGTGTATATAAAATATTAGTATTACTGAATATGGCAATATTGAAAAATATTCAATCCTCGGCCCAGATCTGGCCCACACACTGTATTACACACTGTATTAAAGTGAGTAGAACCAATATGGCCCAAATCTGGTCCCAATGTGGCCCAACTATATTGTTGGTCCACAATGTTCACGCCAGAATTGTCCCACAAATCACACCATCACACCCCCCCCCCCAACACACACACACACAACTACCACTCGCTGCAGAACCACAAGTCCAAAGGGGTGGAGCCGGACCTGATCCAACTCCGCCCACGTCTTGACAGTGGTTTTTCTCGAGACTCGAAGTCGTTTAGCTTGAGGAATGATGCCATTCTGACTCGGAGGTCTGAGGGTGTCCCAAAATGTACCCCGTAGCCCCGCCCAGTGCTAATTAACATATATTTGCATGTTGGTCAGTTTGAAAACGAAATCGAAAAGTGGAAAATGTAAAGTGAATGTCCAGCAGGTGGCGCTGATGTTCGTTTGCATTTGCCTTTTCATTCTGACACCTAAAGCGTCGAAAACCGAATCACAAACCGTCACTTTGCTGTTGATTTATCAGTTTTCATTTTAATTTTGTCAGATCTGCAGCCGATCGCTGTGAAAGAGAAATAAGAACGTAAACACTGCGCTTTGGTTTTAGTTTTGACTCGTGTTCTGCACTTCATGAAGAAAAGCCAAAGTGAAGCTTGGATTTTCTTTTCTCTGTTAGCTTTTTCATTTTAGATTCGGCCGTGAAAAACCAGAATAACGACTAAAATGAAATGACAAACAGCTGTTTTACATTTATTTTTATTTTTGTCACTGATGGCTCGCGCTCATGTGAAAAATGAAATTGCAAATGTAGGTATTTCATTTCATTTTCAGTTTTGGCAGGATTTTTGCGCAGATGTTTGGAAAAAGAAATGGCAAAACGAGGTTTGCATTTACATTTTACTGTTTTCATTTTAACTTCCTTTTTGGCTGGATTTGCCTCCCATACAGACCCAGCCGTCCCCTCCGGATTTCTGGTTCTGCAGCGACGACAATCTCAGCTGTTCCGCTGTAGGGGGCAGTGCGGCGCATCGGCGCGCCGCGGGCGGAGGCGCGCAGAAGAAGCGCGGGGCCAAAGCGGGGTGGGCTCAGGCTCTCCTTCCTTTCTCTCTCCGAGCTTCAGCATGGTGCGTACCGGCCCGCGCAGCGCGCGCTGAAAACACATTTACCCGCTCGGTTTCACGGTGTAACTCAACAAACGTGCTCGCTTATGACGCGTAGAGCCTCAGAGAAACGGCAAAGCCGTCAGACGGCGCTTATTTCAGTGTTTAATTGGGGTATTTTTACCGGTTTGTGTGCGGTTAGCGCCGATGCTAACGGTCCGTCCGCAGCGTGTCGGAGGCCTGAGCCCCGATCGCCCCGTCAGCGGCCGTGTTTTGTAGCTTTACGGCCACATTTTAGAGTTTCAGACCGGATTGTCTGTATAATACGTGCTGAACACGCAGTGTGGGCTTGTTTCTGTTTTATTCGTGTAGCTGGTGTTGACTTACTCACAGTAGGAGCCGTTTTCCTGGACGTGTTTTAAGCCTGGCGTTGCTGCTACCGCTGATTCACCATTTAAAATCTGTTTAAGTCCAGTTTTAGGTTTAATTTGAGTCTGGAAACAAGTCCCACTGCTCATAGGAGATAAGAGTCACTTCTGGGCGGTTGGAGTGCATCAATGTCTGATCAGTTTGAACCCTCCTGTTATCTTTGGGGTCCCATTCAGTGTTTGTCTCTAAATGATTCGACATCCCTTTTTGCCAAAGAAACAAAGTACCTGACCCAAACTTGGGTAGCGATTTTAAGTGCTGGGGTCATATAATATCTAAGGATAAAAGATGTATTTATTTTTAAGGATAACAAGATAGTTAAATGCTCTGGACTAGTTTTCATGCCAGACTTAAGTTTAATCTGGGCTAAAAACTGAAATTCTGAGTTCTTTACACAAAGAGTTAAGTGTTATAAAGTGTTTTGATCAAGCGAAGTACATTTCTGTCTTTACTGTAAAGAATAGATGATCTATAGCTGCTGTAATGCGTAATGCTATTGGCTCGATACCCTGACAAGGAGTATATTTAAGTCTAGACTGAGACTTAATTTGGGTCTAGGATACTGACCCTGATGCCTCTTATTTGAATGTGCAGTGTATATTAACGAAGTATATTTTGTATCCTTGTAGCCGCCCAAGGATAGCAAACAGAAGAAGGATTCGGGCAAGTCCAAAAAGGACAAGGATCCCGTCAACAAATCTGGAGGCAAGGCCAAAAAGAAGGTAACTGTTTGATACTACAGATATTAAAGTTTAGATTCATACTGCTTCATTAGTTATCTGTATTTTTATTATTTAGTTATTAATTAAAAAACACCTGTTATTAATTATTAGTGTTTTATTCCTTACCTGCTATGTAAGTTATGTAGTTGTATGGGTGAGAACCTTAATTGTAGGCAGGTATATGTCCGGACTCTAAATCCCTTTTTTGTTCTGTTTGGAGTAGAAGTGGTCCAAAGGAAAGGTGAGGGACAAGCTCAACAACTTGGTCCTCTTCGACAAGGCCACATATGACAAGCTGTACAAAGAAGTCCCTAACTACAAGCTCATCACACCTGCCGTTGTGTCCGAGAGGCTGAAGATCAGAGGCTCCCTTGCCAGGGCAGCCCTTCTTGAACTGCTTGGCAAAGGTAGGGGATGCTTTGACTTTTGGTTGCTGATGTTGTTTAAAAGAACAGTTCACAAACATCAAAAATGACCGTTTTCCTGTTAACCGTTTTACCCCTGATGTTGGCTAAACAAGACATGTTTGGTATCTGAAGCTTATTTATTGCACTGGAACTACAAGGCTGATGTAGCTAAGAAGTAGTGGAAGTCAGCATCACCTAAAATCTTTTTGGGTGACATACTTCAGTTGTCTTGGCCTCGTAACTCAACTAAAATTAAAGAAGAGGACTTTGGACACAAAACGTCTTGGCCAAAAGTGTAATGATTAATAATTCATAATGATAAAATACAGTGGTGTCTTGGTTCGATACTTTGTATTGATAAAGCAAACATAAGGAGAGGCTAAAAAAGTGCGTTAAGTTGGTGTTTCCATTAATTAATGTCTTATGTTAATATTTCATAAAGAACTGGCAATGTACAATATTGGAATCAAAAGCTGTGCTTTAGTGTCCTGATCCAACGCTCTTGGTCTGTTCACTACATTTGGTATAAGGAAGATTGTTGAACTTAAATTTTCCTTCGATTTAGTGGCACTGCTATAATTTCAGTGCACCAAAGTTATGTTTATGATGGTTCACCATGTGTTTGGGTCCCATTTAAAGTGGTTCTGATGCTATTCTCGTCTTTCCTGCAGGTATGATCAAGCTAGTGTCAAAGCACAGGGCTCAGGTGATCTACACACGTAACACCAAGGGCACTGATGAGGCTGCACCAGAGAAGGAGGCATAATGAGGTGATTACATTAGTCATTCTCCCACTGCAAACTGTTCACTGTATAATCCAGAATATCCTTCATTTAATGCAGTTTTCTTTCTCTTTTATTCCAGGTTCCTCTCTGAGATGTTAAGGTCTTTTGTATAGTTAAATAAACAACAAAAAAAAGATATTTGTGTCTGTGGTCAATCTCTGCATACGTTTTAGCTACTACTTCTTTAGTCATTTGGGTTTGGTGACATTGCAAGTTTCAGGTTTATCCTTTTAATTAATTCATTTATTTTTTATTTAGGTAAATCGTATCAGGTGAAATGTTTTCCTGAATTGCATGGTGGAGGTGTTTTCTTTTGGCTCTGTAAAGACATCCCACTGATGGAGAACATCTTAAGATATGGTACATAGTTACTGAAAGAGAGAGAAAACTGAAGCCAATGAGACAAGTTTAACTTAAGCTGGGAATGGATGGATAAAAAACAGGTAATTGGACAGTGTGGTGCTGATGAATGTTATCAAAGAGAAAAAAGGGCTGTAATTTACTAAATTCAGACTGAAGATTTAACAAACAAGGGTTCAGGTTTATTAACTATAATGGTACGGTCAGTATGTACACAGCAGCACTTCATGAGTCAGATTTAATAGTGATCTCCTTTTAATCTTACATTAAGGCATCAACAGTTTGAAAAGGTGTGTAGAGCTTCATCTGTCTGCTAAATGGAAGATGTAAAATCTTCAAGGTCCAGCACTAGAGCTTCAACAAAGTCTTCAATAGTGGGGGTCTTCTGTAGCATTTCTAAAAAGAGCACATTCAACTGAACCGAATGTTGGTTTCATGCTGGAATTTAAGAAAAATTTAAGAACTGAAATGATTGCTGCCTTCAAGTCAAGTCAAAGTCAAGTCAAAAAACCAATGATAGCAGCTGATAAACTGGCCATGCTTCAGCCACAAGACTGTCCACACATGACAATACAGATATAATGTAAATACACAGACTCTCTTTAATAACAAATATACAAGTAAACCAAAAATTTTATTTCCCCTTATTTCCAACCAAACCCACTTGGACACAAATCGAGTCGAACTTACGGCCTCCAAGGCTGTACGTAGGAACTTGCAAGGACGACTTGAAGGCAGCATATATGCAACTAAATGACAAAAGTAGTTTACCTGTGACCGTAAGCATGGGTTCCTTTCCACCACCGTGAGCCAGCATCTCTCTGCGGTAGCGCTCTCCCATGGCCCTGCAAGAGCGACACCCAGAGGAAGATGAGTATAAAGACAAGCCTATTAATAGAGGATATTTCATTCACAGTGGCTACTCGGAGTGCTTTGTCAATTAAAGAAAAAAAAAAGCAGTTAAGACTAATAATGTGTCTGCAGTTTTTGGTAGTTTACTGCAAGCTTGAGAAAGTACTAGATACAACTGGTGAACTCTGTCAAGTTCCATGTTACTCAAGGTGTACATGTGCATGCCAGTGCAGTGAGAACACGGTAGCTGGTAGTGTTGCAGGACTTGAGCCCAATCTTGAGGTGGAATGGATTCAAGACCAGTTGAGTGTGATGTCGTCTTCTGAGATAACTAGAGACATAACTTTTTTTCCTATTGCTGAACATTAACACCACCATCGTACAAAATAAAAGTCCTTTCTCTACATCAGGAGTTTCCAGTCTTAGCCGCGAAGGGCCGGTGTGGCTGTAGGTTTTCACTCCAAACAAGCTGGAGCTGATTCTACTTGTTTAATCAGTTAGTCTTAGTCTTCAAACATTTCATCAGGTGACCTCCTGATTTGTTGGAGTGAAAACCTGCAGCCACACCAGCCCTCTGGAGATAAGACTGGACACCCCTGCTCGACATGATGGCTTAACAGTTGTTGATATTCACTGGTTCCCAATTTGAAACACCCCATGAGGGCAGATCTGAATGTTATGTTTTCATTTAATAAAAAATTGGTGCATTGTTTGGTTTACATTCAGTTGACTTTAGGTGGTGATTTCTGAATAAGTTTTAGAGAATAATAATAATCTCACCATTTTGTCGCCGTCCAAAAAAAAAAGGTACTAAGTTTTTATTTTTGTACATCATTTGAACGCAGCAGCTGTCTTTTAGATTGTGTGAATGTTTAATGATGAATGGACCAATAGAAATGCTCCAAAGTCACCTGGAATAAAATCTCTTAGTTAATTTACACTGAAAGTTAAGAATGTTTCTGGCCTCTTCTGTAAAGTTACTGTTTTGGAGATACTTGTTCCTCTTTAGGCAGTGACCATTTCCAGAAGATAGAATGCAAAGTTGGCCTAAGACTATGACTATAAAAATAATATTTTTAGGTTATGTAGCAATTAATATTATACAAAATATACAATGAAATAAAATGTTATTTATATATCATGTATAATGAATTATAATGTATAATGAACTACAAATTTCAGATTTTCCCCCTTTTTTCTTTTCATGTTTACATTCTGAAAAAAAATCTTAGTTTGGTCTGTTTTGTGTCTGTCTCAATACTCCTGGTCTCGGTCTTCACTCTGACTCGACCGCTACAAAGTCTCGGCCTTGACTCTGACTTGACTGCTACAAAATCTCGGACTTAACTCCTCGACTCTGACTCGACCGCTACAAAGTCTTGGCCTTGACTTTTTGACTCTGACTTGAGTGCTACAAAGTCTTAAGTCTTGACTCGGACTTGACCCCTTGACTATGACTCGACCGCTACAAGTCTTGGCCTTGACTTTTTGACTCTGACTTGAGTGCTACAAAGTCTTAAGTCTTGACTCGGACTTGACCCCTTGACTATGACTCGACCGCTACAAAGTCTTGGCCTTGACTCCAACTCAACCGCTATAAAGTCAGCCTTGATTCAGACTCAACCGCCATGAAGTCTTGACCGCTGACTCAGACTTGACTGCTCCAAAGCCATGACCGCTGACTTGGACTCAACTGCTACAAAGTCTCAGCCTTGACTGATTCAACCGCTACAAAAACTCGACCACTGACTAAGACCAAACCGCTACAAAGACATTCTTGACTCAGACTCAACCACCACAAAGTCTCGACCACTGACTCAGACTCGACTGCTACAAAGTCATGCCCACTGAGTTAGACTCAACCGCTACAAAGTCTCAGTCTTAACTCAACCTCGACCGCTACAAAGTATCGGCCTTGACTCTGACTTGACCGCTGCGAAGTGTCAGCCTTGACTGAGACTCAGTTTGTTCAGGTCTCGGGCTTGACTCGCCTCTAGTGGTCTTGATTAATAGCTGGCACTGGTGCATCGTTGCTGCTCATTAACAGGCTGCCAACGAAATCCAGATTGCAAAGAACTAATTATGGCTGCACAGTTACAGGCACAGCACTGCAGCGGTCAGCACACTCGCCTGTTAAAGGGGTCTTTGAGAAAACACTGCCTCCACACCATGGAGGCCACAGCTCTGGACATGAGGTAGGAGTAGTATTTGGCACCATAACCAACCAGGTGGCTGAATCGCAGCTGCCAAGCCTACAAATTAATCATACAATGATTAATTAATAATTAATACAACATTAATTAATACAACAAAATACTGCATCACTGCAGTTCCTTCACTGCACAAGGTAACTTACAGTGTTGTGAACATACGGCAGTCCATAAAATCTTCCCTGCATATCTTTGAGGATGTCAGTGGTTGTCCTGTTTTGCGGTTTGCCGTGGTACACTTGATCCAAGGCTGCGTAGAAAACCTGGAATGTACACAAAAATTTGCTTAGAATAAATTTCACATTCAGATCTCATATAATTCCAGTTATAGAGATTAGTTGGTAACAATATGTGGTCATTGTTGACTACAGATGTAAATACGTAACATCTACTAAACAAGTGTCAAAGGTGTTGTTCAGAGAGTTTGTGACCTGTAGCTGAGTGTCAGCAGCTCCACAGATTCTCTTAGATTGGCAGAGATGGGTCACCATGCTTTCAGGAAGAGGCTAGAAGAGCAGAAACACCAGAAATAGGTGTTTGCATCGTCTACAAAACAGTGCAAAATGAATGGCGATGGCTGTTCAATGCAGTACCTCTCCTGTCTCATAGTGGCGAGCAAACTGGCTCACGACACGATAATCAGAGGCGAAGAACTCCATCAGGACAGACGGAACCTCTGCAAAGTCTGTGGCACATCTGGTTCCTGTACACATAAGCCCACACAGTTCTGCTGATTTTCTTAATTACTGCATTATTATGTGGTTCAGATGTAAACAAATCAGACTGGTTTGATGTAAAGTGCTCCATTCTGGAGGAACATGCAGAGTCAGAATTGTTGGTGGTGATAGGAACCAGACGTCTGAAGAGTTTAATGCCTCTTAAAAAAGCTCCCTCACAGAAAGTTATTATACACAAATAAAATATTTTTAATACACTACTAAAATATTTTTTGTTAGGTCACTCATTTCTCTAGAATGGGGCATTTCACATCAAACCACTTTTTCAGATTTACCACTATTTTACAATTAACGTTAAACTGAAAAGCTCAGAAGACACGTGTAGGTCCACGAGTGCTTGGATAGTGAGTGAAATGGCTATGTTTGTGTTGTTGTCATGGCAACCCCTGGGTCCTATCACCACCGCTGTAAAGACATCAGAGTTTTTAAGTTCCTCTACAATGAACCATTTCACATCAAACCACTCTGAACATCTTTATTTCAACAACTGAATTTTATGCAGACAAATTTGAAAAAAGTGGTGGACTTCCCCTTCAGTAATACCTGTTAGTATAATATATGATCTATGTGGGAGTCTGACTCGGGTTTCTTGCATTCTTTGCTGCAGGTTAAATAAATGCTACAAAGTCTGAGCCTTGACTCGGACTCGACTGCTACAAAGTCTCAGCCTTGACTCAGACTCGACCGCTACAAGGTCTCGGTCTTGACTCGGACTCGACCGCTACAAAGTCAGTCTTGACTCGGACTCAATCGCCACAAAGTCTTTACCGCTGACTCAGACTCGACTGCTACAAAGTCATGACTGCTGACTTGGACTCGACCGCTACAAAGTCTCAACCACTGACTCTGACTTGACCGCTACAAAATTCTCTGCCTTGACTCGGCCTTGACTCTTACAAAGTCTGAGCCTTGACTCGGACTCGACTGCTACAAAGTCTTTACCGCTGACTCGGACTCAACTGCTACAAAGTCATGACTGCTGACTCGGACTTGACCGCTACAAAGTCTCAACCACTGACTCTGACTTGACCGCAACGAAATCTCGGCCTTGACTCGGACTCAACTGCTACAAAGTCTCAGTCTGAACTCAAACCCAACCACTACAAAGTCTTGGCCTTGACACAGATTCGACCACTACAAAATCTTGACCACTGACTCGGACTCGGGGGTTAAATAAATGGTACATACTAAAACTTTATCATTTTATTTTAGCCAAACAATGAGCCCACACTTCACTGAGAACGTCATGCGCCATAATGTATCCAGGCATGTTTACACCATTGTAAAATAGGATGTTAAATATAAATATTACTTTATATATCAAAGAGTCCTTATCATGGAAAATGACATGTCCTGCTTTTTTTTTTGAGGTGGTTAGTATAGTGTAGTCGGGTGTAGTGTAGTGTAGAATGGGGTTCAAGGCCCCACCTGGTCAGCTCCCTACACTTTAACAATAAGAGTCCTTGGGCAAGACTCCCAACACTGCCTTTGCCTACCTGTGTAAAATGACCAAAATGTAAATGATGTGGTACATAAACTGTTACAGTTTTAAAAAATGTACTGTTCACACCCCATATATGTAAATTAAACAGCCCATTATGAATTTAGTTTTTGTGATGTCACAAAAACCAACACATTTACATATCCACTTCTCCAGCATACAGCAGTTTAGTTCTGCCCAATTACACTGAAGTTATAAGGAGTGCTTTTTGAATGAGGGCAGCCAATCAGAACAGAGCTCATTTACACACTGCAGTCTTGAAGGCACAGTAACAAAAACAGCCTGTTTAATTCTAACGGTTATAAGTGGTTGGAAAATGTGTGTAAAAATGAATTACGATGTTTTTTCTTGTACATAAACCTACACAAATATATCATAAGTCATAAATGGACCTCAAGGTAAAAAAATAAAATGCAAGAAAATGGAAGAAAAATATGGGCCTTTTAAAATATAAATTATATAAGAGTTGTGATTTTTTCACCTGAAACATGCTGATAGCGAGTCCGGCCCAGCATGGAATGCATGGCGTGGCCCATCTCATGGAAGAGATTCTCCATCATACAGGGGGTGAGAAGCGAGGGGGTTCTGCTGGTGGGGGGCGGCAGGCTCAGCATCAGAACCACCACAGGCAGCTGGTACCGTCCGTCCGCTTTCAGCCGTCCGCCGCGGATGGTGAAATGACAGTCCTGTCAGACGGGAGTCCAAACAGGAACATAAAGGACCGGACTTCAGGAGAATGAAAGGGGTGAGATGGGTTTGAGCAGCACCTGTTGTGGTTTATTAGGTCGGCGGAAGAAGTCACAGTAGATGTATCCCAGCAGCCCCTCCGTCTCATGAACCACAGCCTGTGAAAAAAGTCAGGAATGATAACAACTCTGCAGGATCCATCTGAGTAAGTTAGCTGCTGTTGATACAATTAATATGTAATGCTGAGTGCTGAATATAGATAAATCAACCTGTTATTACACACAGAAGTTAATAACCTTTATCAGTAATCAGGTTAATGTTGGCCAAAGTATATCTATATGTTACTAACAGGTGCAGATTAAAGAGATGGTTCTACCAACAAACTAATTTAAACAATTTCCCTCTTAACCCTCATGTAGTTAATAAACTAGGACACATTTTGCTTCTGTAGTTTTGCCCTGGAGCTGTGAGGCCCAGAAAGCCATGGCCCACTCACTTTTATCACTGGCCCACCCAAAGTGACCGCTCTCATTTATTTTTATGATAAATAAATAATCAAAAAATGGAAAAATGCACTTGGTAAATATGACATTTAAAATGGCTTTTATTTTAACTTTTTTTTTGACAAAATCCAACCAACGTACTCAGCTACAAATTTGAGAGCTACATTTAGGCACTTCTAATCACTCTCATACAAAAACCCGGCATGATGTTTAGGTCTAAAATTCAAAATCATTATTAAACATTATACTGATAAAAATATGATGACAATAGTAGATAATTCACTTCAAATCCTCAGAAGACACTCCGTCACCAAGTGAGTTCTCTTTGAATTCTCTTTCAATGAGCTCACAATCATCAGATTCATCCGCTCAGGAAAGGAGTCCAAAGCACAACCCATGTTACAAAATGTTCTTCCACACGCTGCATGCAATTACACATTTCCACCAGAGAGGTCTCCAAATCCCCAAAACATAAATACTGGAGCTTTAACAACAGAGGCTTAAATGCCAAAACATTGGCAGCATATTAAATACATCAGTCTTTATTGCTTCTGTGTGAAAAGCAAAAAATATGAATGTTAGATTTATTTTACTGTTTTTTACCGAGCTCCAGGTTTGTGTTCTGGTCAACTCGCAAGCAGTGTCTGCGACTGCATTATTTTTTTTATTGCAGTCTACAAACAAAGTTTACACTTGGCTTTTATCCCCCACCTACGGGATTGAAATTCGGCCCACCTGTGAATTTTTTATGCCCATCCAAAACGGCAGTACTGAAGTTTATATCTCACCAATTAGCACAGTGCCAACAGCATGCTTGCCTCAAAGTCTTTTAGTAATCTCAAGCATGTGGTTTCTGACACACTGTTATCTATAGACATGAACAAGTAAGGAACATAAAGCCTGAATTTTATCCATGTATGTCCAGTTTAATAGATAACAGTGTGTTAAACAGTTTTTGACAAGCTATACTTGAAAACCATCATTTCAACCATCATTTGTTAATTCAGGGGAAGGGTCTCACCAGCTTTCTGACATCATCACTCCACACCTCTCCTGTCTGTGGTTCCTCAGCCTGGAAAGAGACCCCAAGCAGCTGGCTGAAGAGCATGTTCAGCCCTTCCATGCACGCTCCTAGAGAGAAGTAGGGGCTGTACTGGATGGGCTCAATGTTGCACCTGAAACCAAGAAAATCAAATCAGCCTGACTTCCTCCTGAACAGCTGAAGCACCGCACAGTTTGGTGTTTCTGTGGGATGACAGTCTCACTAAGTTGCTTGCAGTTCTATAGGAAACCATTCAGTGCATCACGAAATCTTACTTTGTAGTTCTGTGAACGTTTGTTTGCCCCCTTTTACCCTGTTCAATGGTCAGGACCCCCACAGAACAGGTATTATTTGGGTGGTGGATCATTCTCAGCACTGCAGTGACACTGTTAGTGTGTGTTGTGCTGGTACGAGTGGATCAGACACAGCAGTGCTGCTGGAGTTTTTAAGCACCTCAGTGTCACTGCTGGATTGAGAATCGTCCACCATCCAGTAATATCCAGCCAACAGCGTCCTGTGACCACTGATGAAGGACTAGAGGATGAGCAACACAAACTGTTTGCAACAGATGAGCTATCGTCTCTGACTTTACATCTACAAGGTGGCAGAAGTGTCGAATAGAGTGGACAGTGAGTGGACACAGTGTCTAAAAACTCATTCAATAAATGCAAGTAAGCTCACTTCTCAGCTCGAATGACACCACTGAGATAAGGGTGATCCCACGGCATTAGATCCTATAATAAAATACACAAATACATATGTCAGGAATGGGACATCCAACAAGTGAAACATATAGAAACAATCAAATTGTAAAGAAAACATACAGTGTTTCGTGAACGTGTTTTCTTCTTGAACGACCTCATCATGCTGAAATCCTTTGCTGTTCTGTAAGGTTATACAGGAAGCAATGCTGAGTAGATTAAACAATCTGAACATCCATCATATTTCTCAAATAATGTCAAATAAGGATTTTGAAACATACCTGTTAGAGAGTTTCTCTGTGAGCAGCTCTAGGAACGTCATCACAGTCTCTGAAAAGTAAGTGATACAGTTCCAGCTTTACACTTTTCAACCAAATCTCTATCCGCTGCATCTGTAATGTACCACAGATGACAGTTCCCTGCATTGGCAAAGTAACAGAATACCCTCGACACACTTACATAAGAAGTCAATGCGCCGCCGCTGAATTCCGTCACTGAGCGTTTATTGGGACTACATATTTTTGTACAATACTTTTAGAAGACTGTCAGGATTTCTCGACCATTTGAATAATAAGCTGGCAAACCGCAGGTTGTTATAAAGCCAGGTTTAGCAGTATGAACATTCTCCACAAGGGGGAGCACTCAATTCAATTTATCTGCATAATGGAAATAGAGGAAACCCACACCAGCAGGATCTCACAAACGCATGTTTGTAGATACAAATGTCATGTATATGAAGGAAAAAATTAAATGTTTGTCGTTGCAACTTGCGTGTATATGATTACTCCATTACTTTATAATCTCTAGATAACTGAATTACACAAGTACTACTACAATCGATATAGACAGCTCTACACTTTCATGAATTCTTCAGTCAGTACTTGTAAATTAAGTTGTAAATCTGTATAATTTCTTCGTTCAGATCAGAGCTGGGCAGTATGACAATATTAATCATTATCACAATATTCATTTCTGAGCACATTGTGCATATCGTCAGTAATCTCTAGATTACTAATTAACAATTTATTAGACTAGATTACTCAGCTACACAATTACTAATGTAACTGATATTGACAGCCCTACACTTGTATGAATTCTTCAGTCAGTATTTGTAAATTAAGCTGTAAATCTGTATCATTTCTTCTTTCAGACTAGAGCTGGGCAATATGACAATAATTATCATTATCACAATATATGTGTCTGAACAAACTGTGCACATCATCAGTACTTAAAAATCATTTACCGACTGCATGTTTGATTACAAAGAAAGCATAATTAGTCCTGTTCAACTGATTTAGTGCAGTACAGTGTGTGAAATGTTGAATCTGAATAACTGAATTTATAGTTTTTGATAGTATTTTCAAAATGTAGGCTTACTTTGTCTGTTCTCACTTATCAGATGTTAGAATAAAAATTGTAACCTATCATGTATCATAAATTCTTGAAGTATTATGATATGGCATTTTGCCATATTGCCCACCTCCATCTCAGACTTGGGCTTAGTTTTCCAGAAGAATATGTGGCGATCTGTTACCAGTGCAGCAGAGTGGGAGTTTTACACGCTCCACCTGCTGCATTTACATTATGATGGTAGACCTGATATTCCATTGTTTTCAATAGAGAAGCCAAACAAAATTTAGCGGGTATTTCCATCAAGAGTTGAATTTTCCCTACTTCTGACATCAAATGTGACGATGGAATAAAGAAGATGATATTTTGGGAGCCATGGACACTGATGAAATTCAGGCGCACCCTATAATATACCAAAAAATGAAAAGTTTATTCCGCATCCTCCAGCCTTTTTTGCTTTTTTTAAAATGTAAACACAGCATTAAGTAAAACAAAAGCAGCTAAAACTTTATTTTTACTGTGCTGCTCCAACGTTCAAAAGTATTCATCACCCGCCTTGTATTATAAGTTCAGGCAAACGTGTTAAAATGATTGTCTGAGGTCACTGATGGTACGATAAAGATGCAGCAGACAGAGATTAAGATAAAAAATGCTGGATTATTCCTCTAAGACTGAGCAGTTAGTGCTGAAAGACGGGGCTGTTTACCTGGGGTTTTCGCCATCGTTCCCTTCAAAGCTCGGTGTGCAAATGACTCGTAGCCCACCAGCTTTGCCAGCTCACGCCTACAAGTAAGAAGCTCATCCAGGCAAAGCAAGAGATCATTGTTTGGATAGAGGAAGATTCTGTATGCAGCTTCTCGCACCTGGTGAGGAGACAACAGACTCTTTAACGTGTGGACATGCAAAGTTTAAATCAAATACAACAATAACACAGGCTAAATTTATTTATTTATTTATTTTCCTTTATTTACAACTCTTGTCGAACAAATTGTTTAAAAGTCTTTTAAATTGACTAAAAGGAGTTGTATTTTAGCACTCAGTTGAAAGTTATTCCACATGTGAAAATGCTTTCTTACCAAGTAGATACGAATATATTCAGAACCAGCCGGTCATTATTTCTAATACATGTCATTTATTCTGACTGTAGGCAAAGATGATATATGTGGGCTGTTTCAACAGAGCCTTGTAAATAAAAACCTTCCTTCTTAGGGGCGAAGTTGACAAGCCAACTTTACAGTACAGCTCACAGTGGCAGATTTTAGGCCATCAGTAATAAAATGAAGTGCACTAATAAACAGCGTCAAAAGGTATTCAATACTGAAGGACCTATGTTCATATAGATTACATCACCCTAATCTAATACTGATAAAATTGTTGCTTGAATGACTTACTTTCTACTTTTAAAAGATAAACAAGCTCTGTTTCTATAGAAAAATCTGAATTTTAATCCTTGTTTCTTTATTAACTTGTCAATGTGGGCTCTTGTACTTCTACAAACAGTAGAAACAGGGTCAATACGCCAGAAGAAAACATACTGTCAACATACATGAGAAACCTCGTATCTCCAAAATGGTAACTTATTTTACTTTTAATGTAAGTCAGAGTAATCAGACCTTTTTCCAAGTAATTTTACCAGGAAATTTACACACTCTGTAAAGGGCAACTGGCATGTTAAAATTATGTTTAAAAAAAAGTAAAAAGTGGTGAAGGAATTTATTGTTGTGAAATGTGCTGTGTTGTGGGTGTATGTGCAGAAGTTGTATTTTAGGCTGCCTATTTTGTGTTTCTCCTTATATGATCATGTCTGTCACACCTGTCACTTGTCATGTATAGGCTGAGTCTAATCTTGGCATCAGTCCAGCTATAAATCTGTGACAGTCCATTGTCTTACGGACTGGCTGGCTGTCTGGAACCTGTGCGCACAACGAATAAACTTCATTTGTCCAGACAACAGTCCCCTGGTTCGTTGGGGTTTGGATTCATCAGTGGAGATACAAGGTTTTGTTCTGACAGCAATGATATAAAAGCTGACCAAAGTGTGAAAATTCACTGATGCATTGTGATACATGAAACTGAAAGTGGCAAGTGAACTGCATTTTGGAATTATAATCAATTATAATAACTTTCGAGTATAAATGATACTATTACTTTTCTAAATTGATTCTAAAGCCATTTCATATCGCTGCTGTCGGAACAAAACCTCATATCTCCATTTTTTTTTATCTCATTTTTTTTATCTCATTTTTCAGTTTTTTACATAATTTGGAAATGCCTTTTGTCCTTTACATTGAGTGTAAATTTCAGGATGAATGGACCAAAAGAAACGGCCCAAAAGTACTTGGAAAAAGTCTGGTTTCATTGACTTACATTAAAAGTAAAGTAGGTTTTTTTCCTTCTCCTGTAAAGTTATTATTTTGGAGATACGAGGTTTTGTTCTGACAACAGCGATATGGAAAAATCACAATGAAATTTTTTTTTTACTGTCGATATTCACCTACTGTGTAAGTAATATGTCCAGTCACATTTTTGCAGTCATTTTTTAAATAAAATTTAGGATCACACCAAAATAACAAATTCTAATTAAATCAAATTGTGAAATCTGAGATGATGCGCTGAACTGTAATAAATCAAATGATTGTAAGATTTACACCTCTATAATCTGCACTTACCAGCTCATCTGGAGAATCTGCATGCAGTCCGCTGATCTGAATTCGGTTCCCATCAAGTGAGAAACAGTGGCGAATGTGTTCAGGCAGAGCGCGCTTCTCTACTGTGCTCGGAAGGTGAGAGCCATGCAGGAATTCATGACTCAGATCCAGCAGCTTCACGTTCAGGTTGACGGCCTTTCTTCTCTAAAATCACAAAAAGTCACTCACTTTATCTCAGCAGACAGCCTCAATAAATGCACTCATTAAGAAAAAATACAGAAAAATACAGAACATAAGAAATATATTTCAGACATTGTACTTCTTTCCAAAATGTGGTAAACAAAAACACATTTGGGCCAAATTGCACTCATATGCTTGAAATAACTTGCCTTATTATTATTTTTTGTTATTTCGGAACTGAAGACACCAATTTTTAAAAAAGTGTGAAAGTGGAATTTTTCCCCATTCTTGCTTGATATAACATTTAACCTGCTCAATATTGCGCTTCATAACGCGCTACATGTTTTAAATGGGAGGAAGGTCTGGACCACAGGCAGGCCAGTCTAGCACCTCCACTCTCTTACTATGAAGCCACACTGTTGTAACATGCAGAATGTGGCCTGGCATTTAAACAAACAGGGATGTCCCTGAAAAAGACTATTTGAAAGGTGGACTCGTCAGACCACAGCATACATTTCTACACTCTACCTCAGTCCACCACAGATAAGCTTTAGCCCAGAGAAGTCGGCAGCGTTTCTTCCGCTTTGTGTAGTAGAGTGTTTTCTGAAATATTCCCGAGCCCATGTGGTTATATTCATTACGAGATCGAAGGTCACAGGCATTTATTATTGGTTTTTGGCCTTGTCCTCTACACACAGAGACTTCTCTGGATTCTCTGAATCTTTTAATAATGTTGTGGACTGTAGATGGTAAAGTCCCTAATTTCCTTGCAATTGGGCATTGAGTCTGTTGTCTTTAGTATTTCAGGAATTCTGTGAACAAGCGACTAAAATCGTAAATAATATACTGGGCATTAATCTTTTGCCAAATTATATTAGCCTTGACATTTGGCTGGATATTACTTGTATTATAACTTTGTTGTAATACAATTAATATCCATTGTATTATAACAAAGTTATAATACAATTAATATTTTCCAAAATTATTTTTGAATCTTATACAGCTCCATTCTTCATTCTTGAAACCTGTAAAGCTGCTCAGGATGAGCACTTAAGAATCGTTTTATACAGCTATCTTGGCTTTATATTATTCAGAACATTGACTCCAGAATTTTACTGTATATGATACATTAATACACAGTGTATATATCTTTACTGTATAGGAACAAACCTTTGCTTCATCCAGATGAATCCCACTGATTTCAAAATCAAACATGAACAGCTCGGCCACTCTCCTGAAAGGAATGTGTTCAATGATTAAAACACCTTAAACCGTCAAGACCCTCATCGGATCATTTACAGCAATGACTGAATATGATATATATTCATTTATGTTTCTTTCATATTCACTCCTTATTATTAGATTTTAATAACAACAGTAAACCTCGGGTTAGAGGGGTTAAACACAGAGAAGTCCAGCATAATACTGTCTAATACTAATACTAAGCCCTACTTATCCTAATGTGATTCACATTCTGTGCTAATCATGCTGAGATTTAATCACATTATTGTTTTGGCAGCACTGCTGTGTCTGATCCACTCGCACCAGCACAACACACGCTAACACACCACCACCACATCAGTGTTACTGCAGTGTTGAGAATGATCCACCACCCAAATAGTACCTACTCTGTGAGGGTCCATGGGGGTCCTGACCACTGAAGAACAGGGTAAAAGGGGGCTAACAAAGTATGCAGAGAAACAGATGGACTACAGTCTGATAAAATGGACAATGAGCGTAGAAACAAGGAGGTGGTCATAATGTTATGCCTGATCGGTGTATACAATAGTGTGGTTAAATCTCAGCATCATTAGCAGAGATAAACAGTTTACTACTTGCCGTGTGTCTGGATTCAGTGTGGCCAAAACATCCTTGTTATCCAGCAGGTTCTTCAGGCTTTGACACAGTTCTACATTCGTGTTCAGTCTGTCATATACAAACATACAAAAATCACATTCCATAATTAGGGGTGGGCGATAAGGCAAAAATATCATACTTCAAGACATTTTCATGATATACGATATGCATCAAGATATTTCATTTTTCTGAGATTTAATAAGTTGGAACCGACAAAATAAAACCTGTTGTGCCACATATAAAAATACAATAATACTACTACCACTAATAATAATAATAATAATAATAATAACAATAATAATAATAATAATAATAGTAACTGCACTGCATCTAATTAAACAGGCCTAATTATGATCACTTAGTAATGAAACATGTAGTTTGTCAGTGTTGTATAAGTAGTAATGATTACATTACACAATATTCTCAGAAAAGTGTGCTGTGATATTATTTATCATGATAACGATAAAATATCATCATATTGCCCACCCCTATTCACAACTGTGACATACTGACTTGTATGTGCTGCTCTGATCAACAGCAGAACGCAAAGACATACTTTTCCACAACTGTGCCGATATCGACGCAGGTCCTTTCAGCCGCCTTACGGTAAGCAGCATCAGGATGTGCAATTTTGATGAAGTCTGCCTGCAAAAATATATTTAAAGATTTTTAGTGTGAATCCATTAAGCACCAGGTTCTTGAAACGTCTGTTTTCAGTAGTCGTCAATTACAGGTTATGAAAAATGTACATTTTAGTTTTGTCACCCTTAAGAAACATTTACAATATTTAAAAAATGAGATACTGTTCCTGTGATGCATTCTTAAAAATGACGGTTCTTCAAGTGTTCTTAAGTAAAAGCAATTGTTCTATTAAACCTTAACCATGAGTTCTAAGATAGGATATCTTTATTGCCACTATGCTCATGTACTATGAGATGTCATTAGGAAAAAGCCTTAATTAGAGGTAAAAACCTTTATAAAAGTATAAACATACCTTAAAAGACTAAAGATAAAAAATATAGAATAAATAAAAACTAACTAAGTAAATATATACACACTTGTCTGTAAAGAATAAGTGTCCATAAAAGAATAAAGTGTGTTCTATTTAGAACCATTTTATGCTTAAATGGTTCTTTGCATGGTGAAATGGTTCTTCAGATTGATGGAGAATGTGCTGTAGATGGTGCTTTATAGAACCTTTTTGAAAAGAGTTCTATACAGCACCCAAGAGGGTTCTTCTATGGTTACAAGCTTGACATCGTAACAATAGAAGAAACCTTTTAGGTGCAATACAGGGTCTATGAAACTTTAAAAAGGTTCTATATAAAACCATAAACAACACATTCTCCATCAATCTGAAGAACCACTTTGCAAAGAACTATTAAAGCTTGCAATGGTTCTAAACAGAACCCTTACCTTAACTTAAGAACCCTTAAAGAACCACCTTCTCTAGGAATATAGGTTGGTTAGTATTTTTGCATGGTTAAATATATGTTTTCTTAGATTCGGTGCTGAAAAATGATTAAAAAAGCAAATGATAATTGCGAAATCACCCTGAAGTTTGTCTAAAAAGAGCTGCATGACTCTCCACTTTACCAAATCTGCCACTTTGCACAAGCTGTCAGACAGCTGGTCAAAAGCCTCGACCGTCCCAACACCAGGGGGCTCCGTACAGACTCTCTTCACCAGAAACTCCATTTCCCAGAGTGCTTCGCGTTTGGCAACCTGGAATCCGGCAGGAGAGCTGAGCTCAGGCACTCCAAATAACCCCTGTAGGCAAAGTAAAGACTCCAAAAAGTCAGTTTAAAACGCAAAGCTCGGTCGTTTTTGGGGGTAAAACACATGTAAACACCACTGTTACGATTAGTTTGCTTAAAAAACAAGGAAATTCAAACTCACCACATTTTTCTGCAGGCGCTCCGGTCGCCTGTGGTGCTGCGCATTGAAAGCTGCTCCAACAGGAGACCAAGTAGTGACACGATTAAATAGTACTTGTGAGCTTTTAAAAAGCCGGTCGAAGCGAATTCGTCTTAACATGGTTTCTGAAAGCTCTGGTTAGCTGCCTGATATGAGGTAGATGGTATAAATGCTCAGCAGTAACGGTTAAAGCTGTAGCGGCTAAGCTAACTAGCCGACATAGCTGCCAGTGTCATTCAAGGTTGTTTAAGTCAGTTTTTCATTATTCGTTATTAATTCCCCACAAAAGGTGGTGGTAAGGTGCTAAAACAGCGTTATTAAGTGTTCTGTAAACGGTCATATTAGTTAATCTGACATTTCACAACGCGGCTGCTTCCCAAGATTAACGTTAAATCTCGGTTTGCTCTTCTGTCGTTTCAGCACTTGCCAGGTGTTCCGGTGTTCAATGGGAAATGTAAGGTTGAAAATATAAGTTAAAAAATACATTTTGACATTTTTACAACTTTTTTCTGCTAGTTTTTTCATAAAAAAAAGATTGAAAATCGCGAACTTGGCAACCGTGGTAGCTGAGACGATGTTGGCCAGGCTTTCCTTACAATAAAATAAAAGTCCTAAAATCCGAAAAAAAAAGAAAATAATAATAATAATAATGATAATAATAAAAACAGGTAAACCTGTCATTTGCATTTGGATTTCGATAGATGTCGATAAAAGATATTTGAACAAAACTGCTTCTTCTTGGCTGTGTGCGTCTCTCTTAAAGGGAACTCCATAGATTAAGTTACATAATTAAATGGTTAAGATGTAAACAGTCATCCAGAGTAGTTGGATGTGAAATGGTCCGTTCTAGAGAAACCTGACAAGCCCAAATTGTTCACAGTGGGGGTGATAGGAACCAGACATCTGAAGAGTTCAATGCCTCTGAAAGCTCCCTCACAGAAAGTTACTGCGTTAAATATTTTGCCTGATGTCTGACACATTGTTTATTTTAATCCAGTTATTTTAATCCATTCACGGCGGAGCATTACATTTGAGACACATGTAGGTTCACTGGTGGTTTTGGATGGTAAATAAAATGGCTATATTTGCGTTGTAGATGTCCTGTCAGCATCACTTTAAAAATCTGAGCCTGCAGGTTTTTCTACAACGAGCCGTTTCACACCAAAGCACTCAAAAAGACTCTGTTTACATCTCAAGGACTGTTTTATTCAGAAATTTTGAAACATTGGTGGAATTCACCTTTAAGTTGATGTAATTGGGTATTGAGGTTTAGCCTGGCCTTTTGGTGCTCCATGTCGAGCAGTAGCCTCCAGTTGAGTAGTTCACCTGTACTACTCAGATTTGTGTTTTCCAGCCATAAAACCTGATTCAGGAGCTCGTAGGGCTCTTGATTATTCACTAATAAAATCGACAAACAGTGCAGGTGGACTACAGGACTGGAGCTGGGAGACTGGACTGGACTAGACTAGAAGATTCTCCTGCAGTAGGCTGTAGGCTGAATAGAGATATCAAGTGCATCTGCATATCCAGATAGAGCTAGTGCTGAATTAAAACCAACGTCAACAGAGACTTGTCTAGAAACATGATTGGATAAGCAATGCTGGGCCATACTCCTGAGTTCCTATTGAGGTTATTCCCTGTACTGTCCTGGTTGGCAGGGTTGAAACTAGTAATGTGCCTACATAAAAGAATGATAGCACAATGATTACCTGAGCTGTTATCATAGTTTATGATATTATCATGATATTGTATAACATTCCTGGTTGCATTTCTGGAATCCTGTTTTCTTGATCACCATGTTGTTGGTTGATTGTTTTGGGGAGTGTGGCAGACCCTTGGTACTCCAGACAAAAAAAAAAACATCAAACATCATATAAATCATGGGATCATAATGTGACAGAGCCACTCTGCATTTCTGTAAAAACGCTGGTTCAGCTGTAGCTGGCTTGACTAAAATTCAGTGATGGTACTTCTAAGTATAGCAGTATCTCATCTGTTGAATATCAGGGTATTGCTTTTTATTATATATCAGTATGTTGTAACCAGATGTCCTGGAGTACAATTTGGCAGCACCTGTAGGTCATTGTAAGGCCTGTCATTCAGTGTGGGAGAGTTTTGGAACTGAGCTGTAACTGAGAATATTCCATACATGACATGCAAGAACATAACAGCACTGGTCCTGTGAAGAAGACCAGTCAACCATCCATCCATCCATCCATCCATCCATCCATCTGTAACTTTCCTATGTATTTTGGTGCTGTCAGAACAAAACCTCATTTCCAGTTTTTGACATAATTTGAAAATACCTGTTGCCCTTTACATCGTGTGTACATTTCATGATGAATGGACTGAAAGAAACAGCCAAAAATAACTGGCCATTTAACTATTTCTTGTCATAATTTTCTGTGAGGGAGCTTTTACAGGCATTCAGACACCTTCAGACGTCTGGTTCTATCACCTCCAGTTCAGATTAAGATGTGAACAATGATGTTTACATCTTATCAACTGAATTATGGGAAAAACATTGAATTTCCCACATTTCTCTACGTATGTATCTAGTAACAGAAATTCTAACAGCCTCGTTTTGTTAAAACGATGTTTAGTTGAGTTGTTAGCATGAGGGCTAGCATTAGGCAGCCATCTTGGGAAGAGTGTTGCCTCAGCTAGTGATCTTATTGAGCTGCTGTCCACTGTTTCGAGTCACGTCCTGCTCAGAAAGGCCCGCATGACCTGCCCTGTTCTGCCACATACCGCATTCTCCAAGATAAAAGTCCTCACGATAACCGGCCTAAGGCTGAAGGCTTTATCTGCTAGTGATTTCTAAAGACACTTTGATTTAAGATAATTCATAAAAAGACTTTCACAGAATAAACGTCTACTCACTGCAGCCCTGCAGCCCTTTAACATCCGGCTAATCTGACTTTTTGGTTCTACTTTTATGCCACCACTTATTCCACTATAATAGCACAGTAAAGGTGAGCTGTAATAATATGCTGCAACGGTGTTTCAGTGGAATCTGATGACTCTTAACAGTCATATTCGTTTGTATCAATATATCGTTACTGTCGGATCATTTTTTGACATAATTTGCCCTTTACATTTTGTGATGGACCAATAGAAATGCTCCAAAACTGTCCAGAACACAAAATCTTTACATTAACTTAAGAATATTTTTTCTTTCTCCTGACATCTTACCATACTGGAGAGATGAGGTTTTCGTCCAACACTGGCAACGATATATTTATTCATTAAATGCACGTCCTTGTATTCATATTCTGTCCATTTTATCAGCTCCATTTACTACATAGGTTAACTTTGTAGTTCTACAGTAACAGACTGTAGTTCATCTGTTTCTCTGCATACTTTGTTAGCCCCCTTTTACCCTGTTCTTCAGTGGTCAGGACCCCCACAGGACCCTCACAGAGCAGGTACTATTTGGGTAGTGGATCATTCTCAGCACTGCAGTAACACTGACAGTGAATGTGTGTTGTGCTTGTGCAAGTGGATCAGACACAGCAGTGCTGCTAGAGTTTTTAAACACTGTGTCCACTCACTGTCCACTCTATTAGACACTCCTACCTTGTCAGTCCACCTTGTAGATGTAAAGTCAGAGACGATAGCTCATCTGCTGCTGCACAGTTTGTGTTGGTCATCCTCTAGTCCTTCATCAGTGGTCACAGGACGCTGCCCACAGGACACTGTTGGCTGGATATTTTTGGTTCTCAGTCCAGCAGCGACACTGATGCGTTTAAAAACTCCAGCAGCACTGCTGTGTCTGATCCACTCATACCAGCGCAACACACACTAACACACCACCACATCAGTGTTGCTGCAGTGTTGAGAATGATCCACCACCCAAATAGTTCCTGCTCAGTGAGGGTCCATGGGGGTCCTGACCACTGAAGAACAGGGTAAAAGGGGCTACAAAGTGCACCTATATAGTAAGTGGAGCTGATAAAATGGACAACATGGTCAATGAGTGTAGAAACAAGTAAGTGCACTTATTGAAGTGGCCAGTCGGTGAATACTATTATGTGCTGTTCTGTTCAAAGGTTTGTAATCACGTTTCACATTAATGATTGTTATTTGATTCAGTAATAACATATACAGTGCCTCTAAAAGCCCCTCAGAAAGTTATTACATGTAATGGTTATGAGTACGCTAAGACATTGCTGTACAGTTGTTTTGAGACAATCTGGGCTTAATATGCATGTTTTAAAAGCCACATGCAGTCACCATCATCAACATTACACATAAAACTTAGGGGACACATATACAGTAGGTTCACTGGTGGTTTTGGACAGTAAATAAAATGGCTATATTTGTGTTGCAGACATGGCGACCTCTGGTTCCTATCACCACCACTGTGAAGACATCTGAGTCAGTAAGTTACTCAACAATGAACCATTTCATATCAAACCACTCTGAACGACTTTGTTTACATCTCAACCACTGAACTGTACAGTGTAAAATTATAAATAATATTCTGATTATCTATTAGATCATTTCTTGATACATTATTATCTGCCTTGAGATTTGATTGCCACTTTTCAAATATGACTCACTCTCTGCATTTACGTTATAAATTCCGTTTTCTTACAGTTCTTCCAATTATTTTAGAATCATTAGCTCTATTTTTCATTCTAGACACATTTCTTTATGCTTTACAGCTTCCTACAATTTAATAGAAACCTGTGAAGCTGTACAGTAGCATAATTTTGTAGATGACAAATAATCAACAAATTGGTTTTATATGAATAAAAACAGTGATTCCAAACTTTGGAATAGCACGGTAACTACTGTATCTTTTCCAGTATTTAAATTTGCATACCCAGGTTTAACCCCTTAATTGCCCAGCAGACAGACTTCCATTCATTACTTATATAGTTGCAAAGGTTTGAGCACCACTGGTCAAATTATTATTTTTTTTTTTGAAGTGTAAATAAGTTACGACCGTCTCTACAGAGACACATTTCTGCACATTTTAGTGCACAACTACTGATTATTTGCTTAACAGAAAAAAAAAAACTAAAATATGGCCTGTACAAAAGTTATGGCACCATGTTTTCTATTGTTTCACTCAAAACAAAAAAAGTTGTGCAAAAAATATTAGCAGAAACATGAAATTCCAGTAGGGATGTACTTATTTTTACTTAGAAAATCAGCAAAATATGTAATAACACAACTCAGCTACGTTTTCCATGTAGTTACTGAATAATAAGCCTTAGGATGTAATGTGGCTGTGAATATAAGGGGTTACTTCTGCCCTTTGCTTCACTGCACAACCATCACAGTTAAATATAACATCTGTTTCCAAACACTGGTTGTTTTAAGTCAGGCTGTGCACAGATGGCCCAAACAATAACTCAAAAAGTTGTATATCAAAGAGCAAACCATCTGTTGCAGATGGCCCTGTTTCGAAGGACTTCAGTACATAATTATAAGCTGGCCAAAGTGGGAAAACATCAGAAGGTAGAAACGAGTGTCACAACCAATTTTTATTGGCTTGTTTTAACCAAACAATACACAGAGATACATCTATAAACAATGATCGAAAAAAGAAACTGTACATTTGTACTTGCACAAGAATATTGCTACTGCT